TTAAAATAATTATTATTCTTATTCTAAAATATTATTATAATTAATTTTTATTATCCTTTCATATAATCTAAAATAATTTTCAATATTAAAAATGAGTATTCTAAAAAAAAGATCGTTCAAATATAAATAATATTTGTTTATTTAATATTTCAATATTAAATAAAATATATAACAATAATTAAAAAGGTTAAATTTCTTTATTTTGTTACATGATCTTCAAAAAGAAAGATCCTCAAATATTTAACTTAAATGATATTTATCTCTAATCACTAGTTAATTTAGCATTACTAAGATGCTTTCGAATAGGAACATAAAGATTAAATAAGATAGGCTTTTAAAATAAAATTTTTTAAGAATTAACAGTTTGTTTAAATTAAAAAGGATTTATAATCCCATAAAATAATCTGAGGTTTTTATATGTAAAATTCTAAACTAAGGATGGATCATAACCTTCAGAAATACCTTAATTTGAATATCATAAATCATATCAAAACTATAAAGCGATAATAAGAAGTTCGATTGGATAAAATAAAAAACAAGTTTTATTTAATTAAAAAATTTGATAAATTTTGAATTCCTTTTTCTTACAATTAATGAACATATAAACAAAAGAATCAATCATTTTCAATTTTCTTCTCATTTTAATTAATTTTATTAAACACCTTTTCAAATATCTTTTAATATTTTCTAATTTTTTAATTTGTATTTATTTAAGAAGCATCATTTTTAGAACCTTAATACAATATATTTTTTGATACCCTCATCGAATATCAATTCTAATACAAAACTAGGTCGAATTTTTCTTTATTCTGTTGATTTACATTTTTCAATAAAAAAAAATATTTTGTCAATAAAATTTTCTGGAGATCTAGTTGAGACATGTTAAAAAAGAGTGTAATTATATTCTTTTAGGTAATTTGTATTTAATGATAGGTTTAATAGTTAAATAATTAAAGATAAACTCTTCGTTTGTTTGAGAAATGACCACTGGCCAATTATAAATATCTTATTGTAGAAACTATTATTTAGAATAATGTAAAAATACCATTAATCAAAAAGAATTTAATTTTAGGTCCAGATGTATGGAATCCAAAAACTAATATTAGCTGATTTGATATTTTATGGAAGAAAATAAAGAATTTGCATTTATGATTTTCACAAATAGAAGGAATAACAAATATTAATTATTGATATTTGATTTTTATTTGTCTTAAATAAATTTTAGATATGGGTATTTTTTAAATATAGAAGAATAATCATAAGGTACAACATAGTTGGTACAATCAAGATATGTTGCTTAGAAAATACTTTGTGTTATTTTTTGCAATAGGGATAATTTTGGATATATATTTATTAATTTTATTAATGGGTGATTAATTTTATCAATTATGTTCAAAATGGACTGTGTCAGAGAAATTTAATTCTAGTTAGAATCTCGAATATAAGAAGACAATAGTTGATGTTTGTTCATTTAAAACAATAGAAGAATTTGCATATTTAATGAAAAAGACTATATATTCAAAATTATCAGATGTCTTAAGTGAGCCATAAAAATGCAAAATGTAAAGAGATGTTATTAATACAGCTTTAAATAATTTAATGATAATGCTTTAGATGTTTAAATAGAAGCAATTTAATTTTTCAAGAATGATATAAAACCATGGTGGGAAGATGAAAATAATAAAAATGGTGGTGAGATCTAATTTGATATTCCAACATAATTTTATAATATATATGATAATTTATACTAAGATATTTTATATGAAGTGATTGGATAATCAAATGAGGATTTGAGCCATGTATTTAAATTATTTTATATAGATAAATGGTTTAAGAGTTGTTGATAAAATTAATGCAAAGCAAGGAAATAGAATAAGAATTGAATTATGGTTAGATATTGATCCAAAAGACAAGCATGAGTCTATTCTAAAATTAGATGAATGGTTAGTATCTTTGATTCAAAAATATCATATTGAGTAGGCACAACTCACTTAAGTGTCGCATAAAAAATGAACCTTGTTTATTGAATAGCATTATAATATAAAAATTATAGAATGGTTTGTCTCGTTATTCTACTCAGATCTTAAATCTTTTAGTTTATACAGTAACACATTAATCATTCTAAAAATAAAATCCTAAACAAATAAGACAATAGAGATTTATAGGGGGAATTTCTCTAATTTTTAAGCATGTGAATCAATAATATCTTTTGTTGAAAGATTTGAAAATTTTTTAGAGAATATAGTATAAAAAATTAAATTTTATATGGTACAGAATTTATAAATAGATTCTGAAACATTTGATGACAAATATTTAAAAGATCCAAAAGGGATGTATATATTAGCTGAATTTAGTTTAAGTAATTCCTTGTCAAAAAACGAATACTACATATTCACTATACTACTTGGCAAATCTTTAATGAATCAAGGCATCATTAAGAAAATTACAAAATAACAAAAGATATCTTTTGATTTTTCTTTATTTCTAGTATCATGCTCACTTTTTATATTTGTATATAATTTTTAATATATAAATATTATTAGAACGGCATTTTCATTTTAATGAATACAGATAATTTATGATATGCACAGCTAAATCTTCAGGTACTTCAAGAGGAGGCATATGGCTAACATCTTGATGAACAACAATTGTACATTTATTTTTACCAATAAAATGAATGTTAGTCTATAAAACCTAATAAAATTTATTACATAAGCATCTGAAATAGGACATATTCTGTCAAGCTAACCGTGATATAAAAAGACAGGACCTTTAATTTTATTAACTTAATGAGTAATATCAAACTTTTATAAAGCCCATGCAACATCAACATAATTTGATTGCTTAAAAACATCTTTTAGTAATTCAAGTAATTCAAGATCGCTTGGATATCTTCCACTGTTGAACAATGCTTTTTTAAATACATGATAAAAGTAATTGTAATCATTTTATTTAATTTTCATGAGATTGTGTTTTATTTTTGAATGATCCATTATTTATTATTTAGTTTAGCATTTAATTGATAATTATTTACCTTCTTCATCCTCCATATATAAATGGTTTCCATGACAACCTGCACTGGCTACAAGTATTAATTTATGATAGTATTCACTTTTATCACTAGCTAATTGTAAACACACCGCTCCCCCTAAGGACCATCCACATAAAATGACTTTTTAAGATATTTCTTCTTTTTTAAATAAAGATAATATTAAATTATGAATTTCTGTAGTCAGATCTTTGATATCATCAATACTATTATTTTGTAGCTATGAATATCCAAATCCTTTTTAATCTAGATTAATAATTCTTATTTATTTATCTTGATCTCTTTTTTGAATTTCTTATATAAATTTAAACCAATGTTAAGAAGAGGTAATATTACCATGTACTAAAATCAATGCATATGAATATGGATAACAATTATCTTTATGTGTATCTGTATAATATAATTATTAATTAATATTCATATATTAATAATAAAAATGTTATTGAGAGGAAGAGTTTTAGCTTATTTTGCAAAAGTGAAAATAACAGATACTCCAAAAATAAGAATAGGAGATGCTGTGAAATTAATAAAAGAAAGTGCAAAAGCAAAATTTGATGAGACAATAGATTTTTAATTAAGGTTGAATGTTGATCCAAAACATGGTGATTAAAATGTAAGAGGAACATGTATGTTACCAGGAGGATTAGGAAAGAATGTGTCAATAGCTGTCTTAACAAGCAATGAATTTAATGAAGTTGCATTGAGAGTAGTTATTTAATTAATCAAAGGCAGGAGCAGATTTTGTTGGTTAAGAAGAAATATTAAAATCTATTAAGGATGGAACATATAAATTTGAAAAATTAATAACAACATAAGATATGCTAATTCATTTGAAACCTTTTGCAAGACTATTAGGTACTAAAGGATTGATGCCAAATCCAAAGGCTGGCACATTAGTATTACCATAAGAACTTTCTACAGCAATTAAGGGTGCTAAAGCAGGTTCAATTGAATTTAGAGTGGATTCAGGTTCAAATTTAATGGTACCTGTTGGAAAGAAATCATTTGAAGATAAAGTGATATTAATGAATATCAAAGCTTTTTCAATAGCTTTGAATTAAAAAAGACCAATATCTTTGAAAGGATAATTGATAGGAGAAGCAAGAATTAAGACAACAATGGGAAAGCCAGTAGAAGTAGATGTGTCTTCATTTGATTAAAGGAATAAAGAAAATGATTTGAAAGATTTGGTTTATTGAAAAAGTATATTATTATATAATATTAATATAAAAAGTGAATATAATCAGAATCTTTCAACAATATAAATTATCAATAGTACAGGACTGATTAAAATTGCACAAATTATTGTTATGGGTGATAATATAATTCCACTAAATAGGAGAAGTTAGAAAAATCCAAACTAAGCACATTTCCGATAATTACCCATTCTGAAATTTGATATTCTTTTTAAAATTTTGTAGGGTGCTGATAGAATTAGGTAGATTAAAAATAAAGGTAGAAATATGAGCAGTCCAATAATTGTAAGTAAGAGTTTTGGAATTATCATCAAAACTCTAATCAACATAGGATTTTATAATGGTTTAATATTAGAAACTTATCCTCCTGGGACTAAAGATATATAATCAATAGAAATACTTGCACATCCAAATATATTAAATACACCATAATGAGTTGATGAGTATTTGCCTCTACAGATCCAACAAAATTCATATTAACATTTGTAACATGTCATATGATTGCAGCCTCCTTTCTTCTCTATAGGAACCGAGCAATTAGGACAATCATTAACTTGAAGTTTTTTCCTTGCTTAAAGATATTAGAAGTCCATAGCTTAATCACAAGATATTTCTTAGTGATATTGACTACCGCATTTAAAACATATTTGCTAGCCACAAGAACATATCAGTAAATTGTTACCTTAACCTATTACATAATTTTCACAATCCTTAATAGTATATATAAAAATTATACAATTCGAGGACACCATCTAACATTCTTATCTTTACTTATTAATTATCTTTTTAGAAATCTTTAATATTTTTCATATAAGCTATATGAAACTAAATTTTTTATTTAGAGACTCTCGAATTATTCAAAACAGAATAATTGAGGACATTATATTATTAAGACATTTCCTCTTATTATATTCTCTTTAAGATGAGCTGCTACACATGGTCTACAAAATTCATGAAGGCAAGGCAAGAACTAATGCATCCTTTTGTATGATAGACAGATTTTGCATTCCTTAAAACCTTTTTATATAAAAGTAGAACCCTGATTTATATCTAGATATTCTAAATCTTCTGATGAGTCATTACGTCTAAATCGAAATCTTTTATTAAAGCTATAATTCTTCAAAAATCTTTAGATTATTTTGATTTTTTTTTAAATTGATTGTTCCTCCATTGTTTTTAATCCAAATTTAATTTCCTATTATTAAGTATCTTAAATATTTAAATAGATAGGGTCATCTTAGCCATTTTATTATTCACCTTAATTTTATTAACATTTGAGAGTATCACTTTTTTTTAATTTTGGCCCATGAATTTAGAAGAGTTTAGGTTTATAGAGTTCTAAGTAAAAGTGCTAATATTTAGGTTTTTATTGTTCGAATTGACAAAGTTATTCATTATGATTGCTATTCATTTAAATATAAATTATTGTTTAAATTTCTCGGGTATTATTAGATATAAAAATAAATTAAAAAAGGATGTTCTTGTATTGTAGATCCTATATTCCTAGATATAGTGCTAGTCAAGTCATTAAGAATGCAATTTAAAGAAGAAAAGGTAATACTTTGTTAAAAATTAGAACGCAAAAATGTTATGTAAGAGCATTTAGAGAGATTGGCTAATAAATTGGAATATAAAGTGTATCCATATCACATTACTCACTATGATCCTGCTCATCCAGATTACATTCCAGCATAAAGACAGGATTACAAACAAAGATTAACTGTTGACACTCACAATATGCTTGTGGATGGAGTTAAAAGAGATGTAGCCATGTAAAGATAAGTGGATGAAGCTATCAAGAATTTGGATAGACCATACTTAAAAGGCAAGCCAGGAGTCACTAAAAATATCACAGGTGGCCTTAGAGATTATTTCCCTATTGAAATACCATATTCATAAACAGGAAATCTTGAGAATGAAGAATTAGAATATGAAAATGTGTTTAGAAATGAAAAAAGATGGATTGCTTAAACTATATATCCATATGAAAAAACTGAAAGCTAAAAGAGACATGAAAAAGAATTGGAATCTAGACCTGTTACTAGAAAATTCCATCCAGATAAAGGATCTAAATATGATGTTGAAACACCTTATCATTTAAGATTCCCATATTTAGCTGATAGATTGGGACATCCAGAATTCTTAGCTAATCCATTCTAAAGATTATTTAGATTAGAAAGTGATATGTATCATCCAAGTTATAATGATTAACCATTTGTTTAACATCCATCAGCAGATCCAGATCCAACTTTGAATTTCTAAGAAGGAGAAGTTATCTATGAAAATACAAGATTATAAGAATGGTTAAAATTTGTATGGTGGACTGGAACATTCAGTTTTGCTTGGATTTGTTGGGTGTTACCATATAACATTGTTTATAAAACAAATCTCATGTTTGATCATTAAATTGATGCTTCATTCTATCCTTATCATTTATAATCAATCTATAATATGGATTATATGAGAATAAATGTATTGGCTGCTACTGCTGCTTCAGCCTATTTATGGTATTTCCATCATATGTCTATGAATGATATTGGTAGAAATTACGTTACTAAAGTTTAATACAATTAAGATAAGGAATTAATCTTTGTCACTAGAATGGGATCATTTGGTGTTATTAGAGAAGATGTATTTGAAACTCATCATCTTGAAGTATTGCCATATTATACTAAATCTGGTGTTTAGAATATGAGATAAAATGTATATATTCTTTAATCATTTAATATAGGATTTAGGAATGTATGAATTGTCATGTTTGAATAAATAAGAATTAATGTACTTATATAAAGAAGATGCATTCTGGAATCCTAAATTAAAAACATAATTCCTAACAAATCATACTCAATTGATTTCCAAATAATACTTTGGATTAAAGAGGTAATGTTTTAATTTTAAACAATATTTTTAGAAATGAAGAAGAAGAATACCAGAAGACTTAAACTATAGGAGAATTGCCATTAAAAGATTTACCTGCTCCTTGAATTATCAATCATAAATACAAAATAACAACAATAATATATATAATATTAATGAACGTTGATATATAAAAAGGTAGAGAAAGACCTGTTCGAAGAAACGGATTAGTTAATGGTCTTAATCCATACCAAACTGTTAGTTGGATTTATACTCTTACTGATATCGTTATTGCTTACATATTTTCATTTTCGTTTGAGGAGTATGGCATTCATGTATTATTTAATTTTATTATTAAGGAACTTTTGATCATCTTATTAACAATTATTGTTACAACCATTTTTTATAGTTGCCTTAAGGCTACTCTAATAGATCCGACAGATTCTATAGTGAAATAGGAAAAATTATACAAAAAATAAGGGTAAATATATTTATTATGTTAAAGTAAAGAATTTAAAACTGATATTAAATCATATTGTTTAGTTTGTTAAGCACATGTATAAGAAAAGACAAAACATTGTTGGAGTTGTAATAAGTAATTTAAGATTTGTATTAGATGTGTATNAACATTGTTTATAAAACAAATCTCATGTTTGATCATTAAATTGATGCTTCATTCTATCCTTATCATTTATAATCAATCTATAATATGGATTATATGAGAATAAATGTATTGGCTGCTACTGCTGCTTCAGCCTATTTATGGTATTTCCATCATATGTCTATGAATGATATTGGTAGAAATTACGTTACTAAAGTTTAATACAATTAAGATAAGGAATTAATCTTTGTCACTAGAATGGGATCATTTGGTGTTATTAGAGAAGATGTATTTGAAACTCATCATCTTGAAGTATTGCCATATTATACTAAATCTGGTGTTTAGAATATGAGATAAAATGTATATATTCTTTAATCATTTAATATAGGATTTAGGAATGTATGAATTGTCATGTTTGAATAAATAAGAATTAATGTACTTATATAAAGAAGATGCATTCTGGAATCCTAAATTAAAAACATAATTCCTAACAAATCATACTCAATTGATTTCCAAATAATACTTTGGATTAAAGAGGTAATGTTTTAATTTTAAACAATATTTTTAGAAATGAAGAAGAAGAATACCAGAAGACTTAAACTATAGGAGAATTGCCATTAAAAGATTTACCTGCTCCTTGAATTATCAATCATAAATACAAAATAACAACAATAATATATATAATATTAATGAACGTTGATATATAAAAAGGTAGAGAAAGACCTGTTCGAAGAAACGGATTAGTTAATGGTCTTAATCCATACCAAACTGTTAGTTGGATTTATACTCTTACTGATATCGTTATTGCTTACATATTTTCATTTTCGTTTGAGGAGTATGGCATTCATGTATTATTTAATTTTATTATTAAGGAACTTTTGATCATCTTATTAACAATTATTGTTACAACCATTTTTTATAGTTGCCTTAAGGCTACTCTAATAGATCCGACAGATTCTATAGTGAAATAGGAAAAATTATACAAAAAATAAGGGTAAATATATTTATTATGTTAAAGTAAAGAATTTAAAACTGATATTAAATCATATTGTTTAGTTTGTTAAGCACATGTATAAGAAAAGACAAAACATTGTTGGAGTTGTAATAAGTAATTTAAGATTTGTATTAGATGTGTATCACTGTTTGATCATCATTGTATATGGCTTAATAATTGTGTTGGAGATTAAAACTATTCATACTTTTTTATATTAGTTATTTCTTTGGTGACGTTTAAAATATTCAAATTAGCCTTAGATATTAATTTATTATACTATGCAGATGATTTATAAATACTAGTTTATATTTGTATTGCAATAGATCCACCAGTTTTGATAATCCTAATATACTTATTGTCAATGCACTTATATTTTAAGTTTATGATATATTTAATATTTTTAGATATAAACGTATAACAACATATGAATACATAAAATCAAAGTAAGACAAGAAATAATAAATAAATTAACAATAGAATCCATAATAAAAATAGAATTAAAATGAAAGTGGAACAGGATATGGTTAATTATTATCAACATCAAAAAGATTCGATTTAAAATCATAATTATCTCTAAAAACTGCAGATTCAAAAACAAGTAAGTAGAATTATTTTTCAAATAAACAAGAAGATGATAAAAAGAATCCTTAATAATCTCCATCTTAACCTTAATTTACTTAGATTCCTAGTTTATTCACTTCTAAGCCAACAACTCCAGGTAATGATTAAGATAGAAAATATCGTATATAATAATAAAATTAATAATCTTAAGCAAAAGATCTAGATGAAATAAGAGATAAATAGATTTACAATTAAGTAATAGCTGAAGATTCAGAACCTTAAATGAATGAAAGTTCAGATGAAGAATAGAATGATAATTTTAGTAATAATAAACATCATTGTCCAAAAAATAGCAATGTTTCTTAATTAGGTTAAATAGTAAATTAATCAATATCTGTGGAGATTGAATAATAGATAATACAAGAGAAATAAGAAGAAGTGAACAAAGAAATAGAGAATAAATCTGTTGATCAAGATTTAGTTAGTGTTTCAAATTAATAATCATTACATGCACAATAACCTCCACCTCCTTAAAATTGTTATACATTTTAAATGGATTTAAATTCTGAATAATAAAAGATTATTATATCCCCATCTAGTAAAAGAAATAGTTAACATTTAATTGCTGATAATTGTACTGAATGAATTTACATATTGTATAAAATTATAATTAATAAAAATCATAGAAAATTGTGATGATTTAAGATTATATATATAAATTAAATATAAGTTCTGGTTATTATATATGAAAAGTTTAGCGTAGAATGTGTAAATATAGAAAGTTATTAAAACTGTAAATAACCTAAGAGATACTATGGATTAAAGGGTATCAATTTCAATTGGACTTGGTCTTGCCTTTGCAGTAATTGGATATAAAATATTTAGAAATAAAGGTAATGATTAATAATAATCAACATAATAAACACCAGAAGTAGTTGAATAAGAAAAATAATCATAAAATTCAATAAACTCTGAAGAAAATGATATTATGGAAATTGAAGAAAATAAATAATTAGAAAAATAACAATAATAATAAAAGTAAAGTGAACCAAAATCAAAGAAAAAACAATTTATATAAAAAATTAATCAAAAGACTAAAAAACAATTTTAGACAGATAATGAAATGCCTGCCCCTAAATTAGTGATTGAAAAACAAAATTCTTTAAAATAGGAAAAAAATGCAGATGATAAATTATTTTTCTAAATATACTAAAAAATGAACTAAGAAGCTTCAAATGAAGATTCATGAAGTATTTTTATATTAATTAATTATATTATAATATTATTAATGAAAGTAACTATTACTAAGTCTAATGTTGATAAAATATTAAATTAGATAGAGAACAAAGAAATTATTAATTTCATTTCAATTAAATGCAATTGGAAAATTATTCCAATTTAGATTTCCTTAATCAAAAAATCTCAGATCTATCTTTGAATATGATTATGTCATTTAAAAATTAATCAAATACAATAGAATAGATAAATTTAAAAAATTATCTATCTGAATATTTTCAAGATTTAGAATTTCATCTCATATGAAATGTTTAGGGATGAGATTTGATTGCTAATATATAGAATTAGTTATAAATTTAGTTATAATTTATTAATTTAATGAATAAATAAGAAAGAGAAAATGTAAAGTAACGTATCGAAGAAAGAATATTTTAGATAAAATTAAAAAACACATAAAATGTACTGTCATATAGATGATTAATAAATAGGAAGTAGTTATTGGAAAAAATGCCAATTTTACAAAAATAATTGAATAAGAATATGCAACAAAATATTTAGAAAGTTTAGGAATTGAAGCTAATTAAAAAAATATATAAATGATTTTAAAGAATTATCCATTAAATAGATGTGAAATAACAGGTGGATGGAATAGTAAAATTATTATATAATGATTATAGCTTCTGGATTATATGCTGATACTATTAATATTGTAGTTAGATAAAAGAAAAAGAATATAGAAATACCATTAGGTTAAAAAGATAAGGATGTATTGGATGAGGTTTAAAAAGAATAGGATCTAAAGAAAATAACAATTAAAAAGAGTGAATAAGAATAAGATTAATAATTAACATAATAATAATTAGCATTACAATAAAAAAATGAAGTTGAATAATAAAAAGAATTATTAGAAAAAGAGGAAGAAAAGAAAATTAAATTTAAATTAGATTTTTCAATAGAGTAAATCAAACATAAATACTTATTTCCTTTTAATTAAACATTTTAAAGAAAATAAAATTAGAATATGGTTAATTAGGATAGATTAGAATTTTAATAAAATGATGAAACACATTCTGAACATGATAAATTTTTGGTTTTTGAAAGCAAAATATTCTAATTACCTTTTATTCATATAGAAATTCCTGCTCCATTATTGAAAGATGTATAAAAACCTCCAAATATAAAAACAGAAGATATTGAAAAGGTTTTAAAATAAATAGATAAATTATTTCCTAAAAGTATATTTCCAATAAAGGCAAGTGCAAAAAGTTAAGAAAAATAATAATAATAATAATAATAATAATAATAACAATAATTAAATAAGGAAAAAGTAAATGACGATGTTGAAACAAGATATATTGTATTTGAAAAACATTAGATTGATAATGTATTTTAATTAATTCAAAAAGGGGAAATGGTAAAATTAATAGGATTATTTATTCATTTATCATATTGGTTAGTATTTGGTGTAACATTACCAATATAAATATAAACATTAACTAAAAAATAAATGTATATATAGATGATGGAAATAATTGAATCATTTTAATCATTTTATAATCCTAAATTATGGATGCATTTAATAATGCCTATGATATTAGTTTCATTAAAAATGGCAACTGAATATTTATATAAAAATCATTACATTATATTTTTTGAGAAACCAAGAACAGAAATAAATACACCAGGTAATATTGCTATGGATAAAATATTTCATTTTGCTGATAGATTATTTGATTAAAATAATTTATTTTGTAGATTCATATTTTTAGAGAGTAGCAAATTAAAAAAGATAGGTAATGATGCTAAATTTATGCATAAAAGAATATTTGGTGTTTCACCATATTTAGATATCATGATTTAGAATCCATAAAATAGTAGAACTAGAGCTATTATAGCTAAACAAAGGGATATAGACAGTATTTCTATTATATTAAATTTATTAGTAAGAGATAAAATATTAACAATAGGTGAAAAAAAACTAACTTAAACTATGCCACCAATTTTGAGATAATAAAGTACAAAGGAAGAAAAGGATAAAATAGAAATGGCTCAGAAAGCTAAAATTTTTAGTGTTGTATTAAGTAGAATGCAATAAGATTTCGAGAAAGTGTTAAAGGAGAAGGAAGTCTTAAAACTGAAATAGATTCAATGTTGAAGTAATTGAATATTCTATTATAGGTTTTTTCATTAATATTCTATTAAATTAGGATATTTGATATTAAAGTGCATAAAGAATTCATTACAAGGGTTGTCTTTCTTTTCTTATCCTTTTTTGTATTTTAGGTTTTTCATTCTATTTTTTAATCTCATTAAAAAGGTCTTCATCTTTCCCATTGTCACAATGATCACAATTACATTCTACAGTACATTTTTTGCCTCTTATAAAACATTCACAATATTTCTTCACACATCTAGTCTTAGAACAATTGCATCCCCAGATTTCAGCTGTATCAAATATTTTTTCTTTTGGAACCTTTTTATTTCTATGAGCCTTTTTCTTTACATAATCCATAGCTTGTTTTCTTTTCATTTTAAATTCCTCCGTATTGTTACATTCTTCACATCTACATGATTTACCACAAAATCTCCCATTATGGAAACAAGAACAATACATTTTTAAACAATATGTCTTTGAACAACTACAAGGTTAGAATTCTTCTTGTTAAATTTATTCTTTCTGCTCTTGTAAATTTTTTTCTACTATTGGACTTTCATCATGTATATTATTTGTTTCTCCATATACTATTTGTTATTTTTCAGGAACTATATCATGCTCAAAATATGAATTCCTATAATATATTATTATTTCTTTTACCATTTTTGTAGTATTGGAGGATGCCCTTTAAAATCCTAATCACTGAAATTTGAACACATACTCAATATCTTTTATATAACAGGTGGTTTCAAGTCATCTATTTACTCTTAGTTATACATTAAAAGAAAGTACTAATATCGAAAAATTATTAATTATAAAATTCCTCCTTTTTCAATTAAATGGAAAAGATCACATCGGCATTCATCGTATTATGTAGATTTAATAAACTTCTTAATTACTTAAGAATCCAGTTGCTGATTTTATAGAATTAAAATTTTAATTTCCAATCAATGACTCATTTTGTTCCTTTTTTATTAACGATAATATCAAAATTATTATTTTATTAAATACTTCAAAATTGATTATTATATTTATCATTTAATACTATCAAAAATGAATAAAGATATAATTTCAGATCCAACTTCCAATCAAAAGACGTCAAATATACTTCATTTTATATTTAATTCAAAAAAGAAGTCAAATAAATTCAAAAGAGTTCTCCCTCAATTATCAATAACAGAAAATTTAAATAATTCAATTCCACGCTCTAGAATCTTCTCTTTAAACCATGAACCTACTGGATTTATTACTTCAAGAATTGATTTAATTCAATTTACAGGAGATTATTGTTATAAAGCTTTGAATTAGTAAACGTTATCATTAAAAAATTAACGAGACAGAATTCCAGATACGATAGAAAAATCAATTGAGGGTTGTCCATCAGTTCATTCATATTAAACAACAAAGGTAATTGAGACATGATAGGAAGTTTAAATGTCCATCTATGTTAGAATCAATTAGATAAAGGAGAAATTATAATCTCTAAAAGTACCTAGATGACAATTTAACTGTATTTTGTGATATCATTAAAAAGAAAGACATTGAAAAATTGATTAGTTTTTTAAATTATCCTTTTCAATATTCTTAAGAATAAAATGTAACCATTTAATATTAATATATAGTTGTTAGAGACATTCTGTGAATTATTATATTTTATTGCCTATTATGGTAATACAATATTACAACTTAATAAAGCAACATTTTTATTTAAAGATTGTTTAAAATTATCAGAATTATGTAGAAATCATTAGCTAAAAGTGAAAATCTTAATTTAATTATTTTCAATAGCAAAACAGTAAAATTATTTTAATATTTAATAGATTGAAATAATATGATAAGGCTTATAAATTCATATTAAAAGCTCTTTCTTATGCATGGGCTGATAATTTGGATGACTATGAAATAGATTGTTATGATAAATTAGGAATTTGTTATTTTTATATGGGTGATATTAATAAAGCTAATCATCTTCATAATAAATGGGTAAAATGTGAAATTGAACCAAGGGATTCTTATTATAGAATAACATCAAAAGAGTTTATCTTATTATATGAAAAATTCTAACCTTTTTGTAAGGAATTTGATGATAAAATATCAAGATATATTCATATCCCATTTATCAATATTAAAACTGGATAATCATTTGATTCCAATTCCACTTTAAAATATAATACTTGTGAAGCAATACCTTTAATAAATGAAATTCTATATGGTTATGAATATACAGAATACTTTTTAGATTATCATTATATAGAATAAACATAAAAACAACATTAGAAAAAATCATAATTACCTAGAAGAGCTCTTGAAATTATGTAAAAATATGACAAAAATAAAGATAAATATGTATTTGATCATAAAATTCATGAAAATCCTATTTATAAATTATCACTTTAAGAAAAAGTTAATTATAGGAAAACCAAATTCTACTCTCTTGATTCTGTATAATAAAATATCTAAAAATACATTTCTGAGTAGAGAGAACCTTTTAAAAAAAGTGAAAAGATTTATGTAAAAGAATCTCAAAGAAAAGATTTATCTCCTTAGAATGGAAATCAATTATATTAACATTTTAGAAAAATTTTGGTGAGCATAATTAATTAAAATTGAAAATATTTAAATATATATTAGTTTCCCTTTGTTATTTATTATTTAATTAATTATGTAAAATTAAGAATATCTGAAAAATGAAAACAAACCTTTCATTCCTCAATAACAAAATTAAATTACTCGTACTGTACTTCAATCATTATTCCATGAGTACCATATTCTTATAAAAGGACTAAGAAATTAGTAAAATTATCAATATCTTCTAGAGAATATTAAGATTATTGTAATGTAAAAGGTGCTTGTGGATAAACTATTCCACTTATACTCATCCTTCCTATCAGTCTTACTATTGGTACGGTTTAACTAATATTACTATTTTTTAAAAATATTCAAGAAGGTAAATTTTGATATTAAGTTATTTAAAAGGACCCATATTACCTGCTTTGATTTAGTTTCTTTTATTATAAAGTGCCTAAACTTTGATAATGTATATGATTCTTAAAGCTTGTGAAGTTATTCCCAAAAAAATTGAAAATCCTTTATTATTTGGCAGGATAACATCCTATATTTTCACTTGTTTAAGTATTGCTGAAGGAACATTATTAATTGTATTCATATCTTATTAATATTAAAAAGGAAAGAATTTCAAATTTCAACTAATTTTCATAATCTTATTTTTGGGCTATTTTTGGTTTAATAATTTGGTAAAAGGTAATTATTAATAATATTAATAAGATAATACAATTATTTATTTATGATTACAAACTTAGAATAGGTCTAATAATATTTTTGTACATATATTATGTATTTAGAGTTGATTGTGATCTATTCATTAAAGTATTTGATAAATGATAATTTTAGGATATAATCAAAGTAATTGCATACATATTATTGGAAATTATTTTTATTATAGATACTGAATTAAAGAATTACTCTTAATATTAATTCGAAAATAATATGTAATTTAAAAACAACAAAGAATAAATACAATTCATGATTCCATAAGTTCAAATGTAGACTTAATAATAGATTTTGGAAATTATTACTAATCAATTTCCTATCATTTTATTTGATTAGACTAAAGAATTAATTCATATCTCAGGAGTAGCATTAAAATAATTACAAATGGATGAAGATTCTAATAAGATAGATTTAATATCAGCAGAAATTAAATTAAGAAAGATGGAAATCTTAAAATTTTATTCAACAAATCAATCTATAAAAGATAATTTAATTCAATTAAAGAGATTAACTAAATTTGGATCTACTTGTGGAACTAATGAAAAAGGAGAATTATTACATTCCCTTCTGAATGGACCAGCACTTTAATAGTTACGTATATTAAGGTAGCCATAAGAGATTTAAAGAATTATTCATTATAATCCAGATGGAGTATTAGAGTAATTACTTAATAATTTAATTAATGATTAACAAACAGAATATAAAGGAATATCTAAATTTAATATATCTAATAATAAATTCAAATATTTTTAATTTACTTTAATTAAAGTTCCTAAAGCTGATACTTTTTAAATTTTCTTAATTTTAGAAGATATTACTTAAATATATCAAGATATGAATTTGAACTAGAAAAATGAAGATGATGATCTTCCAATTATGTGTTAATAATTCAGATAAATGTTGTTCTATTAATAAAATTTTAAGATTCCTCTTAAATTATTAAATAATGAAATCAAAAACACTCTCAAGTATTCTAAAACTTAATATTTATAAGAAGAATAGTTGAATGTAGATTATTTAATAAATTAATTATAAGAAATGTATCAAAATCAAATTAATTCTAATATTAAACTATAATTTTTTAATAACCTGAAATTAAATGAAACTGAATTTAAAACAGATCAATTAAGATTGATTTAAATTATGTAAATACTACTAGATAATAGTATTAATAATACAAAAGAGGGATTCATTAAAATACTAATTGATGATGATAAAATATAGAATTGTATATAAATAGTGGTTGAAGATACTGGTATAGGAATTAATTAAGAAATCTTTTAATAAGAATTTAATTCTTATTAAATATTATCCTTATAAATAGTTAACTATTTAACAAAAATTTTGGGTCCTGTATTTAATTCTAATAAAATTGCAGGTTAAATTGCTAATAAAGGATTAAGAATTAAATCCATATAGGATTGTGGCACATCAATATCTTTTTCAATCAGAAATCTAAAATTAGATGAGTCCACTACTTAATTCATTATAGATGAAAACATATCTCAAGATGAAATGGATGTAGATGTAGATGAAAATGAAATTATGGAAAGATACATCAGAGATGATGATCAAATATAATATTTATAAAGATTTAATAAAGGACTAAGATCATTAATTATTAATAGGTAATAAATTCAGAAGATTGCAAAACCTATAGAAATCAATAATAATAAAAAATAAACCAAATTAGTTGGTATGATGAAACTATAAGAATTAGGAAGATTCAAAAATATATAAAAATAGAATGAATCTTGTTAATGTAATTACAAATTAATTATCAATACAAATTAAGATTTTGAAAGAGTTATCAAACAACATATTTAAGACAATGTTATTTATATTAATGAATAAGACTCATATAAACATATTAATTTAAGATTAAGAGAAAAATAATGTTTGAATCAGTCTTGCTAATTATATAAATGTATAATTATAAATTGTCATTTAACAAATTTTAATTATAGAGAGTAAATATATTTCATTATATTTAGTTTAATAACTAGAATTCTTGGAATCAATAGTAATTTCAAAATTATTATGCTAATATATAATTCAAATGGGGAAATGGATATTTTAGGAACCTGCATCATAATGCCAATTCAATTAGATGTCTTACTATAATACTTATAAGGTTGAGGTTTTTTAAAATTTTCAATATATATAATTCTTGAAAATATTGTAATTAATATTCCTTTTAATTTTGGAAAGTAATTTTGTTCTATTTTTTTTTTATCTATCATTAAAATTTATTTATTATTCAAAGAAAGCATTCTGAAGACATCAATTCCAAATATTAAAATAAATGAATCAATCTAATGATTTGAATTAAATTTCATAAAGTTAAGAGGAAAGCAGCCTCTTATTGGATTAACACACTAGTGAAAATGATATTTCTGCTATTCAATTTTCAACTTAGGAATTTAAAATTGATCATCGTTAAGACAAATTGTCACTTACAAAGATTGATGAGAACTATGAAGTTAAAATTACTTGCAGATCCTAGTATCTCGCTGTAAATTAGAGAATTAAGAATAAACTAGATAAATATTTTTTTTAATAGGAGATGGATATACCAAAGGATCAATGCTTATAAATAAAGTACTTAATAAAAAGGAAAATGAATCAATGTAATTAATAACTATCTGATTTTTATTACATTTATACTACGAATGAAGTATCTGAGAAGAGACAAGAATATTTTTAATTTAAGGTTGGCCCTTTCTATAGTTTCAAGTTAAGATAGATTGAACTTGCATTAAATTTAATTAATATACTAATTTTTTAATGCTATAAATGGATTGTAATGAAGAAGAATAGAAAAAGCCTTAAGTTTAATTCTGAATGATAAATTATACAAAAATAGATATTTATAACAATTTTAATTTTTCTATATCAATTTATATTGTAATAAATTGAGAAATGAAACAATAAGAAGATGATCCTAAATATTAGTAGCCTCATGAACAAAGAATAAATTCTTATATGAAAAAACCTGTCAAATTAAACTAATTGGATCCAGAGATAATGAAGGCATATTCAGAATAGATTGGATTAAATTCACAATAAGCTATGCCAAAATTATCATGGTAAATTATAATTTAAAATTGACAAAAGGTGGCAATAATTCATGCTGAGACCAGATATAAGAAAAAAGTACAATTAATATAGAAGATTTTCAAAGGAAACATTACCTATGTTGGTCTTTGTAGTATTTTCAACAGGGGTTTTAATTAAAATGGAAGGATAATATGATAAGATGAAATAGAAAGTATAAAATTCAAAGACTTTAAAAGAAATAGAGATTGAATAAGAAGATGCTGTAAATTTTATTATTTATTTAGTATATTAGAGCTGCCTTGGAAGGAAAAAAAATAAATTTGGATGTAACAATTTAAGAGCCAAGAAAGGAACAAAGGTATAAATTTGAAGATGATGATGATGATTAAAATTTACCTGGGTTTGATACTTAGGATGACTTTTATGAAGGATTAGCAAAAGAAGCAAAATAAGGAGCCAATATTCCCCAAGAATATTAGTAATAATATTTGGAATATCAATTCAGAAAGAAACAAGGTGATGAATAATAAAAGTCTAAATTTGATTTATGATAAATTATTTTTATTTATAACCAAAATAAATATATTGGTTTTAAAGGAATTTTTATACAATAAAGATAAATATATTATTATAGATAACATTAATTCTTATATTTATGTATAAAAAAACAGCTCATTTGTTTTTCTTTCCTCCTTTTTATTTCTTATTTGGTGAATCAATTTTAACCCAACCATCATCACTAATAATATAATTATTAATAATTACTCTTCTTATTCCTCAATTTTTTGTTATTTAGCAGTAGTATTTTTACCTTTAGATCTATGATAAGATTATTAAATAAAGTACCCTTTTTATTATTTTGCAGCTTAAGCAGCTTCTTCTGCAGCTTTAGTAGCAAGTTCTGCAGCAATTCTTGCATCTTCAGCAGCTTTTGCAGCAGCAGCAGCTTTAGCATCAGCTTATTTTTAAGCTTCTGCTTATTATTATTATTTAATAAGATTGGCTTTTTTATTTTATCTTGGATAAGAGACTTCTTCCCATCCATCATCATCATCTTCAACTTTTTATGGTTATGGTTTTTATTTTTCTTATGTTTATTTTACTTTTTCTTTAGTTTATTATTTTGTATTCTATTGTTATTGTTATTGTTATTGTTATTGTTATTATTATTATTATTTATTTGATTTTTAATTTTATTATTAATTTACATTTGATTATTATTATTTTTAATTGGTTTTAATTTCTTATACTTTTTTTTTTTCTCCTTCACTTTCTGATGGAGATGATGCTCTTTCAGGTGATTTTTTATCTGGAGATTCAGAAGATGGGGATCTTTATTATTTCTTCAATTCTTAAGCTTCAAGTTATTTTTATCGTTTCTTTTCTTCCTTTAATAATCTTCTTCTTTCATATAATTCATCCTTTGTTAATTCTTCATTATCATTTGAATTAGTTTAGTTAAATGGTAATTTGTCCCAACCTAATAAGATACTTGCATAGAGAAATTATATACACAATTGATCCTAAAGAGAGCACATATCCAATGCATGTTTCAAATGGTCGTTAAGCAACTTTGAGTGTACCCAAACCAACTCTAAATATAGATGAATATGCTCTTACGCAAAAGCTGCAACAAGTCCGTATTGAATTTGCTTGGATAATTAAGGCATGTATAATTAATATTAATAAAATGACAAGTGTATTAATTAATTTAAATGGTATTTTAATTATATATATATATATTTATATATCAATCTGTTAACTCGTCTGAATCATTTAATATAAGTCCATTTTCATTAAAATCTCTATCTTACATTGCTTTAGATTCATGATAAGTTCTTTATAAAATAGTATGTGACAATACTCCAATTCTTAGATCCATTTATTTAATTTCTAACTAAAAAAGAAATTAAAATTAAGTATTATACTCTAATTTTAGTTAATGCAGACTTAATTCTAATAACAGGAGATTAATCAGTAGAAATACTACCATGTTCATTCAATTTATTTTATACATTTTCATACTTTTCTGATATTTATTTGTATTAATCACCCATTTCTTTAATAGCATTTGTATAATTCTTGCATTATAATTCAATCTTTTTAACATCTTCATTTTTCTTTTTGTATTCACTTCCCTTAAATATTTAATTTCATTAATACCATATCATGCATATTTTCGTTTATATTATATTCTCTTTTACTAATTCTGTCTAAAATTTCAGATAATTCATCAGTCAATCTTTCTAATTTTATCCTAGCTTCTGGTAGAATTGCTTTAATTTATGATGAATATTATTTAGTAGCATCAAAATGCTATCTCCATTCTCCAGCATTAGGTTTAATTACTATCTTCATCTTTTATGAAGCTCTCTCTACTTCCTTGGCCCATTCTTATGGATTTACATTAGATTCTATCACCATCCTCTCTTCACTTCGTATTAATAGCTTATTTACTCCTTTTGGAATCCCTACTCATTAAAAACATCTTCTGGTTCTTCATCTGATGCTACTTCAGGATCAGAGTCTGATGACACACTCCCAGTCTCTTAAACAGGTTCTTCTTCTTATTTACTATTAGATAATGATTATACACTTACGTTTAAGATTGTTATTCAATTTTTGCTTTTTTAAATTGAAACTTCTTTTTTTATAAAGCTTTGCTAGCTAATTGTTATAAAACATAAACAACATATTCCCCAAAACCTTATTTTAATTTAAGTGGTGGAAAGTCTACATCTATACCAATATTTTTGACTTCATTTACTATTCCTATTAAAAAAGTAAATATACATATATTTTAAGATAATGTAACAGGATCATCTAATTTATTAAAATCAGTAGTTTGTACATCATTTTAAGAAAATAACCATTTTACCAATCTAATTAGAATTAATATAATATACGTTTTGAATTAACTGAATTATTCACTTGAATTTGTTTAATTGACAAAGTAAGCCTTATTCAATGGTTTTCCACCTCTATTTATTTGGATTTTAAACTTACTTTTATTTCACATAACTTTATTCATAATTCAATAATATTAGTTTTTCATACAAATCTTCCATCATAGCTGTTACATCCAATTATTCCTAATGAATTAAAAATATATTCATACTTAACCTACTTACTATTCAGACATAATTTAAAATATTTAATATTCAAATATACAAATATATATATATATATATATTTAATCTTCTATCAAACTTACCAATTATGTAACATTATCTTTTATAATGATAATAAAGCATGTTCTCTAATCTATTAATCATTATTTCTAGCTTATGTCATAATTTCTTATTTTGCATTCAATTATTCTAATACTCTATACTTATATAATTTATTTACACTTTTCCAAAAGGATGGAATCTACAAAATTCTCCCAAATCATAACAAGCAACTGCAACATTTTGATTATTATTTGATTTTAATATTTCTGCTAATTTTCTAAATTCAATCACTATAATAATACCTAATCAATAAGAAATCATTTTCTTCAAATTTCTTAACATTCTCCTTCCAAAACTTTTCAGTATGTACTGGACTCCATGTTAAATTTTAAGCATTCAATTCTTTAACATACTTCTCAAAAGAACTATATTAATTGAATTAATTATACGTTAATATTTTCATATTCTTTTCTAAGATTTCTCCAACATATTTTATATCATCTATTAAATCTTAATCTTTTAGATTTCCTTTCAAAAGTAAATCAACTACTTTGATTAATCCATTATCAACCATTAATTCAATACATTAAGGAGATACATCAACTAAATTCCTAAAACATGCAAATGAAACTCTTAAGATCTTTTCTCTTGATATCTTTTATACTGATTCTATTATCAATCTGATCAAACCAATTGTTGGATCATTAAATAATGGAATAGATTCAGTTGTAAAACTAAGCAACCATAATGCTAAAATTGTATAATATGCAATCTGTAAATCTGTAGAATATTTAGATAATAAATTATTAATTCTAAATGAACAAGTATTAATACATTCTAATTCCACCACTCTTAATAAATTAAATTGCAAGTGTTTCATGCTTTAAGAAGTGTACACAAATTGGCATAATCATAAAATCTGCAATTTTTAATTTATTACCTTTAAATTTAATATTATATTTTAATTACCTATTCCACCTAAAAACAATATAACCCATTCATTTGCATCATTTCCTCCTTCTTCAGCTATTATCATTGTTGCAATTTTTGCAGCAGCTTCATATGCCATAGGATCATATCCATCAAGAAATAAGAATTACTTTAATTTTGGTAATACTTAAGGAGTCAATGCTCTCATAAATTATTTAAATAATCTTTGATTGTCTATTTGATTTATTTATGATATATATACCTGATATAATTGCTTCAATTGTTGTCAGAATATAAGACATCAAAGGTTTATCATGAATAAGGTTCTCAATTATATCTAAAACCATTGAAAACACTCCAACAGAATCAGTTTCTAAAAGTTTCTTCTGTTCTTACAACTAAATAATATGATTATTCTATTCTACCTTTCCTTAAGTGAATTTAATAAACATATCTTTAGTTTCTCTCTTAATTGATTTACCATGTTGATCCAATTACTTAAAGCAATCTTCACAATCCTTCATTACTTTGTTTAGATACTATTCTCTTTAATAAAACGTTATAGATTGGCAACAATATCTCCTTTATCTGAACATATAATAATTTATTTTATATATATTCAATATGATCCATTGGGTAAATATATTGATTATGTTTAATTGATTTATCCAGGTCTCTATTATGGTTAAGTGTACACTGAATTATATATATTATATTAATGACTCTATTTCATTTGATATCTGGAATAGAAATCTAAATTATTGTTGATTTCATTTTCAAAATGAGATAAAACTTCTTTTAAATCACTGAATCTAGGTCTAATTTCTACTTCAGATATCATCTAATATATTAAATTAGTAAAAAGTGTTGAGTAACCTTTCTATATTAATAGATCATTGGCTTAGATAATTTTATGAATATGAACTTCTTTACTTATCCAATCATAATATTATTCACAAGAACTTAGATTGGCCAATTCCAATAGGGTTAATCCTAATGCAAAAACATCACCTTTAATAAAATCGACATTTGGTTAAGAGTTCTTTGCTCTTAATTCTTTCAATAATTCAGGAGAGAGATATTAAAAATCATTTAATAATAATGCTTTTTAATATCCATTCATACTCCCATAAATAAAATTATATTCCTAATAAAATATATTATTAAATGAAATACTATTAATTTAACACTTTAATCAGGATGTATATATATATTTTTAGATTTAATTTCTCCATGATATCTTCCATTTTTTTCTAAGAAATTACAAGCATTTACAATTTAAAGTGTTATTTACCATAATCTTAATTCTGGAAATTATTAATTGTTATTATTAGAGTAATTTTTAGATTAATAATTCATTTTCATTTCATTTTATATGTTATTGTAAAAGAATTCACCTATTACAGTTAATTAAGTTTAATCTTAACATAAGATTTGACTATGTTATTCAGAAATGAAAAATATTTATGTGATATTGTCATTGTTGTAACACTTTCTATTTTTGTAATGTGCTAACATTAATTTGGCTTCTTCTGATGTTGTAGGTGTCTTATGAAATTCAAAAATAGAATAATTCTATTCAATCGTAGATCAATTACATTATCATCTTTTAGAGTGTACACTCTAATCATACCTAACTAATTATGATGAATAGATTCTTTTAATTTGAATTTCTTCATCACATTTTCATACTTCTCTTCTTACAACTTTTAATTTGAATTCCCCATTATATTAATAATTATTAATTTATACTCAAATCATCGTAAGAATAACTACAACCCATGAAGATCCTTTTAGTTATACATTGATTTAAGATGCACCATTAACAAATTACACATACGAAGATATTGGAGTATTTAACAATTTGTAGAGTTCAACTTCATCTTTAGGTAACATCTAAGATACATATATTACTTTTGCTCCTTATTAAATGCTAATAACTTATGTATTAAATAGATTTTCTAATTATCTTATAATAAAAGATAATGGTTCCAAATATTTGTATATTTTTAATTAATATTTTGACCATATATTGATTTCCATTCCATTTGCTAAAGTTTTCTAATATATAAATAAATGTATATACTTTTTCAACTTCTCCAGGTTCACTTTACATAATAAATGGAATAGCTAAATTCATGAAAGTATTCCTATAATTATTTCCCTTCTTTAATATTTTTATTAATTCTATTGTTTATAATCCTGCAATACATGAAGTTGTTGTAGCCATGGCTGGTATAATCTATGATATATTGAATAATAATACTCTGCCTGCTTTTAATTTAGTCCACATCCAATCTACCTATTGTATACCATAATTAAGAGCTCTTCCATTAGTAGCTGAAGTAATAAATGATACATGATGATTCAAATCATCATCTTTCTCAAATTATTAAGGTTATGGTAAATTAGGTTTAATTTAATTTAATAAATTCCTTGCTTCTTCTAATAATTAATTATAATTCTTAACTTCTTCTTCTTATTCAATTTAATTATTTTATTATTTCTCTACTAAATCTTAAATCTTATTCTTCTTCATTTATTATTTACTTAATATTTCTATATTTATTTAATTTAAATCATATTATTATGGTATCTCTATACCATAAATTTGAGCAGTTAAAATAGCATAATATTCAACAAACTTATAAGCAAATGCACCTTTAAATTCAATAACTTATGGGGCTCTTTTTGGAGGTGACCAAAATAATTTACCTTCCTTTGTTAATGAATCTAAAGGATATGCATTTAATAAAGCTTAAATATCAAAGACAAATAATTTCTAAAATTTCTATCTTCCTAATTCTAAACATTATTAAAATGATTTTGGATATTTTTTGAGAATTCTTAATGCTAAATCTACAGTTTATTATTATGGAGATACTTCTTACATTAATTAAACTAAAGCAAATGGTTTACGATAGAAATATTATTCAAATTTATCTCTTGCCCATTCTAAACAATGGATATTATTTTCTGGAAACATTCTCAAAGTACAATATGGAATATCATTATTTTATTCAGGATCTTATTTACTTGCATAACTTTCAGTTAAATTAGGAATGATTGTTTATACATGTCCCTTTGTTCCTAATGTTCCACTCTCAATTAAACAAATATCATTTTCAACACATTTTGAATCTATATATAATCTTGCTTAAACATTATCTAAAGCATTAGTAACACAATTCATTTATTTATAAAATTAATTATGATATATGTCCTATGTCTCTTAACATACCTTATCTAATCTAGCTATAATATTAATATCAGGATTCATAGATTTTACTACTGCAGCAGCTGTCAAACTTTTAGGTTTTCTTATATGCTTTTCTCTAAATAAGAACTATCTACTAAGATTTGAATTTTCTATAATATCTGGATCAGTAACATATATTGCACCATTTTTACCAACACCTAAAAGAGCATAATTCTTTAATAATTCACAACCTATTGCACCTGCTCCAACTACAAATACATTTGATTAATGTATATTTTATAAACACCCAATAGTATTAATTAAATCTTTATATCTAGAATTTACATTTTAATTAATTTTATATTTTTATAGAAATTATTTATATTCTGAATATAAATTATTTAATTCTCTTAATTTAAAAGGTAATACATCTTCAAAGGATTAGACATATACTTAATAAATTGGAGTATATTTTCTATTTATAGCTTTCATTGCTTCTTAAGCTGTCATACCTCCAATAATTGCACATAATGGTTAGAATTAAGTATCAATTGATAATAATATCATTAGTGGCATTAATTCATCTTTATAATTATTAAATACATCTTCATTAAAATATTAATTGAGTTTTTTATCAATTTCTTATTATTGAATTTCATTTATAAATAATTTAATTTTATCTAAATTCCAATCATCATTTAATTAATTTGTATTATTTAAACAAAAATGAATCAAACCTCTTTTAATTTCACCCATTTTATCCAACATACCCATATTCTCACAGAAATTAGATAATGAATTTTAAATATTTTGAATTCTTTAAAATGTTAATTTATATGTTTATTTTTATTAATAAACTACTCCATGACTAATATAATCACAAAATATTTTATCAGTAATTAATTCAAATGAATTTCTTTTTACATTTCTAATTTAAAATTTCTAATTATATGATTCCATTTATCCTTCTTTTTATCTTACTTCTTAAATTAAAATAATATCATTTTCATTTAAATTATGATTCTAATTCTTAAATAAAGTAACTAAATTATTCTAAATACTTTCAATCATAACTTCTGATAATTATTCTCCATCTTTATCTATAATATTGAATTCATTCCCAAAATCTGTTACTATCCTAGCAAATACATTTCTAGTTTAAGCTAAAATGACTGCTACTTTATTTTAATTTGATATTTCAATTGATAATTTTGGATCTTATGTTATAAATACTTAAATATCATTTAAATTTAATTCTTAGATATTATTCTATAGAATATCAATTTTAACATAAGGATTTAAATATTTTAATTTATTTAATACTCTTTCATCTCTACGATAATTTATATCTTCATTATTTAAATAAAAATTAGTTCCTAAATCAGATAATTAAACTATAGTAGGATCAAATATAATCAATCTCTTCACACCAGATAAAACAATATTCTTAGCTATTTCTATTCCTAATCCATTAAGATTATGAATGAAAATAGTTGATTCACTTTATTTCTTGACTGCATCCAATCCAACTACTCCAATATATCTACTCATTAAATTCTATAAATTTTAATCATTTGAATCAAATTATCTTTACTATAAATTATCTTCATAACTAATATCAATATTATTCATATCTAATCCCTAAGGCATTTCCATATTATATATATCCTACTATTCAATTTTAATAATAAATTCTTAATTTATACTAATTGACTTTTTCTTTTCATCTGTAATAGTGTAAAAATCTGTGCCTATATTAAATTTTAATTTCTCTAATTCTACTTTTAATTCATCATAAACTTTAATCAATTCTTATTTGTATAAACCAGGTGTTGAACCATAATTACATTAATTTTATGTTTATCCATAAGTAGCAGGTAGATTAGCTTATTCAATCCAAGATTCTATCTCTTTTTTAATTAAATCCTTCCTTAAATAAAAACTTTTCTGAATAACTTCCTCAAATCCTTTTGGAGGCTTCTGTAATTATTCAATCATTGCATATCTGATATTTTAAACTTTTATAAAATTACAATAACCTCTATTAGCCTATTCTCCATTTGGTGTACCCATTTATGATTCCCAACCTGGTTCATTAAACATTACATTCTCCCACATAACCATTGATTATACTGATATTAAAATTTATAAAATAGTAGAAAAATTAACTATCCAACTATCACCCCAAGTTCCCAATAGACTCAAACATACTTTTCCACAATTATATAGATTTGGATTGAATCTTACTTTTCCATGTCCAGTAGTTGATAGTTTCATTTTTGGAGGTCTTTATGGATAATCATCCCCAAAATACATATCATATAAAAATGCACCATGAGCATATGGAGTACCACTTGAACCAAAGATAATAGTTCTCATACAATCCATTCTATCTTAATCATATCTTAAAAATATGGAATTGGTTGATTCCATAGGAAGATTGTCTTCAATATTTGATATTTCTTATATCAATTTTTACATTTTAACTTAATTAGGATTATTAGTATTTTAATAATAATCTTTCATGACACTTTAATATTCTGGATCACTTTTGATTTCACATTTACCAACTGCTAATTTCTTCATAAATGGCTTATAAAATTAATGCATACTGATTTAATCTTAATATCCACTTTATTAATCTTAATTTAAATATTTAATTTTAATCATATTTGATGCATATAAACAAGATTCAACATAATTATATACTTCCATAAATTTATTTACTTCTTCAATTTTAGAGTTGAATGTTTTAATAAACATTATAGCCCATTAATTAAAGGTTTCTAATTATCTAAATAAACTAAAATTATCATTAATTAAAAATAATTCTAAAGTAATTTAATGTTTTGCAAAATTTTCAATTATTTTTAATATTTCATTAAAAGCTTTTGAACCTTCTATTTAAGTTATATTTATATTTTAAAAGTATTTAATTAAAAAATTTAAAATGTTTGATTATTATAAACATTCAATTACTGAATATTCTTTATAATTTTGATCAAGTAATATTCTAAGACATCTCATTAAAGTTTCTAAATTAATTTCTTATTAATTTTATTAAATTTCAATTTGTTTTCTAGGTTAATCTTATTATTATTATTTTTCTGAGATTTTTTAAAAATCAAATATTTATGTTTTATAACCAATATCACCATAACCAATTCCTTTTGGTTTTCCTTTTTAATTATCTAATAATTTTGGATTATTTGATTTGTTTGATTCAAAATTGGGTTAGAATTGAGATTAGACATTTCTATTTAATAAATTTAAGTAAGAATCAATTCTATTTACAATCCTTATTTATATTTTAGTTATAACTAATGCTCTCTCTTTCAAATCTGGACTTTAATCTAATAATGTTGCCAATGATTCATACATTAATTGAATAACTTTATTATATGCTTCTTTACCTTCTTTTTTATCATTTAAGAATGCTACTGCTAATAATAATTATAAAAATCCATTAGTTTAAATAATAGAGTAATAAAATCCATCAATTTGAGATAAGAAATGTAATTCAATAAATAATTATTTATAAACTTAATCTGCTTTTACTGTATATAAATGTTTATTAATTTATTCTAATATTTTCTCAATTCCACCAATATATGTTTAAAAGTAATTTAATAGAGGTTTTTATGATGAATTTTTCAAATTAATTTATTAAATTGACTTATTAACTAGAATATCATTAATTTCATTTTCTTTAAATTCTTCTATATTAATTTTTTCATTTAATTATTCTGATAATTCTTAAATAGTTAAATTATGTGAAATGAAATGAATTGGTTAAAATCTAAATTATGAAAGATAATAGTTTAATTGTTATGTATAACTTTTATGATCAATTAATTCTTAGATATCAGTTGATAATAACATATCTTTAGATTCATCAAATGTCCATATTTCAATTTATATCAAACAACAATCCTAATCTATCATAGAAGCTGTTATTTAATCTATTAATAACATTCTTTATTAGATTTTATCAAAAGGAAATCCAAATTTAGAAGATTAAAAATTGATAAAATCCATACAAGCAATAGGTTGATTATGATGACTGATTTATAACATACTCTATTAAATATCTAATATCACATGAGGTTTCTTATCTAATGAATTTACATACCAAAAATGATCATCCTAAATCATCATCACATAAAATGATTGATAATTAGATTTAGCTTAAATATAATTATGTTATTTTTTATCTTAAATAATATTGTTAATAAAACATGCCAATCTAATATTTTCATTGCCTGCCATCAAATCAAAAATAAATAATACATTATTTCTATTATCTAAAATATCTAATAAAATTTATGAATCTAAATGAGGATTTAATAAATTAAATTAATGTAGATTAACCCATTATCCTTTAATTCTATATGGATTCTCATTTATTTATTATTTCTATTATAATTATTCATTTTCTTATAGTTTTTATTAATTTTATGTACTTAAATGATCTTAAACAAGTTAATTAATCTTTTCAGATTATTTCTTAGTCAATATATCAGTCACTAATTAAGATTAAGATAATATATTTTTCTTTTGTGAATTTAAAACTTTTTCAACTTATTACTTACACTCTTAAACACTTAATTTTTAATGAAAACAAACAGGTATCAATCTAACTTATTCACTATTAAGAATTGGTAATATAACTCTATATATATAATCAAATTTCTATTTCTCTAATAATAATGTGAAATCATCCTATAAAATATCAATTAAAATCTTATCAACTTAATCTATACTCACAATCCTAACAATTAAATTTACCATAGCATCAATTATTAGAGGCTCTTTTGACCATTAAGGTGGATTTAAAGATCCAAATATAGGCTATGAAAATCTAATTGAATTATATAGAATTCTATGAAATTTATTGTTAAAGAATGTATTAAGTATTGTTTAATTGGTAGTGAAAGCTAGAAAAAATTATAATAGATTTATCAATTAACAATTCAAATTCTAAGAAGACTTCTAATCAAGTAAACTAAAATCATAATTAAATAATGTTACCTTTCAAATATTGATGATAAAATTGTTATGATTTCTTTATATATAGATATATTTTATGTCTATTATGAAAAATATGATAATGCTAAAATATCTAATTTTTATGGTTTCTCAAATGAATTATTAAATAGTTCATCATTTATTCTGTTAACAATTACTGTCTAAAATACTCTAGGGGATGTTGCACATGTAAATGGTTATGGAGGATTTATGGCAAATATTAAAAATCTAGGTAAATATACTCTAATAGATTATAATTAATCATCCTCTTTTAATATGAGTTTCAATAACGTTAGTACAATTTATTAGTCACTATTGATAGAATAACCTATTTTTTAAGCAGAATATCCTAAATGTTATGTTTATTATTATGAAAATTATGATTATAAACCTATTTCTTAAATTTGGAAGAATAACTTCAGAATTTTACTTAATTATTCTACTTAATCATTTTCTATTTCTATACATAATATAAAACTATTACTTTAAAAATTCAAAGTAAATTGAATTATGTTGGCACAATAATTGAACAACTTTGCTTATCTCTCAAAGAACATCGAGAAATCTGAAAGTATGATAATTTCTAATTAAGGGATATTATTTTCTTTTAATAATGTTAAGAATTCAGGATCCTCTTTTTAATTTGGATCTACAATCTAAACATATTATTGTGTTTAAGTAGCTTTGCATATTAAAAAGTGATTTACTTGATTCTACTTTTTACAATTATGGTTCTATATATTCCTCTTCTTCTATTTATTATTCTCTATCACAATAATACTCTTCATAATCTTCGTATTCATCTTATGACATTTTTTAATATAAATATTATAATAATATTAAAATATCACTCTCACTTAAATTTGGTTAAGTTAGAGTTATATATTAAAAGATATATTTAATTAAATGAGAATGGAATATCTGGATATCTATATATTCTATTTTATAAATATATTTATTGATAAAAAAAAATATAAAATATTAATTTATGATTGAAGTATCTCATAAAAGCTTGCAATTCCAATAAGGTCTATTAAATAGATTAAGATTCAAGATTAGAAATGTAAGTGATGTACCAATTACATTCAGAATTAGATGCAATAACAATACAAATTATAAATTAGATCATTATGTGGGACTTATTCATAGTCATTAAGAATTTGAGAATTGCATTTAAAATATTGAAGCTGCTGTAATCTAATCTAAAATTAAATTAGGATATTAAATTATTTGGAGATTAATTAGAAATTTAATATGCAGAATTTATAGATCCTTTATAAGATTTGAAAGATTTTTGGAAATCTAGAAAAAGTTTAGAACATGTCATTATTACTATTGAAGTTTTAGATGTATAATAATAATAAAAAGAAGCTATCTTAGCTGAATTATAGGTTAAATCATAAACATTACAAAAAGAATTATAAACTATTAAATAATAATATATTTAGGTTTAGAAATCTGCAGTTGATATCAATTATTTTAATTAATTTTAAGAAGGATTTACTGTAGGTTAATTGATGATTGTTATTGTAATAGGATTGTTTTTAGGTGGCATTTTTAGATGAATTTATATATAAATATAATAAAATACATAAATTTAATGATTCTTCATAAATCTTATTATTAATTAATACCTGAAGAGAAAATATTTTGTATATTTTGTCTTATGACTTAAGAAATATCAGAATAGAAATTTCTATAAAATAATCTTCTCAATACTATAAATCCAACAACCATAAGAAAAAAGAAAAATGATCCATAAACAATTGCAATGTTAAACTTATGTTATTTAGTTAATCTATTTAAAAAGAAGTCACTTTTCTATAATGTTGATTTTTATCCTGAATAGATTTAACTTGTTTTTTAAAATTATTAACTAGTATTGACTAATATAAATATTAATTAATGAATACTAATTGGAGTAGCAACTGAATTAATTTATTCTTCTGCTTATGCTAACATATTTCTTGTTTCAATAAAATGATGTGTTAATTCTGTATTATTGCTCTTTTTCATCTATTTATTATTATTATTATATAAATTAAAATATATTGGAAAACATATATAATATATTTTTGATTATTCAAAATAATTAAGGTACTTATTTGTTGATTAATGTTTATAAATTATAGGCATTTTATTGACGAATTGGTGATTTACTAGGTTTATTAACTCTTATTTTTGAACTTGGTTTATTGATCTATTTAAATTCATTTTCAAATTATCTTTATTTTTCCAATTATTATTCTTCTTAATATTATTATAAGGTTTATTATTTTTTAATTAAAAACTTCTCTTATCTTTCAATTAATGTATCTGTATTTTTGGATGCTAATTCTAATGATTTTTTATTCAATTCAGGTTGAAATGGATATGATTCAATTGATTCTTCTTTAAAAGATTAAGTTCTAAAATTATTGCAAAAATTTCTTTTAAGAAATTCATCAAACTAATTTTATGATAATACTTTGATTTCATGATCTGTTATTTCAGTTTAAGCTCTAGTTTACCTATTTTCAAAAAGAGAGTATTGTTCTCTACGCTTTTTAACTCTTTCTTCAAATTCAGGTGGTAATTTGTTGATATTCAATTAATATACTTCAGGTTATGGTTATTTACGTTCTTGCTAATCACATTATATGTACCATAATTATATAATCTAGAAAAGACTTCTTCGTTTGGTTTAGTAGGTCTTTAATCATTTTGGACTTATTCATAAAACTTTTCAAACTATTTTTCAAATAGATATTTCTATTCTCTTTATTAACCATATTTAATTAATCTATCTTCAACAGGTTCATCAAATTCCATTAATTTAGACTTTTCATTTATACTTGGTTAAAAACTAGACTCATTTTATTGTCTACTACCTTTTTTATCAAAATATTATTGAGCATGATATTTCCAACCATCAATAGGAGATAAATAATTTTAAGGTAATTTTTATATTTAATGTTATTATGATTTCTATTACAAACTCATTTCATTTTGATATTATTCTTAAAATCGTTTTTGATTTACTAGATTTTTCCATTTCATTGAATAATCATAAAAATCTTTAGTTATTTATTAAGGTGGTTCATCTTCAATTTCATTTACTTTATCAATTAAGATTTATAATTATTTTTAGTAATCAATTTCTTTTTATTTCTACTACTTTTTTAATGCATTTTAATAAAGTTTTTCATGACATTATAATTCTTGTCCATATTCAACATACATAAAATTTTTGAACATTCAATTTAAATTTTTAACTTATATAATTATTATAATAAACATATTTATTTAATATAAAGAATCAATCACCAAGTTCTTTCATCTTCATTTAATTATTCCATAGTAAAATATCTATCTGATATTTAAGATATTTCATTAAATTATGGTATATATGCAAGAGTATCATATTTCTTCTATGCTAAATCCTCCCAAGAAATATCATGAAACCAAGGATGACTTTATAATTCCTTAAAATCCGTTAGAAATCCTAATCTCTATGTACTATCATGTTTTATCAATTTTTAAATAATATCCTTACATTATGAAGAACAAACTATATTTTTTGGAAAATGAATTTCACCTTTGAGAATTAATTTCAAAGATATTTCAAAATTGTTGTGATAGAATGGAGTTATACCTACCAATAATTCATAAATAAGAATGCCTAAACTATACCAATCAGACATTCTAGTAAGTTCTCCATTTTTTATATATTCTGGAGATGAATATTCAATAGTAAAATTGATTGCTTATGTTTTTTTGTATTCCTAATACATTCTTAATTTACCATATCCAAAATCAGTTAAATATACATAACCTCTTTCGTCTATCAAAATATTCTCAGGTTTCAAATCTCCAAATATAATTCCTCTCTCATGTAGATCTGATAATGCTATTGCTACTTATGCAACTATTTATTTTACTTATTATTCTGGAAAATTGTTAATATCCTTTAAATGTTAATAAAGGTCTCCTCCTTTCACAAATTTGAAAATCAAATTAACATTACCATTATAAAGTAAACACAATTCAAGTTCTTCTATAAATGGCAATTTCTCATAATTCTTGAGAAAGAGCTCTAAAAGATCTATATCAACAGAATTCATAGGAACACATTTAAGTACTGAGAATTGTTATTATTTTTCATATTTATTATGTAATAAGTATATCTTACTTAAAGATCCTTAAGCTAAGACTACTGATTTCTAATATTCATCTAATTTAACTCTTAATCTTAATGGATCATTAGCAAACAATACCAATAATTCATTTGCATTTGCTTTACTTTTATTCATAATATTGATATAATTTAATTAGAAATTCTCAGGATGTAATATATTAATTTAACATTTTGGATGTAAACTAGTTTACTTTTATTTATCAGGTGTTTAATGATGCATACAATAAGGTTATAAGATTTCATCTTCTATAAAATATATTTTTATTCCATCTATATTGTGCATTTTCAATGCAATTGCTAAGTAAAATATTATTACATCTCTATTCTCTTATGATTTGTACAATAAATCAGATTCTGTAGGTACATGTATAATAAATTCTTTACTCACTTTTGAAATTGTGACTCCAAATATTTTGTTAATTGCAATCTTTCTTTTAATTGACTTCTTATCTATATTATAAACAAACTCATTAGAAATTGCTATCATTCTTAACTATTCATTATTCCTCTTATTGATTTTTGTAATCATTCGAGATATAAGTATTATTTCTAAGGATGTGCATTATTTCTTAAAATACTTTTCTGCATCCACATGATAAATGTCATTTGTATCAACTTTGATTTATTTCAAAATATTCATTTTAATGTGTTCCTAATGCATTCAATTTATTATTAAAACAAATTATCTTTATACAAATAATAACACAATAAATTATTATAGATAATTATAAATTGGATATACATGTAATTTTATTTGATTTTAAATACATTATTAAATTAAGCACTCTCTTAAATACTACACTAATTTCATATTATTATTATTATTATAATATATAGAAATCCATAATCTAATAAAAAAGTGCTTAGTCTATAATAAATTCATCATATTATATATATATATATAATTATTTGTAAAGTTATTTAATAAATTATTATGTTTAATTTTAAGATAACTTTTATATATTCTTAAAATCAAACAATTTTAATTATTATACATAGATTTTAATAATTTCATATGCTTATAATTTTATAAGATATATAGAATCTATATAATAGTCTGATTTTGATTATTAAATTTATTAAATGAATGAAATCAATAATAAAATAAATGAATAACAAAATAATAATAGTATTAATAACTATAATCCTTATTACACAAGGAAAAAGACACTTCATTGAAAATAAAGTTCATAAAAAAAAAGAATTAGATGGAGGTATCAAATGGGAGTCTCCAGAAAGCTTTCATAATGATGAAGATTATTAAAAAGCAATTAATTAAGCAAGACATGAATTTCATCATATTTGTCATTTATCAATTGATGTTACTTGGATTAGAGTTGATAAGGTTGGTTTCCAAATAGTAGCAGGTGTAATGTGGTGGGTATAATATTTATTATATACTAAAGTTAGAAGTTGAATTGAGTGATGATGAAGTGTATGAGATGAAAGTATATTAAGAATTAGAAGGAACATTTAAATTAGTAGGGTGTACCAAATGACATATTATTCACACTATATTAATATATAATATCATAAAATAAATTAATCGTTAAAATAAAAAAATGCAAAGATCCTGGTTAGAGTAACCCTAAAGAACTTTGGATATCAATTTTGATATTAAATCAATTAGAAATTAGGTTAAAGATAGATGCGTACCAGTTCTATAATATTAAACAGACTCTGCACAAAAATCATTCAATTCTTATAGGTAATAAAATGAAATATCTCAGAAAAGAAAGTTTACCTACAGTACCATCATTTGAAAACTTATAAGCCAAAATTAGGGATTTCTCATATACTAAACTCAATCAGGCTTAATCATTTTAATAAAGGAATTAGATTACTGATAAATCTATCACTTATTCACCATAAAAGGCAGTGGGTTTATAAAAGAAGTAATTTTAAATTATATAAATTCAAGGATTAATAGTTCTTTAGGTAGTAGGAATAACACTAATTATTAAAGTTCTCGATAATAATAATCACCAGCATATTAAAGCAGACCTATTGAATTAAGTTATAGGTCATAATAGAGAAGAAATTTGAGTGATAATTTACAATTAAATGAAATAGTTTCTATGAGAAATAAGATTGAATCATCTTAAGCTAGTAGAAGTTTATTGGGAACAAAGTAATTAATTTGATTTAATATTAGTTATGTGAGTGAATTAGTAAAATTAGCTTAGGCCATAACTAATGCACTGAAATGATAGTTTAAAATTATAATATAACTAAAAATTTATATATATTAATTTTTATGAAAAACAATTAATATAAAATTAGAGTAACATTAGATAGTACTCCTTCAACTTATTAAACTACTGAAACTTTATCTTTATGGGAAAATTTATAAAGATCAAAAGATTCACCAAGAAAATCTAAAATAAGAATTGCAAGAGACCCACTTGAAAATGAATGTCCTTTATAATAACCGAATCCATTTTTATTTAATGAATAATTAAAACATAGTTTTAGGGACTACTTGGAAGGTTAAAAGACAGCATTAAATTTAGTAAATGAATGTAATCATATCATAAGTTAATCACATAAGATGGATTAACTAAAATTATTTTCAAATATACATAAATTTCGAAGTTAATTAAAATAAAGATCCTCTGTTAGATTATCTATGATCTAAAATAATTCATAGACAGATGATCTTCTTTAAAGAAAAATTAAAATCTAAGAAAGATTTCATAAAATTCAAGCATTAATATAATAAAGAATGTAATCAAAAAATAAAAAAGATTCACTTAGAGATGTTTAATTATTTAAACATTTATTTGAAACTTGTGAAAAGAATGTTAATAAAATTAAATCAAAGAATCTATTATCAGAAAAAGCTGATGGAGTTAGAGAATTTGATTAAATTAAATATTCTAAGAATCCATAAGGATCATTAAGAGTACGTCTAAACACTGAAGACAATTAAAATTAATCTAATCATAATTTAAGGAGTAAAACTTTACCAGATTAATAAACAATACACTTAACTAGAAAGAAGGAAAGAGAGAAAATGAATGCAAAATTAACTGAATTTTTAGAACATAATCAAAATTAAGAAAAAAATCTACTTCTTAAAGCTAAAAAAAATTTAGTTAGAGAATTAAAGAATGGTAATTAAAAATTTCATTAATTTGAACCTAATAGATATAATATTACAGATCCATTAAGTAAAGATGTAAAATTTTATGCTTATATGTTTATGAAACCTAAAAATGAAGATATATTATAGAAAAAGGATTAAAAGTTTAAATTCTTATGTAAAACTGCTAGAGTTCAAAAAAATACTTAGAGACATTACTTAGCAAATTTTGATAAAATGTAATCTAATTCTAGAGATGAAAGCTTAGAGGAAGATTCTTCATTCAACTCTATGCTTGAAATCAATATAGATAATCTTTATAAAAGAAGCACTGATTTGTAAAATATGATTCTAAATACAAAATCTGAAAAGTTTGTTAAAAGAATTAGACAATTCTAAAAAGTGCAATCCTTAACTACTTAAATAATTAAAGTTAATGAATAAAAACTATCTAATACTAAATTATTATGAATACATTGTTACATAACATTTCTATGCATATCAATCAAAATCAACATTATCCTAATTCTCCCATGGACTAAAATTTATTTTAGGTTAAATTTATTTAATCTTTATTTTTTAAGATAATCTTCTTCTTTTCATTTAATTCAATTTTTAAAACTAGTTTTATTTTGCTAAATTAAATGGCATTTCAATTAAATTTTCTTTATTATTACTAAATATTGTTCTATGTGGAATTGGAGGTTTAATTGGATATTATACTTAAGTTAGATGATCTTCCTCCATTTCTGTTTTTGTTTCAAATGATTATCTTCTCAATCTCTATCTCTCTAATTTCATATGAATAATTTTTAATGCATTGTCGCTGATTTTTCCTAATTGCAAACCTTTATAATAATTCTATTTGATATCATTTATTTCAGTGATCTACCTCAATCTCTCTACTTTCATAGAAGTAGACCTCTGTTCTTTACTCTATCCAAAGATGAAATTGTAACAATTTTATCGTTGATTGTATTGGAAGTTTATCATTTTAATTTCTGAATTGCACTAAAAATTATACTTCCTCTAATAAAATTAAAAAGTAATTATGAATAATACATAATTAATAATATTATTAACAAATATCAAATTTCATCCTTGTGATCACCTTCTAATTTAGGAATAGCTTTCCTACTACTGGGAACTAAATTTGATCCAAATCTAAACTAATTTAATAATCAATAATTTACGATGCTTTTATGATTAAAATAATCAAAGAATAAAACAAATGATAATAATTACTTCAAAGTATATCCATTTTCTAACTATTTAATAGGTTTTTCTGTAGGTTCATATGAAATGATATAATATCTTTAAATTAATAAACTTTTAAAATATCATATATAGTCATTATATGGAATCTATATATAATCAGAAGAATTCAAATAAAAAGAAAAATATGTTTGATTATTTTACTATTCTTTGTATTTTTCCAATAATTAATTTGTTTTAATTTCTTAATTTATTCATTCATTTTTATAGAAACTCTCCTCAACACATGTTTCTTCTGGTGATATATTATGATTAATAAAATAACTTTGAGCACAGTTAATCATTGTTGATTTTTAACAGTATTTTTCAAATTAATTTGTATAATTAAAATAATGTTATAGTAATACTTACAATACACATTATTGATGTAATAATTCTTAAAAAATAAGTTAATCTAATAAATAATTCTATGTTTAAGTTATATAATAATATTCAAATTAATAATGATAAAAAGAATATCATTATTATATATCCATTCTTATGATATTCATCATAATGTTTTGAAAAACTATTACAAAAATCCAAATAGAAATTGACTGAAAAATCTAAATCAATTGTTAAATTGAAATTTATCTTTTAATCCTTTGATAATACTATTACTATTAAACTATTGGTAAGCATTAAATTTAATATTATAATCTAATCTATTATTTGGAACTCTTCTATTATATAATATTTAGATTAAAAAAAGATTTTAAATAAAATTTTTATTGATTACTTAATATTTGAAAAATAAATTAATTTTGGTTATGAGATTTCAAATTTAATATTGTGTTATTTATTAATATAATGCAGAATTAATTTAATCTATTCATTTAATTACAGAATGATATTTAGATTTACTATAAATTACATTTATCATTTGATTCTTAATGATTGTATTAAATTAATAATTAAATTTGATTTAACGGAAGTTAATATTATTAAAACGATATTAATATCAATTATATTGTTATAAAAAGTGAACAATTTTTAAATGTCTCCATCTTTAAGCAACTTCTAATGGAGTTTCTTCTATGCCATTGATTGTTACAGATATTTATGGGTTGGCTCCTTTTTCAATTAAAATTTGACATATTTCTAGATGACCCTATTTAGCAGCTACATATAATGGTGTTAAGCCTTTCTAATTTTTTTTATTAACTAAACTGTATTCACTCTTTTAATCATAGAAATATCTTGATAAATTAACTAGATGTATACTTTTTTGGATCTTTATTTAATATTTCTTCTATTCTGTTAGGTGGATATCCTTTTTCAATGAATGTAAAAAGAACTTATTACATTTGAATATTTTTTAAAGCTTCATTAAAGTTACGACTGCTTTCTGATCTTTGTTTTGATTGAACATCTGGTTTGTATCCACTTATTGTTAGTTCATCCTTAGATTAAAATAAATAAATTACTGGAGAGTTCAATCTCTTCGTTTTTGGATTTTGTAGTAACCTTATGGTTGTGATGGCATGACGAAAGCTCTTCCAATACTTTAAGCCATCTCCCTCAGAAAATGGTACTCTATTAATTAAGATTCAGAGATACGTGTCAGGCTAAATGTTCCTAAGAGGAATATTTAATTTCTTTTTCATATTATAAAAATGATTAATAGTTATTCATTTAACTAGTATGCAGTTATTCAAAACAAAATCAAGGACCAATGATGGATTCTTAAATCTTAAATCAGCTAATTTTACAAAGCAATTATTGGAAATACAAAGCATTACTTATTTTTTCTTACTAATTTTAGCTTGTTCCCAATTTTTAATGTCTTTAATAAGATTACAATCAATTCTACTAGCTTGTTTAAATTCTTCATCAATCTTGTCATATGTTAAGATAGTATTGGAGGATAATTTAATAGTTGATTTAGAAGGAAGTTGTAATGGTTGTTATAATGATTAAACATTTGGTGATTTTGATGTTTATTTTGATTAACAATTACATTATTGTTTAGTGGATTTGGAATCCTCTTGATCATTTTCATCATCAAATTCAACATCAGGGATATCTAATTCAGTACCCTTATAAAAGAGTCTTTTATCTTAAGAGGGATATAATTTATCTGCAATTTGCTTACTAAAAATAAGGTTAAATTTTTCAATTTATTCAGAGGGCAGATTAACAGCTTATCTATAAATGAGATTGCCAGCCTTGGTTTCAACTATATAAGTGGGATGAGAACGTTTGCTTTCTAATTTAGAGAATACAATGCCAACTATTTTTTAGGAATCAGACATAAGAAATTATATTGAATAACAAAATTTGATTGGAAAAGATAATAATAACTTAAAAGATTAACCAAAATATGAGTGAGAGATTATGATACAAATAGTCCATATTTATATAATGATTATAATTATATTAAATAAATAATTGAGATTGGGATTAATGTTTCAAAATAAGTACATAAGTGTATTAATTTCATTAGAACAGATTATGATAGAGGAGTGAATACATTTTCACCAGAAGGTCGTCTATTCTAAGTGGAATATGCATTATAAGCAATAAAATTAGGAGCAAGTGCTTTGGCTATAAAAGTGAATGAAGGAGTAGTATTGGCAGGAGAAAGAAAATTGAATTCAACTCTTTTAGAGCCTAAGAGTATTGAAAAGATATATGAAATTGATACACATATTGCATGTACTGCTTCTGGTTTCATTCCTGATGCCAGAACTTTAGTTGAACATGCAAGAGTAGAATCTCAAAATCATAAATTCAATTATGGTGAACCTATTAATGTAAGAGCACTTACATAAATTGTTTGTGATTTGGCTCTTGATTTTGGAGAGAGTGATTCCAAAAATAAAACAAAGATGTCTAGACCTTATGGAGTAGCATTATTAATTGCTGGTGTATCAGATCATGGTCCATAAATTTATTAAACTGGTATTATATTAAATGATTATAGATCCAACTGGAACTATGATTGAATATTAAGCTAAAGGAATAGGTGCAGCAGATGAAGGTATTCAAAGCATACTTAAAGAATAATATAAATAAGTAAAGATAATTAATTAAGGTAGGATTTGACCTTAGAGTAAGCTGAAAGATTGGCTATTTTATGTCTTAAGAATGTTATGGAAGAAAAAGTAATTATATATATTTTATTATATCTTAGATTAATAATACAAATGTTGAATTGGCTGTAATTACAACTGTAGAAAAAAGATATACATAAAGAACACCAGAACAAATATAAAGTCTAATTGACAAAGTTTGAAATATATATATAAGTATAATATAATTCAAATACGTGAGGAATTAATTTTAAGAATTGTATTGGACTTCTTATTTTAAAAAAAACTATTGAAACTCTAAAAATGATGATCATCCTCTATATTATATGGTTGTGAATAATCTATGTCATCTTCAAATACTATTTATTTCTTAGGGAAGTATTTTTTAAAAAGTTGTTTATTACTTGAAGCGTATCCAACAGCGACTTTGATTACTTCTTCATTTTTTATTGATTGTTATTATCCTGGGAAACCTCTTTTATTTTCTATAAATCATACCCAAATCTCGCTTTGTATAATTATAAAAATTATCCAACAGAAGGTTTAGATTCTTCCATTGTCATTTTCTTTACTCGCAAATCTTAATTATTATCCCAAATTTCATATTCCTCATCAGCACTTGCATTACTCTCTGAAGTAATCACTGATAATAATGAAGGTCTTTATTAACAATTTATACTGGTCTAACGATTAAATACATTTCGAGGTTAAACAAGAGGATTTGTATTTTAATTAACTTAAGTCCTCAAAGGATAGTGAGTCATTTATTTTATTGTTCTGTGTTACGGAGTATAAGACTTACACTTGATACTATTCTATAAGGATGCTAATATCTCTCCTGCCTTTTTTATTTTTGATTAGCTATTAGTCACTCTAAAGCCATTTCCCTAAGTTTTTTTCATTATTATATTAATTACCTATTAAATCATAATAACTGGGTTAATTGAAAAGTACAATAAAACAACTTTATATTAAATGATCATCAATTAATTTCTAATTAAAATGATATGGTTATATTATATATATAAGAATAAAACTTAAAAAATATTATACTGATGTTGTCTATATTAATTAATAGTATTTATAAATTTGATATATTTTATTTGTAGAAGCGACTCTCAAGATGATTAAATTGTCAATATTTTTTTCTTTTTCTTTTGTTATAAACATTACTTATTAGAAAGATGATATTGTATTAGATCTATATAAAATTTAATAATAATTTATTTAATATATCCAAATTATTGATTTAGCTTTTTAATAATTCAGTTTAAAAAATTTTAGATTATATTCATTTCATAAAAATTCTTAGTAGCATTATCAAGACAATGAAATAATTTCTATAATTTATAATATGATTATGTATTCTTATACTCTTCAAAGAATTACATCAAATACTTTTCTAATCTAACTTATATTTATGGTTAATAATTAAAATCAAATTAAGTTTCATTCTATTATTTGTCCAAATTCATAAAAAGTGTGAAATGATCATCTCTAATTCCATTTTCTAATTTCATTTAATAAACCATCCATACTTTAAGTACCTATAAATTATCTTAGTATTCCATACATTTCTCTTTAGAATTGATAGTGGTATTCTATTATAATTTTTATAAATATTTATAAAATATAGTACTACAAAGTGGAATTCTCATAAATAATTGAAAGTTATCTAAAATAATAGATGGTATTAATGGTAATCTAATTAATGTACTTTATTATATGGGTACATATATAATCAAATAAAATTCTACTATGCTTCTCAATATTTATGAAATAAGCATTATGATTAAAGAAAGTGAAAAACTAGTAGATCCACTGTAAATTTTACAATCTTTTTCATTGATAAAATAACTGATAAAAGTATTAATGTATAACCATATAGCATAAAGAATTAATGGTTTATTGACAAATTTTTGTAGTGTATCAAATTATGGTATATAAATTTTAGAATTCCAATATATAATCAACATGCATAATGTTACTTCTAATGTATTATTAATTGCTTCCACTATATTTACTTCTTCATATTGAATGAGATCACTAATATAGTCTTACTAAATATGAGTTACATTATTATTATAAAGTTTTACAATATAATAAATTCCTGACCAAAATGCAGAGGTTATGAAGACTGCTATAATTAAAATACGAAATTAATCTCTAAATAGCTTAGTACATAAATATTTTAAGAAGAAAGATGATTTGAGATTTACATGAAATGCTAGAGCCACTCTTAATGATTTTAATACTGTTATATATACAAAGAGTCCTCTAAAAAAGTTTTAAAAGATCATCAAAATTTTAATTGTATGAAAATTATTATGACTTTCATCATATAATATTACAAATAAGGTTATGAATATGAATAGATAAAGTGATAATCCTTGAAATATTGTCAATAATGGTGATAATTCTTAAATAGGATTCCATTTCCTTAAGTTATAAATTTAGATAAGACTTCTTATAGTTATTAAAGTAATAAGAGCAATAAAAATAATAGAAGGTATAAGTATTTTTTCAGATATTGGAAAACAAAATTATTACATTTAATATATGTTAAACTATACTCATTCAATATTACATAAATATCAATATAAAAGTAATATCATCAATCACTTTATTTCCTCTCTGTACCCAACTTACATGAGCCATTTCTAATAAGTGATTACAAGCTGTTTCAACATCCATTCTATCAACATAAGGAGTAACAGAATCTAAAATGTCTTATTAAGAAAGAAATTCAAACACTCCATCAGATCCTAATAGGATAACTCTATCCATTTTTTCTAGAATAAAATTGAAGATTTCTGGTTTATCAATGACTCCAACTGTTTTAGCCACTTAATCACCTATAGATCTTGTCATAGCCAATCCTGGTACATTTGCATTACTCCATACTCTTAATGGTCCACATGCTTAACCATTTTAATCTTTATAAGGATCAATTCTGCCTCCATGATTTATTATACGTTCACATTCATCTTAACAATCTGGTTTATGATCTCTTGATAGATTCTTAAGAAACCATTTATTTGTTCGACATAACATAACTGCTCTTGAATCACCTAAATTTGGACAATAAATCTCTATTAAATTATTAGAATACTTTATTATGTAACATGAATAAACCAACAACAGTAGATCCAGAGTATTATTGATCAATAGATGATTAATCTAAAGCTTTAATTACTTAAGCAAAAATTGTGTATATTGTAGCATAAGGACTAATTTAAGTTATGTTTAATATATATATATATACTTGATTTCTAATTGATTCTTGAATTTAGTGATATAAATTGGGAATTATTATTTAAGGAAATTTGAGATATGATGTCCATTTATTCCATGACCATCACAAATGAAAAAAAAATGCATATATGATTTATTAGCTATGTTTGGAAATACTATAAAGGAATCTTAATTCTATTTATTTGGATTCCCAATTTAAATTCCTTGTCTTGTTCTGACTGCAAATTTAAGAATATATTCAAAATTAGAATCCAAACCATATTTTTCTATCTATAAAGTGTTTTTCTGTGTAATAGGAGGAGAATGATGTTACTATTTTTTGATTGATCTAGCTGAAGCTTTTTCATGTAAACTAAAGAGTGGTTTTCTTAGTGTTACAGGTGATAATGAATTTTAATATGGATTCAACTTAAATTATGGAGTGATATGATTTGTTAATTTTAAGGGTAAGAGTTATTGTTTGTATTTATTATTTAATTATTTCATAATTTATTAATTCAGATATCAAATCCAAAGTATCCCAATATATATTGGTTCTTCTCTCCTACATTGACTCTACCATCTACTCCATATTAAGTACCAAAAGAATTCAATGATTTCCATGTTATTTTACCATCTATTTCTGTATGCCAACCTACAATCATAAGAAATCTTATGCCAAAATCTTAATCATCATTCTTTATAGTATAAAGTCCACTTGAATATTCATTCAAACTTGAACCATCTATTATTATAAAAGATAATCATTATTACATTTCAATGCCATTACAACAGGACCTTTATTTATAATATGATCTTGTATGTCTTATGTTGATGTAAGTTCCAAAAGATCTTTAGCTCTTAATTCTGATTTCTTGAAACTCAAATCATCACATCTGATTGGACATTTATTTTTTAAGTTGAAATTGACTGTCTATTTATATGAAAGACATTTATTTGTACTAAGACCATTCTCTATCAAAAAACTAGTTTAGTTTGTTAATTTTAGTGATACTTCTTAATACTATTAACAATTTTCATAGACTTTGGTGTAGCAGAACATTTATCTTCATCCCATTTTGTACATTATAACAATTCTTCTGCTGAAAGACGAGGTTATTTGGATGACGATCTTAGACAATTACTCAAGTAAAGAGTTTATGTAAATATGTGAGCCCAATTTCCTCCTTGGCAAAGACCCTAATATAAAGTAATATAAATACTTCAAGGAACACTGTTTAATCACAATTGTCAATCTGGGTTATAAGACTAGAGTGCTTCAAATCTATACGTCACATCATATTCCTTTGGTCGATATGTAAGGAAACTAGGAGTCTACTCTAGACTAACAAGGGTTACTAGGAGGAGAACACAACCAGTTACGATTATCGTGAATGTGGTATATCTATTCATTATATAATAATATTGAGACTGTTAATTATTTTAAATTCCAATGAAGCATAGAGCAGCTGCGAATAGTCTAAATCAGAAAGAGAATGAAAAATGCATAGGCAATCAATATTCATACAAATCAAGACCTCCTTTATAATAAGATTTACTGATGAACCTAAAGAATTAACAACTCAGAAATCTTGATGCTATCAGTTAGATTCTATAATCCAAAATTTGTAAAGTTGAAAAACGTGATAATGTTGAATACTTTAAATTCGATTTCAAATAACAGAATATCTGTGATAGAGTTAAGTTTCTTACTAATTAACCAGATGATGATATCAATAAAACTGAGATATTTAAAGCTCAATATAAAGTTGGTAGTCGAATTGGTCAAGGTGCTTATGCTTCTGTCAGAGTGGCTATTTAAATTGAAACTGGTACTAAAGTGGCTATAAAAATCTATGAGAAATCTAAAATACGCGATTTATAGCGTCGTAAAGGAGTACGTAGAGAAATAGAAATTCTTGAAAAGTTAGATCATCCAAATATTGTCAAGATTATTGACACTTTGGAATCTAATAATCATGTTAATATTATTATAGAATATGTGAGTGGAAGTTCACTACATCATTTTGTTCGAAAATAATAAGTATAACCTATATAATAATATAATTAGGAACGTAGACTAGATGAAGACACTGCTAAAACTATATTTAAATAAATACTTGATGCTGTTTAATATTGTCATTCCAAAAATATTGCTCATAGAGATCTCAAATTAGAAAATATTTTATTAGAAGGCTAAACACCAAAATTAATAGATTTTGGCTTTTCCACTTCCTTTCCTATAGACAAGAAAGTCAAAATGTTCTGTGGTACTCCTAGTTATATGGCTCCAGAAATAGTCACCAGATAAGAATATCGAGGAGATAAATCAGATGTTTGGGCCTTAGGAGTTGTCCTATTCACTATGTTACAAGGTGTCTTTCCTTTCAAAGGAGAAACTGATGCTGAACTTTATTCTAAAATTTAATCAGGAGAATTCACAATCATTCATGAAATTTCTAAAGAAGCTATTGCATTACTCTATGGAATGCTAACGACTGATCCTGATGAACGACCTACTGTAATTGAATTACTCAATTATCCATGGTTTAAGAAAAATGATTAAAGTAATGAAAAGGATGATATAAAAAAGAGACATAAATTACCTGAAGATTTAATTGAAGATCTTAATACAATTACTAAAAATATGTCTTTTATTACTCCTACTAGTTAAATTAAATAGTAATATTACTTTGATTTCTCACATCTAAAAAATTATTCCAAACCTAACACTAATAAAGTATAATCACATTTTATTAATAGGCTATCATTCCAAAGCCATCCTACTTTACTACTACTAATGCCTAAGCTAAATCTAGAGAGCCTTAGTTTTTCAAAGTGGAAAAAATATTAACTAAAAATGATAGACATACTACAACACATTCAAAAGAAAGACATCCTACTTTATCAAAAGAAAGACAATCCTCTTATAGTTTTGAATCAAGTAGAGGATTATCATAGAAAAAAAATCCTCATTAATTGACTGTCCATCCTAGTTTCATTCCAAGTGAAAAGAGTTTTCACTCTTTCAAAAGTCCATAAATGGCTATGAATGATAAACGTTTCAATTTTTTTTATAATTGACTTTTTTTTTAATTTGTGTATAAAAGAATCATAGACATTCTAAATAGATATTAAATAAAAAGCATAATTATATAGATATTTATGTTTTATCAATCAGGAGTGACTCGATATTTTTCAGACCACATTCTATACTAATTTTAATTGCCTTAAAATCCCAATAAAAAATTCTATAAATACTGAGTATCTATACATTAGATAGAATTGGATCAATTGAAAATATATTTTAAGATTGACTCCAATAAAAGGAAGCAGTAGAAATTAAAGGATTAATGTATGGTTAAAATTAATACATATTTTCTATTGATTTATGTTCTTAAAAAGGTATAGAAATCTAATCTATTTATCCAGGAGTATTATAAATCATAAAATTTTCTATTTTAATATTCTTAGTTGTAAAAATAGGTTTTTTCTTTAAAATCTTTTCGATAATTTTTGATTATCTATTTAATCCTTATTGTAGTTTAAGGGATCTCTTTTATTACAATTTTTTAAGTAAAATTTTCTATTCCTATTTACTAATCTTTTTTTTTAAATAAATATCACTAAATTTATTATATTAATGTACTTTTGTTCACCAAGGTAATTCATAACTATTTTCACTTAAACTATTGTTTAGTCATCAATTTAAACTCCAACTTCAATCTTTTTATTGTTTCGAATTAACTATTTAAAAAGAACCTTTATTTATTCATCAATTTTTAATATTTTATCATTATCTTCTTCATCATGACAATATATACTAGAAATTAAGAGAGGCTATATTCTCGCAATTATTAAGGAGCCTTCTTTAGTCAAATTAAATACTTTCTGTTGTTTAATAAGCAGCTTTAATTAATCTACGAATGATCTTCTTAACATGAGCATAAAATTTATTCTTAATGTCTTAATCAGTTCTATTATTCAATTATTCAGCTATATGTGTCTATAATGATATTCAAATGGATACCCATTTATTGCCATGAAGTTCAATTAAATCAAAGAGTTAATCTAATTCTTTATCTGTCAAATCAGCTTTATTAAAGCTTTTATCAAGATGATTCGAAAATCTTTCTCGACATGCCTTTGTATCACGATTAAAACCATGCTTTTTTAAATTTTAAGAAATTGTCTTCCATGCAAGTCTTTCATTTTGGAATTTTTTAACTAATTTTTTTAAAAGCTTGTCTTCCTTCTAATAATTTTTTTTAATTACTTAGATCACCCAAGGCTTTCTTTTCTTTTTATTATCTGAATTGCATTAGTTCACCATATTAATATTATTAAAAAATATAACTAATCTTGGAATATTTATAGCATTAGTATACTGAGTGTTTCTATTCTCTATTTTAAATATAAAAGTAAAAAAATTAATTAATAATCCAATAATGTTACAATTTTACTAATAACTTTTCATAATTATGTCTGACATCATTAGAAATTTTCATTATTAGTAAAAATGGAGGTTTCAAATATTTATTCTGATTTTTTTTCTATAGAATTTTTTATTATTTAAACTTTCTATTAAATTTATTGTTTATAACCTATATGAAAATGAATTTTACTTTAAAATAGAAATAATCAATAGATTATTATTTGATTTCATTTAATTTTGATTTCTTTCTTATAAATTATTTAAATCAATTATTAGATCTAAAAATATGAATTGAATGGTATATTTGAATTAATCATTCAAGTATTTTAATAAGAAAATTATTATAAAAAGAAATAATTAGTTTTCATTTTTGGATTATTAATTTAATAAAGAATTTTTATAAAACTCATTCATGGCAAATAGATGTTAATTTGAAAACTCCAACGATATTGGAGTTTTTTCTAAACTTACAAATGCATATTGTCTTGTTGCACTTGGAGGAAGTGAAAATTTCTATTCTGTGTTTGAATCTGAACTTGGATTAAGTATGCCAGTCATTCATTGTTCAATTGGAGGTACAAGAATTATCGGTAGATTGACAGCAGGTATATAATATTTATTAAATAAAAACAGGAAATAAAAATGGATTATTAGTACCAAATACATGTACTGACTAAGAATTAAAATAAATTAGAAATTCATTACCAGATGAAGTTAAAGTAAATATGTAAATTAATATTATAGGTTAAAAGAGTTGAAGAGAAATTATCTGCATTAGGTAATTGTGTGGCTTGTAATGATTATGTGGCTTTGATACATTCTGATTTAGATAAAGAGACAGAGGAAATCATTGCAGATACTTTGGGAGTTGAAGTTTTTAGAACTACTGTAGCATAATAAGTATTAGTTGGAACTTATTGTTGCTTTAATAATTAAGGAGGATTAGTACATCCTTTGACAACAGTAGAAGAATTAGATGAATTAGCTAATCTATTATAAATACCATTATGTGCTGGTACTGTAAACAGAGGTAGTGATATCATAGCATCTGGTCTTGTTGTTAATGATGTTGCTGCATTTTGTGGTATATATTGAATTTAAATTTTATAGGTTTGGATACTACATCTACAGAAATCACTGTGATTGAAAAAATCTTCAAATTATAAGATAAAAATAAATAAAGTATGGAAGTGTAAATACGTTAAGACATGATGTAAGAATTGGAATGATCTAATAATTATGTTGGTTAATATTATGTATCATTTAATATCAAGATTATCATTTGAATCTTAATCATTATTTATCATATTATGATATTTATTGAATTCAGATTTGATAAATTCTACTTTTTGATTTAATTCATTATAATTTTCAGTTTCATCTTTTTTTATTTCTGCCTAAAAATGTTAAGCCATATTACACAAAGCCAATATATCTTACAAATATTATTATTAACTTTTTTTCTTTTTAATTCCAGATTTCTAATATGGAGACAATTAAACTTAGGGAAACTAAATAAAACTTTAATTTTATCTTTATGGAGAATTGATTTTATACATCTTATCTTAAGAATAAGAATTTTTGTGAAGTTTGTTTTATTGAGGATTAGGCTATTCATCTTAAGGAATACCAATTTTTTTATAGTATTTTTTGAATCTAATATAAAAAGGATCAATTTTAATTCCCATAGTTTTTGGTGAAGAATCTAAAGGAGATTATAATGGAGATTTAATATCCTCAATTCTTTAATCTATAGATTATCTTCGAGTTAAAAATTTATTATTATTTTTTTTTAATTTTTATGGACTAGTAAATAATTCAATAGAAGATTGTCTTAAAAATTGAGATTCATTTGGTTTACCCAAACTAATTCTAGATTTCTCTAAAATGTTCCTACAATTTTTTGATAAAATGCTCCATTTTTCTTCTCTTATCTCATCTAATTATACTGGAGGTTCTGGGTCTATCTTTTACAAATTTCTTAAGTAACTAAGTTATGGTTTAGAGTATGGATGATGATATTCAACTTTATGTAAAGGAGTTTGTAATTTTTCATCATTCTTGGTCTTCATCATATATTTGACAACTCCAGGAGCTAAATCTGCTTTAATTGTCTTTATTTTGATATCTAATTTTTCCCTTCTTAACTAATCAACTAATTATAAATACTTAATCAGGACTTTTATGCATCTATGAATCATTAAAGTTTAATTACATTATTATTTTAATAATATATGTGTTAAATAATATATATTGAATTGTCAACTGACATAAATTCAATTTAAGGTTTTAAAAGTATAAACATTTTTTGTATATTTAAATATTTATACAATAGGATTACTTATTAAATCAACCATTTTTTAATTTAAACTTATTTTTAAGTAATATTTTGAATATTTTTAGTGATTTGACTTTAATTTTTACTTAATTTTTGGATTTGTAATGTGATTAATTATTATTGAGGATATTGTTAATTATAGAAATTTTATTATGCAAGACCAAAATAAATATTATAATAATAAAAATTCCTATTGATTTCTGATAGAAATGTAGAATCTATATTAATCTAGTAATCAGGAAAAAAATTATTAATTTTATATTAATTTGAGATATTTAAACAAAAATTATAATTAGATGCATTTTAAAAAATATACACATCTAAAAAGATTGAATAATGAAGAAATAAATTTGGATTTAGATTATATATGATGTTATTATGGAAATTGATTTGTCGTATCTTGATTTAGAGTACACATTTACATTTTGGAAATTATGTATACAATGTGCAATATTCCATTATCATTAAATTAAATTAAGATTTTAGCAGATTATAATAAATAAATTCATATGTAGTTAGTATAGAGAATTTAAAATAATAATATATAGGTATAAATGAATATTTCTGATGCTAGAACAGTTGGTTAATCACCACCTCAAAAATTCTCGAAGTTAAACCAATCTTAATAATTAATTCCTGAAGAATGTCTTCCTCCAACTCTTTAAAGTCTCAATCCTTCACCTAGAAGAGATGTTTATAAAAAAGGAATAAAGAAAACTTATAAAATGAAAGTAACTGTTATTACTAATTCACAAATTAGGATAATGAAAGAAAGAAGATGGTATGGTGTAATATATATGTTAATGAAATGGATCCAATCTAATTGGCTAGGTCAAAAAAAGGAAGTATGAAAATTAAAATACTTGTTTTAGAGTAATGTCGTATTTGTTCAATGGAAGAAGAAACATCAAGATTCATATATCCATGTATGTGTAGTGGTACAGCAAAATATGTACATGAAGAATGCTTTAAAAATTGGATTCTTTTAAAGAATGGTATTGAAAAGGTTTATAAAAATGATGTAAGCAATTTATGATAATAATGTATCAGATTAAATGTGAAGTTTGCTAACATTAGATATCTATGAAGGTTCACTTTTAAGAAGAAGTTCATTCATCAATAATTTCAGAGGTGCCTAAGCATTAAAAAGCATGTTGGCTTATACTAATCTTTATAATTTTATTATAGATAGCTGGGGCTGCAATATTAGGTGTATTAGTTGGCTTTTAAAATGTTGGTTTAGCAGCAGCTATTACTTTATTGGGAGTAATTTCGATTGTGTTAATAATTTATCTTGTTGCTAAAGTTATGCACAGTTTAACAGTTGAAACGATTGATTAATGGATATTTTAGAATTACTAAAAAGAATTTAGTGCTTAAAAGATAGGAACTATTATTAATATTCCCAAAGAGCCTGCATTAAATACAAGTCCAAGGAGTCCAAGGTAGAGAAGAAAATCCTGTGTACCTCAATTCTCTGGGCTTTAAATTATATAATTTGACTAATATCCCTAAGATGCTTGAACATCTAACATACGACTATTTAAACTATATAAATATGTACTCATCATTTTATAATAATATCCAAGATATTCTATATTGTCTAAGTTCAATTTTTGCATTAAAAATTTTGTCGGAATTATAATATATTTTTGAATGAATATTATTATATATATAATTGTTAATCATTTAATAAGTCTATAATCATCTACTAATATTAAATAATTATTTATATGTTTATTATGATTATTTATGATTCTTAATATAATTCAAATACTTTTCAATGTTGTTATAAATATTTGAATATTGTTTTCTGATTTATGAAATTTTCAATATTATATTTAAATGAATTAGCTACTTCTTTTATTTACTTAAGAATATTAATAACTTTAAGTGATAATTTCAATATTGAAATATGTGTATTTTCATTATAATTTTACATCATTTAAGTAATGAAATTGAAAGATGAAAAAATAGAGAATGATCATTGTAATATGAACAACAATATGAGAAATATTTAATTCTTGTCAAACAAAAATGGATTAATAAATATAAATTAATAAAATTAAAGAGTGTGACTTTTAATTCATCTTTAATTAATTTTATAGTGTAATATTTATTTAACAACTATTGAATTTATTACAAATATCTCATTTACAAAATTCAAAATTAATATGATTATTAATGGTATTTATTTCTTTTCTGATAAAACAATTAAAAAAAATTATTATTAAAGAATAAATTTGAATAATTTTAGAAAATATCATTAAAAATTTAAATATGTTTCAAAATCCAATAATTAAAAGAGAATTAAAGTTGAGTACTCCTTTTGAGCCTCAAATTCGTCAATAATATGGATAAAATTATATCCCAACAGTAATATCATATGAGTAAAATTCCTACTCTTAGATTTATACCCCTACTACATAAAATCAACCAGGTATACATAAATAAGGAAATACTATAAATTCTTTATCTCTAAATGGTAATCATAATCTAATCCAAAACAATTAAACTATAGATAATACAATCAATGGATAATAGCCACAATAAATTGTTTAAAAGCCAAAAAAAAAATTAGTTTTAAAAAGTACCGTTCAATAAAGTTTTATTTTAGATTAGAATGTAGAAAAGAAAGTATTTTCATTAAATTAATAATATAGGCAGATGAAGATCAAAGAAAATTATTAGAATAAAAAAAATTAGAAGATGAAAGAAAAAAAAATGAAGAAGAATAACAAAGATTACTAGAGCTTAAAAAACCAAAACCTTATTCTAAAGAAGATCTTAAGAAACTAGTAGAGGCTATCAATGTAATTTAAAAAATCATCATTTAGGATTTCACTGATTATTTTAATTAAGATGAATGGAAAATATTATAGGAAAGAAAGCACTTTAATATTAAAGAAATATAAATTAAAAATTAACCAAGAAAAGAAGGAAAGAGTAATACTTATACAAAAACACCAAATTAAAATTAATAGAGAAATTCAAATAAACCAGCTGTTACAGTACAACCATTTGATAGAGCACAAATCTAATCAGCAACTGAAACTCAACCAAAGATTATCATAGTTAGAGTTGTTGAAGATATCCAAACTAAATAATTAAAAGATAGAATGAAATCTTAAGCTGAAGACTTCTTTTAAACTTTAAATCAAACACCTGAATAAAGGGAGATTATTTTTAAGGAAATTAGATACAGATTAAATTAATTGGCACCAGATAATTTTGATATGGCTTCTTAGAATATAATCAAACTTGTAATAGAAAAGTAATTTTATTTTTATATTAAATAATAGTAAAAACGAAAATGATTCACCTTATTTAGAGTATTTGGCATAAAAAATCATTGAGAAGTCTTAAACAGAACCAAAATATAGAAAACTATATACAAAACTTTGTTAACTCTTAATAAAAGAACCTTAACTTACTATTTACAAAGAAAAATAGGATGGTAAGGCTAAGAGTGTCTCTTTATTTAAAAATCAACTTTTAAATTAAGTTCAATAAGTATTTGATGAAAGAAAGAATAAGAAAGAAGATCTATCTCATATGAAACCAGAAGAAAGAGAATAATATCATTTAATAAGAAAGTCAAAAATTATGGGAAGTATATAATTTTAATAAATATTTAAGATGTACGTTTTATTGGAGACTTATTTTTATCAAAAGTGCTACCAATCTTAGCTGTAGAATATGCAATCAGAGAATTAATTTCTGATTTTGTATCTTAATATTAACCAAATCAAGAAAATAGTGAAGAATCTATCGAGGGTTTGATTGAATTATTAGACCAAAGTAATAATTTATGTATAAACTTTTTTAGTTGGTGGATCATACAAGACTTAGAACACTACTGATTTAGATATTTTGAGGAAAGAACTTAAGAATTTCTTTGATGGTACAACCAAAAATCTAGAAGAAGCAAAAGGATTCTTATAAAAAACACTTGAAAAAAATCTTTCTATTGAAATTATTATGGAAATGTATAAAATTGTATTAATAATAATAGATTTAATATACTTATTTGTAAGTATAAACTTTCTTAAAGAATCTCTATGTTGATAGAAAATGTTTAAGAAAGAAGAAATTAAGGTTGGAAAGATCATTATAGTAGATAAGATTAAGCTTAGAGTGCTAAAATCATTTAATAAGAATAAGAAAAAGAAATAATTGAATAAAATTATAATCAAAGTAAGAACAAGAACAAGAAGTATTAAGCTTAATAAGTGCTTTATGTTGAAAAAAATTCAAGTTCATCATAAACTACAACATCTATTCAATAAAAATAATAATTATTTGATTTAAATGAATTGGCAATCTTTGTTTAAGGAACTTTCAATATGGAACCATAATAATAAGAAACTAAACTTTTAGAAGAATTGAAAAGAATTGGGGTTTCAGATGAAGCTATTTAAAAATTCTTTGAAGTATTTTTTGAATCTCTTCTTTCATGTAATCAAATTAATTAATTATATAGATAAATTAATGAAATAAAATATTGAAAGAGCTCAAATGGTTTTTGAATTATTAAGTAAAATAGAAGCTAAAGAAGAAATTGTCAAAAAGGCTACTTAAAAGGTAAATTAATAATACAAATTTAGGCCTTGAATGAAGACAAAGTATATGATCTGGCTGATTCGCCTACAGCAATTGACTTATTGGTTGATATAATTGGATATTTCTTAAATGAATCTGATATCAATTCGTTAAAGAAGTTGTATTTCAAACCTGAAATTGACATCGAAGATTTTAATGATTTCATGAGTAAGGTTGCTACTTAATTAATCATAAAATATTCTGATAAAGAATATATAATTAAAGAATACTTTGGAATCCTAGGTTATTAACTTTGATTATAGATATATTTGTTGAATATGTTTTTGTAAAATAATAATTTATATTTATTTAAATCAAATTAAATTTGAGTTTATAAAAGGTAAACCATATATATATATATATTTTTCATTATTACTTTTTGATATTCTTGCTCTTAGGACCCAAAGGAGTAAAATGATTGGTGGAACCTCTTCTATCAAGGAAATTCTTAATCAATTCTGAACTAACTCTAGAAGACATTGAACTACCAACTCTATAAGGTGTAATTGAACTCAACCTTCTTTTTAGCCATCTAAAATTTATTTAAAATTTTACTCTTCTTATTATTTTTATTCATTCCTTTTCTTTACATTTAATTATTGTGTTAGATTTGAACCAACTTTATCTCTTTAAGAACTAGGAGGAATCATATATGATCTATCCAATTATACTGGAGTTTCACCCAATTCTCCCCAAGTCATCAAGGGAGTTTTCATATTTTAGGGAGCAGGTGAAAAGAGACCAAGCATATCATCATCTTCAAACCTTTAGGCTCCAACTAAATTTGGAGTACTTCCATAAAAAACATTAACTCCCTATGCATTTAAACATTCTTAAAGTTTTCTCTTTTGAAGTTTCTAGTCTATTTAATTCATTGCAAATTCCAAAGGTATATGATGATCAGAAAATCTAGTATTTTATATTTCCACTTTTTATAAATTCAAAGAATTATCTGTTTCTTTGAGTTCTTAGATTGCTGGTTATAGTCTAAATAGATTATATTCTTACCTTTCATTTTTAGGATCCATTCTAAAAAACAATGGATTCAAAGCCTTATATTCATTTAATTGGATGTTATTTTCTCTGTTCCCTTCTATCATATGCTATAATTTATCAGATTAAAGTGCTGCTTATTTTAATTTATGTTATTCTTCAACTTAAAACATCCATGCATGTTTCTAATACCATTAATCATCACCCTTTTTAATAATTTCATTTAACGTAACATTTTCATCTGAAGTATAGGTACTTAAAAATTGACTTAATGACATATTTTCATCTGGATTTCTAATTTCTGATTATTTAAAAATACTACCCATCCTCATTTTTCATTTTATCTAGTTTATATAATTCAGGATAATAGTCTCTTTTGATTATAATTTCTAATCTTCTTAAGTATTCCTCTTCAGGTAATACATTACTTTCCATTCTTTATTTAGGTTTAGGTACAGGAAATTCATCACTCATTTTAATTTATATAGTATATTAATTATTATTAATTATTAATAATTATTATTCATCTAAAATAACTACGAAAATTTAATTCATCAGATACTTCCATACTCAAATTTCTTTTTAATATTGGTTCATAATTCTCTTTCCCTATCTTACTTTAACTACTCTTTTCATGAGAACATATATGTTTTAAAGGCTCTTTCAATTATTAACTACCTCCCTATAATTCAATATAAGATGGACTGCTCATATTGAGTTGAGATTAAAAGTAACTTTAAAAAGACTCAATTTCACTTTTATTTTATTCTTCAATTTTTTTGTTATCAGTAGCATCCCAAAATAAAACATTAACAGCAGATGTATCAAATAAATATTTTGGATACTTTATTGGTTTTGAAGTAACTAATTTGAGTGTTTCTTAGTATTCCCCTTTTAATTTGATTTCTTTCTTTAACTTAACTTTATATATATTCTACATAAGAATTTATAGATTTTCAGTCATTTAATCTAAAGTATCATTGTTCAACAACATCATTTCATCCATTTCTATCATATTATGATAACAAAGTGCTATTTTTTATAATTTATTTTTTTCATCTTATAAATCCTTACTTAATTATTTATATTTTCTAGTTTTTGCTTTTTAATTAGCATATCTTTTTTTTGTTTAAATTATTGTTTCTTATTACTTCTACTTTAAATCAGTGACTTGATTTTCCAAACTTTATTTTTCTGATTTTAAAATAATAAATTCTTCTTATAATTCTTAATATTTTTTGATAGTTCCAAAAGAATCTATTACATCTTATTTAACTTCTAATTCTCTATTTCCTTTTTCAGGCACCCATAAAACACCAACTCCATGATAATGTAAATGTGTCCATTAATAATTGAGTTCTTTATTAATCATAGCTTGAATATGATCAGAGGCTGTAAATTATTATCTAAATATTTTTCTTTATTCTTCTAATTTTTCAATAATCTTCAACATCATCTCTTATTATTACTTATCATCAACTCTAGCTTTTTATAATTCATTAATTTTAATCTCATAATCTTTTATAACTCTATTAAGACTTTCATCATTATCAAATCCTACAATATTTTTAGATACATTATTTTCTATTTTCTTAGCATTAGTACCAAATCTCAAAGTAGATAATGTTTATTCAAATTAACTATAACATGGATTAACACAAAGTATTATGGCAGTTCTAGAATTACCACCTAAAGAAGATCGTAATATTTTTGTTAATGGTGAATTTCTATATGGAATATGTTAATCACTAAAAATGATATCATTTATAATTATTACTTTTTATCTTAGGCTCTTAATGAAATTACTTAAGTTAAAAAAAATAAACTTTTATTAATATGTTTTGATTCATTTTATCTATCTTTATATTGTGTTCCTCCACTTCCACCAGCTGATGTTCCTCTCTTTTTAAGCATTGAATCATGAATATTGATCTTTTCTGATCCTGCCAAATCTACAAAATTCAAAATTGATTCTGTAATTACTGAATTAGGTCCAATATAATTTGGAACACATCTTACATACAATCTAAATATAGTATGAGATCGACTGCTACAATGATTCATTACTGTTGAAGCATAATGTCGATTACTTTCTCCAAATTGAAGTATATCCATAATTTCATTAATATTAGTTACTACTTCTTCAATTGCTCCTTTAATAACAAATTCTTTATTGAAATCTTCATTTATTAATAATGTTTCACTCAATCTTTCTTGAGTAGCCAATAAATCATATACTTAATCAGTATAAATTTCAACATAACTGCATCTTAAGAAATATTATCTATCCTATTGTTTTGCTATTTCTCCAAATAAATCTTTTAATCCTTATTTAAGAATTCCTTCTTCTTAATCATAACCCATCATAGTATATGTTTTACCACTTCCAGTCTAACCATACATGAATACTGTGCCATTTATTCCTTATAAAGATGATAATGTAATTCTCTATATTTATTATTAGTAAATAAATTTGGTGGTGTGTTTGGAATCAAAACATTAGTCTATTCATAATTAATTATAAAAACTATACTAAATGTAAATTCCACTCTCTATCCTGGTACAAATTTTCTCATTCTTACTAAATCATTAAATCTATCATTTGATATAGTTATTGTGTCTTGATTTTAAACAGACCAGATTTCTAAATCATTGTTATCTCTTTCAGCACCATTTGAAGGTCTGATTCGAACTACTACTTGTATGTTCTCCATTTATTTTAATTTAAATTATTAACAGATAATTTTACTCTAAAATGAATTATTATATATTGATATTAATATTTTTGATAATTCATTAATCAAAAGACCTCTTCTCTGATTTAAAGGAATTCGGAGGCAGCACTAACTTTCTAAGTAAGGACTTCTTATAATCTTTCAACAACTTCCAATTATTATTCTCTTTCAAATGTTTAGGCTTCATATTAAGCTTCTTATTCTGCAGCCCATCTTTCTTAGATAGCCAATGAATCTTCAGCATCTTCAAGGAATAACTAATAGAAATTAATCTTAATCATTACAGTTTAATCTTCTAAATCTTCAACAGCCTCTTAGATGGTTACTTTGAATTGAACAATTGAGTTTTCTAAGAAAGCTTTTCTCTCAACTAATCTCTTATGTTCTTCTTATAAGTGACCACTTTAGACTTCCCAGTTAGCAGCTTATCTCTCTTCTGTTGCAAGGAGAGATGCTCTACTGGCAACCAATTATTATCTGATTTAAGCCAAAAGTTCTAAAATCTTGATGATGCTCTTGTTATCAACCTTTGAGGCTAATTATGTTAAGGCATTAATGAGTGGCTATAATATATATAGGATATAATTAATACTTTAAAGAGAGCATGTTTGCTTTCCATCAATTTAGCTTAGACTTTTTCAAATCTGCTCTTGAGTTGAGCAAATGCAACACCTGCTTACAAATGTTAAACAATCTTTGAAGCTTCATCAATAGCATCCATTTAATCAACATGTTCAGCATCCTTTCTAACCCATGTTTCGTGTTATGAATTTCTTGTAGCTTATTCATCAGCAAAGCTCTTTTCATTGTTGGCAATATCAGATGTGACAACTCTGACTTCAGCTTCAGCTTCTCCTAATGCCTCAGTTGTTGAATCTCTCAAATTAGAAAGAGCAACAATTTAGCTTTAATGATAAGCAATCTCTTATTCTAAATCAGCAATGATCTATTAAAAAATTTATATTATTTTTCAATACCTTTTCAAAGGCAACTGTGTCACTTTCATGAACCTTGTCAGCTTTCTTTTAATCTCCATTTAGTTATGAAGCAATGTTGTTTAAAAGGATTTAGATTTCTCCTACTGGTCCTCCTGTTGCCAATTATAGTTAAAGGACTGACAATATTGAGTTTCCAAATGAATCTTTATTGATTTAAGCTAACACTTCCTTTGGACTCTCACTTCTTGTTACTCTTGCAGTAGCCACTGCCAAGATAAGTGCCAATACAGGAATGATTCTTGCCATATTAAAATTAATAATGAAATATAATCACATCAGACACAGAAGAGACATTAAAAAAAAAACCCGTTTTTCAATTATTTGTTAAAAATATAAATAAACACATTTTTTATTAATATGTTTTTGTTATATTTCATGATTCTACTTAATAATATTTTTAATATAAATAAACTTATACTCATCCTAGTAAGTCCTTCTAATAACATAAAGAAATTTACTAATATAAAAATATATCTTATTAATAATTATAAATTATGATTTATAAACAATTTTAGATTTAATTTTAATATATCTTACTTAAGTATGTAAAAAAAAGTGTAATTGAACTTACTGATTGATTTGATAAGTATGATATAAATTATTTATAGGTAATATTTATAATAGAGAGAATCTCATTAAATTATGTTAAAGTAATATGATTTATAATAGAGTTGATATATAAAAATGGTTTATCAATTGATTTAGTTTATGAAAATTTGATTTTGTGTTTAAATAGAAAATAGGTTGTTAAAAAATAATTTAATTATCTTTTATTACTAATCCATATTATGAGTAATTCAGAAGATGATATTTAATTACTAAAAAAAACTATTAATGAGAAAGACTAACAGATAAGTGACCTTGAAAAAAAATTAAGATTAGAGTAATTTAGAGTGAAAAAGCAATAGAATGAACTAAATGCAAAAATAGAAAATGAGAAATCCACTGCCCAAAATAATGCTGATTAAATCAATCGTTTTGAATTACAAATAAATGATCTTAAATAGAAGGTAGCTATGAAATTCATATTTAAGCTTAGTGAAACTGAAAAAAAAAATTTGTAATTAATAGAGGAAATAAGTGCCTTGAAAAAAAGAAGAGCCTCAGGTTCTACAGATGAAGACTTTTAACCAAAAAAAGAATATCAAGGAGATTTTCCTTCTCTCTAATAGATTCTAGGAATAATACAAACAAATCAAGGGAATTATCAACCTGAACTTGCTAAATTGTATGAATACTACACAGAGGCTTGTTAAAATAAAGATGAATAAATCAATTCTTTAAAAGAAGAGATTAAAGATCTTACACAATAGTTAGATGTTAAAGTATATATATTGAGAATTTCTATTGTAGTAATCTGATTTAACAAAATAAGTGGAATAATAAGAAGAAAGAATTAAATAATTAAAATAGAGTCTTGATGAGAGAGAGAATGAATTGAAGAATGTAGTTCAATAAACAAGTGATAATAGTGATCAAAAGATTTAAGAATTAGAAAAATAATATCAAAGTTAATTAAGCGAAAAAGATAAATAATTATAAGAAGTTAATAAGAAATGTAAGTTTGATGTTTTCAAGTTAAATAAATAACTTACTGAATAAAAGACTTTGATAGAAAGTGAACAAGCTAAGTCTAATTTACTTCAATAAAAAATTGATAGATAAGAGAATTCATTGAGAGAATTGGAAATTAAGGTATTATATATAATTGAAATATTTTAAAGATATCTGAATTAGAATAAAAGAATTTACTTTTGATTGAAGAAACAAAACAAAAATAATAAGAAATTGAAAGATTGAATGAGGAAGGTCTCAATAGAGTATAAGTTGAAGAGATTTCTTAGGATAAACCTTCATATTAAGAATTGGTTGATTTGATTTAGAAATTTTAAGTTAATGAGATTACTTATCAATAAGAATTGAAAAATTTAGAAGAGGAATTGCAATTGAAAAATACACATTCTTTTGAATTATAAGAAGAGTTGAGTTAATATATTGAAAAATTTTAGTTGCAAGATAGAAAGGTAATTAATATAGGGATAAATTTAGTATTAAGATAATTTAAGATTAATTAAGGTTTTAGAAGAATAATAAGTTAGTGAAAGATAAGTTTCATAAGAATTATAACATTATGTTGAACAATTAAAATAAGAGAAAGAACATTAATAATCAGAATTTTTACATAAAATTAAAGAATTGAGTGAACATAATACTAATATTGATGATGCTGTTAATGATGTAGAATAGAAGTATTAAAAAATGATGATGATTTAAGAAGAATAATATTAAAGAAGAGAATAGGAATTAATTCATTAAATTGAATAAACAGAGGAGAAATTAAGTTAATAAGAATAATTATTGAAAAAGTAGGAATAAAAATATAAAAATGAAATTAAATAATCTGAAGAAAATAATAATTAATTGATTTAATAGAAATAATAATAAATATCATAATTATAAAAATAATTATAAGATGAAACACATAAGATTAGAGAAGAAAATAATAAATAAATAAATGAAATTAAATAAGAAAACTATAAAAAAGAGAAATAATTAGAATAAAAAATATAAGAGATTACAAAATAATATGAAGGAGAACTTGGGAAAATTAGAAAGATGGAAATTGTTTTAAAAAAGAAAGATAGAGAAATTGCAGAAGAAAAAGAAGGTAAAAAATTTGTTGAAGAATAATTATAAATTATAACTGAAAAAAGTAATAAGATGATTGAATAATATGATAATAAAATTAAAGAGATTTAAATAACAAATCAAGTAAACAAATAAGATTAGCATAGACATTCTATATTTGATTAGAGAATGTCTATTTCAAGTTCAGATATTAATAAAACATTTGAAATTGAAGTATTAAAAGCTTAAATAGAATAATTGTAATCAAAAGGAGATATAGAATTATAAGCTGAAATTAATAGATTAAATGAAAAAGAAAGAGCATTAAAGAAAGAATTAGTTGATTTATAAAATGAAATAGGTAATGAAAGACTCAATTTCACTGTTGTTTAAAGATAATTAGAATAAGAAGTAGAAAGTTTACATTAAGAAATTAATAATCTTAAATTAGATCATTAAAGTGAATTAGATTAAATTAATGAATAAAATAATAGAATTGTATCATCATAAAAAAATGAATTCTCAACTAAAATGAATAAATTAGAATAAAAATTAGAACAATAAGCAAATCAATTTTAAAAGAAGTAAAATGATATTGAAGTAGAAAAGGAAAATATTATATAATAATTAAAGAGTATAATATATTAATAAATATAATAGTTAAAATTAAATAATTAGAAGAATAAATTATTGAATTGAAAGATAAGAAAAATAATAAAAATCCTCCTTAATAAATCTAAATTTAAGATGATACTATACATTTATAATAAGAAATCAATTCTTTGAATGAAAAGGATAGATTATTGAGGAAAGAAATATTGGATTTATAAAATGAATTAGGGAATTTAAAATTGAGTCATACTATAAAAATTAGAGAATTGGAAACATCTATTGAATAGTTTAAATAAGATTCTATTCATGCTTAGTAAGAATAAGATTATGCTGAATAATTGACAGCAAAAATAAGTATATAATATGCAGAATTGGCTATGGAATATGAAAATGCAGTACTATAAAATAGATCTTATCGGAAATCAATATCTAAACTTAAATAATGAAACAAATTTTATTATCATTATTATGAATTATTTACTATGAGTATAAATAATGATAAATATTCTTTTCTATTAATATTAACAATTAATGGAAAAGAATATATATATATATATATGTATTTTTGATAAAGGTTGTGTAATATTTTTCATTTTTTTTTATAATAATATGAATTCCAAAAATATTAACAACGATAGTTCAAGTGAAGATGATGCTAAGGTTTATGAGACTCTTACAAAATTATATCCAGCTAATGAATTAATGCCACGGAAATTGACCATTGATATTGATGTGAAATCCTTATATCCCTTAAAGTGAGAATTTATTTTTCGAAAAGTCAAGACCTTTGCCTTAATTCAATCAGTTTTATTCCACATTCAATGAAGAAATATAGACATCATAACTATATTAAGTCGAAACTACGTAGTAGGAAGAGAGAACCTTACTTGAATATTTTGAATAGAATAAATAAAACTTGATATACAAACGATTTGATCAAATTGATCTATCCAAACGAAGTCCAAATGATAGAACTTATTTTTCTACTCTATTTGCTAATTTCAAGAAGTTCATTTAGCATTACAATTAATAGATAATATCCACGAGTATATTTTCGAGGAGATCCCCTATTTGATTAGAAACTAATACCTTGTCAAACAGATTAATTGAAATTTGATTCAAATTTTGAATCTGGTAATTTATTTTGTGCTTTCAAAAGAGCTAATGATGTATATGATCTAATACTCTAAAATGATATTAATACTAGAGGAAATACATAATGGTTTTTTTTTAGTGTAACTGGAGTAAAAGCAGGTCAAACAATATAATTTAATTTACTTAATCATGTATTATAAAGTAATAGTATTAGCTTAAAAGCAGCAGTTTATTTAATGAAGGATTGTAACCAGCCATTTATTCAATTAAAGAGAATGAAATCAATAAATAAGAATGGTTTAGAGGTGGATTCAACATTAATTATTTTAAGAGTCCTTTCCTTAAAGAATATCCTTAAACAATGAGAGCTAAATATTATTAATTGTAATTCAGTTACACTTTCAAACATAATAATGATAAGGTTTATTTTGCTCATTCATATCCCTATACATACACTAATCTATTAGAATTTTTGAATTCTATTCTAGATAATCCTGAAAAGAATTAATATATGTCCAGGAAATCATTATGCACAACCTTAGGTGGAAACACATGTGAAGTATTAACAATAACCTCTAATTCAATGTAACGTAGAGCATATAGAAAAGGAGTAGTCTTTATGGCCAGATAACATCCTGGAGAACCTTAAGGATCATATGTAATGTAAGGTATTATAGAGTATTTGACTTCTAATAATCCATAAGCAGAGTATTTAAGATAAAATTGTATCTTTAAAATATTTCCCATGATGAATAGCGATGGAGTTGTAAATGGGAATTATAGATGTGGTTTAGAAGGTAGTGATTTCAATCGAAGATGGAAAAAACCAAATAAATATCTTCATCCTACTGTTTATTATGCTAAGAAATATATTAAAGGATTTAGTAAAGAAAGGTAAATAATATTAGTGATTGATTTACATGGACATTCTAGAAAGGAATCATCATTTGTTTATGGATGTGCTTACTCATCTTAGGTTAAGACTATAGAAAGAGTCTTCGCTTTACTTATGGCAAAAATGAATCCTTTAATGGATTATCCTTCTTGTACATTCAAAGTTGAGAGTTCAAAAGATAAGACTGCAAGAATTCAGATTTGGAGAGAATTGAAAATCAATTGGGTATATACTTATGAATGCAGTTTCTATGGATAAAAAAAGAAACATTTTTAAATCAAAGATTATATTAATTGTGGTGTAAGTATATGTGATTCCTTATCTTAAATTGTAAAAGATACTTCAAAAGAATTCACAAATTAAACCAATATCCCAGATATTTAATAATAAATTCTGGAAGAATTAGGAAAGATGCCTTAAACAGATGATTAAGATTAAGGATCTGATACTAGTTAATCTGAAGCTGAATTATCTGATGATGAAATTGTATAATTATTCTAACCTAAAACTTATTCTTTAAAATAGAAGAACTTTCTAAAATAATTAGATTCTAAAAAGAAACAAATCATTACTAAATAAACTTTAGTTAATTAAAAAAATAGTATATTATAGGAATCACCATCTAAAAACTATCAATAACAATAGGATAATAAAATTCCATCAAGTAGTTTAAAACCTAAAAATATCACTTATAGAATTCCAGTTAAATTACGTTAAATTGAACCAATTAGAGAATAATAATAACCAATTATGGTTGATAAGTGTTGTTAAACAGATGATTGGATGTATAGATAATGGTTGATATAAATTGGTGGAAAACAAAAGAAAAAGGAAGAATAATTAAGCTAAACACCTACAAGAAATATCTAAAAGTCTTCATCACAATCAGCTACAAGATTTATTGTTAAAAACACATCTAAACCTGATAGAGGACGTATTGATTCTATTTCCTTTGTTAATTCAGGAATATAAAAAAGTATTACATTTACTTATTTATTTAGATTCATTTAGTTAATAAAGATAGATTATGAGATATTCAGGAAGTAACTTTATGTATTGATTTATTATGATCATTTTTGTTTTTATAATTAATTCATTCTAATAACTCTATAGAATTTAAATTATTTATAATAATAAATTTTTGTTATTAATATTATCTATAGTAATAAAATGATTTTAAATCAATCTAATTGAAGATTCATTACATTCACAGGAGCTCTAGTATGTTTTCTAGGAAATTTAGGTCTATCTTCAAGATGTAACTATTAAAATAAATAATCTTATACTGATTATTAATGTTCCTCTCCTAATTAAATAGGTCCATGTCCTCTTTTTACACCAAAAAGTGTTTCACCTCCTATTTAATGTTAAAGTTCTTATATTCGCTTTGAAATATAATATTTTTTTGTTTATTTTTCAGGATGATTTCCAGAAAATAAAGCTTTTCCTTTTTACTATTTATTCTCTGGTTACTACTAATAATCTATCACTGTAAAAATTGATTTATTTAAAGTTGATTATCTTAAATTTAAGATTTTCTTTGGTATAGGAGCATCTATAATCTCCCAATCTTCATCAAATTCTTAATTTGTAAATTTTGATTTAGCATCATTTCCCATTTTTCTTTATTTTCTATAATTATATATATATATATAAATAAATAATCAAACAATATATAAACTTAACATTTAATTTTCATCACAAAAACCTATTATTATCATTGAAGATAGTATAATTCATATAGAATAATATTAAAAAGGATTTTTTGAATATTTAATTTCCTTTTTTTATTACAAAACAAGGAAGTGAAGATATTCTATTCTTTATTCATAATTAGATGAATTCTTTGTCGAATTATTTAAAATACAATTATAAAATATTTAATGATTATAGATTATATTGTCATGTTAAAAAAAGTCATGTCAATATGTTTTTCAAGGTCTTTTAATTTGATTTCTTACTGAATTTATAAATTTAGGCTAATAAGTATGTGGAAGTATGATTGAAGGAGTCATTGGAGAATCTAAACCATCATTCCTATCCCATATTTCATAAGAAATTAATTTAGTAGATCCATCAAGATTTTTTTAACTGAGTTAAATAGATCTTTGTGATTTTCTCTCCATTGCTGATTGCATAAATTTATTGTTTAGGATATTGAAAGAACTCATAAACTTTAAAACAATTATTAAAAAATTTATATATATTTTGATATAAAATCTGAAGTGGCATTTAATAAAGCATTTATATTATTCATATAATTCAATTCATTTTTTTTAATTAAACAAATGACATTACATATTTATATATATTGGAAATTCTAATAAATTTCTTTTAATTTTATATATAAAAAATGATAAATGATATTCATTTTTTTGTAAAGTATTAATAATTATTAAGCTTATATTATATTTTAATATGAAATTAGTATTCTTAAGATTTATTATTATTATATAATTGTATTTTAATAATTAAATCTACATTAATAAATTGTATAATTAAAATTTTATAGTAATGTATAGTTGTTATATTTCAGTATGAAACATTGATACATCCAAAATTACTAATATATTACAGAACCTAAATATTATATTTTAAATTAATAAAATCTTTTCAAAATAATATTTTTTTTATATAAAAGATCCTAAATAATAACTTTAATATAAATTTGAATAATCTTTATAAAATTAAGATAAATTTATCATATAATCAGCATTAACATTGTTGAATTTAATTGTTCTACTAATTAGGTACTATCTAATTGGACAAGACAAGATTTTTTTCAACTTTTTGTTATTATTCTGATTAGTTCTGCTAAATAAAATGTTCAATAACATAATTTATAGGTTCTTATATATTAATGTTTTCTAATGCTGATGATTCAAAGAATTTAAGTCCTTACAATGCTGCGAATTCTTTACCATAACCATAACAAACTTATCTATTATTATTTAAATCACATTTATTGCCAATTAAAACTTTGATTATATCAGAAGGTAGATTCTACTCAATTTCATTAATCCATTATTAAATTCTATTAAATGAATCCATATTAGTGATATCATAAATGAAAAAAATAGCATGGGCTCCTCTATAGTAATTTTTACTAATTGTTTTAAATCTCTCTTAACCTGCAGTATCCCAAAGTTAAATTTTAATCCTTTTTCCCTAATAATCAACAATCTTGGACTTGTAATCTATACCAATAGTTGTTAATTTATTTAATTAAAATTCTTATTCTGTATATTTGATTAGAAGAGTAGTCTTACCACTTTCAACTTCACCAACCAATAGAATTGTTATATTATAATCAAATTCATATTATTTTTCAGACATCTTTTAGTATTTGATAATTAATATAAAACATTAATAAAGAGTAAAATATATTAAATAATATATCTAATTTTTTAATAATTATCAATTGATTTAATTTGAAGCAAAATAAGCACTTAAGTTTCTCTATCGTTAAAATTAACTATTTTATCTTTTACTTTGATTACTATCAAAATATTTTCTAAATTATATTATATTAATTATTTACTATTATTTAAGTCTATTGTGATCAACAAATATTCCTGGAACAATTCCAACATTTAATGCTTCATTATTATAATAATTTTAATTAATTTTCATTTCAATAGCACTCATTGATTAATCCCTTTTTTTCTTAGTTTATTATTCTTCTATTTACATTATTAAATCTTATCTATATTATTTTTATTTCTCTATCTTTCTATAAAAATCATCTTAATCTTTTCTTTTATATTATTCATTCACAACTCCATAATAATCCAATTCTTATGATTTCTATTATTATTCTCTCTCTTTCGATTATCGCTTTTATTCTATTTATTCCATAATAGAATTATAAGTTTCTTAATTCTTCTTTTATCTGATAGCTCTTTCTATAATTTATCTTTATTCATCCTATTATTTCTTTTATTCAGCAGCTTCTTTTATAATTTTATTTTCTATATCACTTTTTTCTCTTTCTTTTTATATATAGATTTAATTATATCTCTCTAATAATCCTTCATTTTGATGATAATTATGTTTTAATTTATTCAAGAACTAATATGAATAGTAAATTAATATACATTTCTTCTTTATTCTTCATCTTATTGTAATTTATTTAGTTCTTCTTACATACTTTACTTTTCTAATAATTTTATTTTAATCAATTCATATTTTTTTTTATCTTCCATATCTTTATAAGATTAATTTAACTCATAAATAACTTTATTTTTTTTATTTTATTTCTCTAAAAGTTCTTCTTTAAAAATTTATTAATTTCTAATCATTTATTCACTAATCTATTATTTTTCATTTAAATTCTATTATTTTTATAATATCTTCTTAATTTCTTATTATTCCAAACTATATTTAGCAAATTCTGTCTCCTTTTATTTTAATGATTGCAATTTTTAGAATTATTCTATATCTTGTCTTTATAAATTTTATTAAACTTAATCAGTATATTAATAAGTATCAAAGGATTCGGAATTCTTTTTTTTTCTTTCTTACATTGCAGTTTGTAGTTCTTGTCTATATATGTGATTTCTATATTAAGTTACCTATATTATAATTTACGTTGGTAATCCTCATATTTAAGTAATTATTATTATTAATCAGACTAAGAATTTTATTATTAAATTAATCTACTCCATTCTCCAGTAGGATCTAAACAATCTTAATATATATTATTACTATTATTGCAATATTTATTCATTAAATAAAATTATATTGTCAAATTTTTGACTTTATTAATTACAATATAATGAAGAATTCAATGAAATTATTAATTTATATACTAATAAGATTAAAAACAAATGAATTAAACTATCATTCAGAAGTCTTGAAATATTCACTAAAACTTGAATGTTTTCTTATTGACATTGTGAGTTCATATGTTTAGATTTTAGATTCTAATATTCTGTATTCTTCACAGACTTTTTAATGAGAATCAAAGAGCAAATTGTATTGTTCTCCAAATTCAAGGATTTTCATTTATTATTCTTAAACCAATTATTTTAGTTATTCATTTTCATATGCCAATTTCTAATTCATAAGGGCTTCACTCTTCAATTCACAATTTTCATTTAATAATATTAACATTCTTTTTTCTAATTATAAAATTTCAGGATAATTATTGTTTATACTCCTACATTAATTTTGCTCTAATTTATTGATTTCTATTTAGCTAATATAACATATCTACTTTATTCTAATTCATTAATATAATCATATATAGTTGTACTATCCTTTCTCTTTGAAATAGTGTTAGATTGGTAATTTTTGAATTGATTTTCATTTTTTTAAAAGGGACTACATTTAATCCCTGAATTAGCTTAAACCTTTACTAATCTTTCTGGAGTAGTGAAATTACATTATGAAGTTCTTACAGTATGAAAAGATTAACAAGGTGATCTATAAGCTTTCATAACTATTTATTAAATTATTCAAATTCCAATTCGACAACCGATTATTATAAAATAAACTTAGATATATAATTTATATTAGCTTAAAGAATTTCATTGTAAATGTTAAGTAATAATTGAATTCTCATTTTCCCTTTTAAAGAATATGTAAGAATATTATTGAGTGTACAAAAGTAAGAAATTAATGTGAATATAAATTATATACCATCTTCTAGAGAAAATATAGATATAACGTCAAATAGAAACAAGTTTGAGAATCATATTATAAAAATGAATTACCTTATCTTAATTTAATGACTATCATTTAGATTTAGAAATGAATTAGTGGTTCTATCCTAAGATTTCAAGGATAACTAATGTAAATAATATAAAGGAAATGATAGAACAAATAAATATAAATTGTAGTGAACAAGTAAAGATATTTTAACAATACAATATAAGGATGTTAAATCATGATTTCTTTTAGTTAAGATGAGATTTGTTATTTATGATTTTAGCAACAATAGCCCAAGCATTTTAGAGAAACTCTTCAGTTTTGGCTATTTCTTCTCCTAACTTTCTTAATTCTTCTTTCTTCTTTTGTTCTTCAGAATTCTTCTTTCGAAACATTTATTTCCAAGAACAAGGTTTCTTTGTGATTGTTTTGGATGCAGAAGCCAAACTCTTCTCTTCACTCATTATTTTTAATTTTTTAAGTAATTTAGACTCTATGTTAGTTAACTATTTAAAACGGGTATAGCAAAAACGATCTTTAGTTTCTGAATGATTGGATGAAATAATTAATATATTTAATGTGAAGAATAAATATATTTCTACTGCTGGATTCATATAGAAAATTAAAGAAGATGGACTTTAATTCTTAATTAAAGACGAGGCTCAGTGCAAAGTTTATTAAAAACCTTCATTAAAAATTAAATAATAATATGTTTAATTATCTGGAACTGTTAGAATTAATTAATAGTTTTCTGTTCCTTAAAAATATCAAAAACAATCAATTCTTCAACAATATATATTATTAGAGCTACTGTTAATAAAATCAAAAAGTATTATGTAAAATAACCATATATAGATGAAGTTTTATAATATAAATTAAAGCATCTATAAAATTTATTCAATTATTAGTGTATGCTTTCATCAAGAATTAGAAATATTTAAGAAAAAATTATTAATCTTTCAAAAAATTAGTGTCTAACCAAAACATATTAATAAATTATACCATATTAGAAAATTGATGAATTTTATACAATATATACATAATAAAAGACCTATTTAATAAAATAGCTGCAGATAAAATATGATAATGATTATTTAATGTTAATGTTAATTTAATTAAATAAAATCAAATATCATTAAACATATCAAGATTATAATTCTTATTATATCATCAAAATTTAAGTAATTTTATTATGTATTAATTAAATTAAATAGCTTTCAAGATTCATAAAATCATATTTGTATTTTTTCAATTAATAAAGTTTATATTTATAAAATATATTTCTAAAAAAATCATTAAAATAATATTGACTATGTGGAATCGAACCACAACCCTCTGATTTGCAATCAGTTGCACTTCCTATATGCGACAGTCAATCATTGAAAATTATATCAATATTAACTATATCACCTAAATTATTCTTTATTTGAATATTAGACTAATAAAAAAATAGTGACTGTATGGAATCGAACCACAACCCTCTGATTTTCAATCAATTGCACTTCCTATATGCGACAGTCAATCATTAAAAATTATCTCAATATCGACCATGTCACCTAATTCTTTATTTGAATATTTATGCTAAATAATAGACTACTAAAAAATGATTATATTTGATATTCAAGTACTATTTATTAATTTTTTAAATCAATTTTTATATATATATAAATTTATTAGTATATTTATTTATATAATTAAATTATTACTTCAGGTAATATGAAAAAGTTCAGAGAATTAAAAAAGACCGGGGATGGAACATTTGGAGTTGTGATTAAGGCTGAAAACATATAAACTCATGATTTGGTAGCCATCAAAAAGATGAAATAAAAGTACCACAATTTTGAAGAATGTACTAACTTAAGAGAAGTTAAGGCTTTAATGAAACTTTAAAATCATCCAAATATTGTCAAACTTAAAGAATGTATAAATTGATTCAATTTAGTATTTCTTGATAATGAAACTCTATGTCTAGTCTTTGAATTTGTAGACAAAAGCATTTATTAAATGTACATACAGCAAAAAGAAATGGTAACCAAATATAAGATGGAGCTTAGGGTAAAATCATTCCAGAAGACCAAATCAAATCCCTCATTTACCAAGTAGCCAATGGACTCAGTTACATGCATAAACATGGATATTTTCATCGAGATCTGAAGCCTGAAAATCTATTGGTGTCTAACAATGGTGTTGTTAAGATTATAGATCTTGGTTGTGCAAGAGAAATCAGATCAAGACCACCATATACTGATTATATTGCTACTAGATGGTATAGGGTATATACTCTATATTAATTCAATTCAAGGCTCCAGAGATTCTATTGAAATAAGCCAATTACAATAGTCCAGTTGATATATTTGCTCTAGGTTGTATCATGGCTGAATTATTTTTAAATAGACCTCTATTTCAAGGTAATTCTGAATTAGAATAGTTCAATAAGATCCTTTCTACTCTTGGGTAATTTTATAACTTATCTTTTTATTTTAGTACTTTCACTTAATCCGAATGGCCTGAAGGATGTAGACTAGTCTCTTAAATGGGATTAGCATTAGCATAATTTTAACCTCTTTAATTACAATAGATAATACCAAATGCCAGTACAGAAGCCTTAAACTTATTAACTTAAATGATTAGATGGGATCCAAATAAAAGAATCACTGCCACTTAAATGTTAACTCATCCATTTTTCTATAACATTGAAAAGATTGCACCTCCTATCATTTTTGAAGAGTAAATCAAATCTAAAGATGAATTAAAATTTCCAGAAATGGAAAAAAAATAGAAATCTTATAGTCAAAAAGAAGAATCATAGAATCAATTCAAATAAAAATAATTTTAGCCATAATAACCTATAGAAGATGATAGTAATGATTTAGATGATATTTTGGATTTTATTACAACTGAAAATAAACCTTTGCCTTCCAAATAATCTACTTAGTCTTCTAAAAGTTTAGAATATGGTGAATATGTTCCATCTATTCCTTAAAATAGACAACAAAGAAATTTGCAATCAAGTCAATTATAAGAATAATAAAAGAAAGATAATAATAATTCGATATATGATTTTAGTCATTTGCAAAGTTTTAAACCTACCAAAATGCCAAATACAAATTCTAAATATTGATTAGTGATTCTAAATTTTTTTGTTTAAGCTATTTAATGTTTCAATTAATAAAATTTACAACAATTAACAATATATAATTAAAAAAATACTCTTTGATATCTATTATTTCTCTTTTATATTAATATAATAATTGCATTTTAGTATCTAGAATATTTAGTTTTAATTAATTTACATACTAATAATTTTGTAAAATATGAAAAAGTAATCAATTTCAAATATTCCTAAGAATAATTTCGTTTATTTTTCATTCAATTTTAGAATCTAATATACTATATGAACAATCTAAAACTTAATAGATTCATTATTTATTATACTAATAGTACTCTAATATTTTGTCTTATGGAAATTCAGTGAGAAATTTAATAAAAGTCCAAATAGCATTTAAACAAATATTAGCATAAAAAATTCAATTTTATAGTAAATATATAATTAATGAATTTATTTGGATTTAAGTTTAATATGATTATTAGATATATAATATTTAGTGAGTAAATTTATAATAATCAATTACTTAAAAAAAATTATTTTAAATATCTAGAAACATTGTGTTTTAAAATCGATACTTAAAAGTCCTTATCTTACAATCTTTATTTCAGACTCATTTAGAAAATAGTTTCATTTGTTAAGTAGTTTAATTTATCAATAATTTATGGATTTAGTTATGATTTTTAATTTACACTCTCTATAAATTGCTTAATATTACTATAATTCTATCCCAATTCATATATAGCATTTGATTTTGGGATTTCATATTTTTTCTCTTACTAAATATAAGAATACTAATTGCTCTTTCCTTCTTCAACTTTTACCAAATCTTCCAATTTAGTTTATTACTAATTTTTTTTTAGTTCCTTTAACTTTTTTGTTTCCTACTTACTCAGACTAACTCCATCCATTTTTAACTTCTATTAAATTAATTATAAACTCATGTTGACCCCTCGAGCAATATTTTCAGGAGCTTTTTCATCAGGATTATTCTCTTTAGATATTGTCTATTAAACATTATAACATCCTGTTTATAGTTCTTCCAATTAACTTAAGATTTCTTATTACAATCTTCTTTTAAGTTATTTTTCTTCCTTTCTACTTAGATCTTTTTCTTCGGTGTACATCTAAAATATTTTAATAAGTTTATTTTATATACTTTAGAATGTTTAATATTAATGTATTCTTAGTTTGATCGTCCAAAAGGGTCTATTAAAATTACTTTAAGGTGTGAATCTATTTCTACTCTTTCTCTTCTACTTGTCTTCTTCTCTCTTCTACCTTCTTGTTCATAAGTTTGTAAAATTGATTTACAAGTGCAGGCCTTCGTTTTAAACATTTCAGCCACCTATTCTTATAGAAATATTAATTTACATTACATAAAGACAACTTTTCTATGGTCAAAGCATGAAGAATTTGAGATCGTGTTTCTTGAGAAATTTTTTGATAAGGTCTTTTTGGTTTACTCGCTTCAAAAGTCGATTAAACAGACTAATTACGGAATTGTTCAACTTGTTGTTCCATTGGGAATGGGAAATATATTATACTAATTATTTATTGGGAATCTTTATTCTAAACCATATAAATTTTTTTTCTAATTTAGATTTGATGATTGTTAATAAATTATAATGTTTTATGGATTTATTTAAGAATTAAAAATTATTTATTTTTTCCTTTGAATTTATTATAATATTCAATCAGATTGGCAACATTTATCAAAGCACAAATACCAGAGATTAAAAAATATTTATTTTTTTTTTTTCTTCCTTTTTCAAATTATTAATTTTTCTATTAATTTATCCACCATTAAAAAATATGAGAATAATTTTATTTTTTTATTCCTTATTTTAATTTAATACTAAATCCTAATTATTATGAAAAGATAAAGGAATTTATTAAAGTACTAATATATCTATATTTTATATATGTAATTTTTCAAAAAAGACAAAGAATAATAATAATTAAAATTTAATATTTAAAAAAGAGTTTAAAAATTAAAATTTATACTCAGTTGATTCTACCTTTGATATAGTTGGATGCACCTTCTAATTTTGTAGCCAGAATTGATTCAACTTATCTGATAATACTAATTTCAGTAGTTCTTTATTCAGTATCTCTAGCATATAAACTTCTCCAATTGTCACATTGAGCTTCTTTCATTTTCTTACCATTAGTAGCAGATTCTAATTCTCTTCCTGCATCATACTTTCTCTTTTTAGCTGCAGCCAACATATGTTCAACCTATACAATCTTAGTTTCTGCTTCAGCCTTAGCAGATTGAATAGCCTCTCTCTATTCTTCGATTGAGTATATTTAAGCTTCAAAATTTAGTTATGATTGAATCTCTTATTCTCTGTCATCAATTAAGGCTTATTCTAAGGAAGCTCTCAATTCTCCAATTTTAGCTTAAACGCTTTATAATTTTTCTGCTGAAAATGTTGAAGCCAATTAAACAAGAGCAAGAATTGGATTCTCTCCACCTACTCTTTCTAATTCAGCAAGTACAACTTCAGCATCAGCTTCAGGTTATATGGCACTCAATTTTGCAGCTATAACATCAAGAGCTTCAACTACTTTAGGTGTTTAAATTTCTCTTTCTTAATAAGCTGCATGATCTTCAGCTCTTTGTTCTCTCAACTATTCTTCTTATTAATTAAGGATTCTTAATTAAATTACTTGATTCTCAATTTCTTATTATAAAAGTTCAATCTCAGAAGTGTATTTATTAATATCCATAGTAGCCTCAGTGATTTCATTGGATGCAAATTCAATTCTTCTATTGTATCCATAGATTTCAGCTTCACAATCAGCCTCTTAAGCAACATGAACTAATTCAGCATCTTGCTATTAAAGAACCAAATTCTCTCTTAAATCTTAAAGCATTTTAGCAATATCAGATAATGGAGATTGATTTCTCATCTGGATTGCAATTGTATCAAGAATCTTTTTTCCTAAAGGATTATCCTCAAGGTTCTCAAGCTAAGCAAATACTGCAGCATGTGGATTTGAAGCATGTTTAATCATTACTGCTTATGTAAATGCTATCAAAGCTAAACAAATTAAGAACTTCATTTTAATTAGTAATAATCAAGCAATATCGTTTTTGTCTTAAAAGCAATCTGTTAGTTTACTGTTTAAGTTTTATTAATTTATCATATGGAACGACTATTAAAATAACAATAATTCTATAAGTTTGCAAAATCAAATCAATTTTTTATAGCTTTTAATTTATTGATATTATTTAATAAAATAAATAAAAGAATAATCGAAAAAAAAACAGATAGCTTAATAAAATTTTCAATTAATATTTGATCAAAAACAACATTCGCAATCGAAAGGACATAAATTAGTATTACCTCCTTTTCCAATTTTTAATTCTTCAGTACTATATACTTTATATCCTTCCTCTGTGTATTTCTTTTTGCTTTACTCTTACATAGAATTTTGGGATCTCTTGACTTATTGATTTTGCTTTATTTTAGTTTTTTCTGATTATTTTTATTTTTGCTCTTAATTCTATTATTCATTTGGAGTTTAATCAGATTTTTTCACCTTTTGCTTATCTTGTTTTTGTATAGGCTTAAAAATGTCATTAATGTCTTTATTAGAGATTTCCTTTTACTCTTTTTTTTTACCCATAAAATAATATTAATTTATAAATAATAATGGGGGAAATATTGTATATGTTTTTATTATACAATTAATATGTTTAAGCTCATCATTCTGTTTAAGCAGCTCCCTTTTGAACTGAGAAATATTTAACTTTAATATCTTATTCCTCTTAGACAGCAGCTTTAGTAGCATCGTTTAAGGAAGCAGCAACTTTGTTGTATGCAGCTCTTGAAGCCTTCTTGAGTGCCTTATTCTATAAAAGATATAAAAATTAATGAATACCTTCTTGATCTTCTTGGTTCCCTTGGTATTGGCTTTGATTGCAGCAACGGCAGCAGCTCTTTATTTTTTAGCATATGGGTTCAATCTGTCCATAGCTTTGGTGTTTTTCAATGGGTTTTTCTTTTAGACTTCATGAAGAACTTTGGTTGTCTTGGCTGGTTAGACCTTTTCTTAGACTTAGTTAGAATTGATGATTCTAGCCAAATCTGGATTGGTGATGAGTGGTCTCAACAATTGATATCCGTCCTTGATAATTGATGTATATCTGTATGTTCCAAACAATTTATCGAGGTGAGCAAAGGCGCTTTAAGTCCAAATGACGAATCTTCCTAATTAACCTCCTGGGGCAAGTTAGAGGAGATTTAATCTTGTGACATTAACTACTTCAACTCCTGGAACATCTAATTGATTTATTAATATATATGATTACTTCTGAAAGCTTTCAATAATTTGGCATTCTCATTGAAATAAACAACCAATGGTCCCTTTCTAACTCTGTATTTCTTTCCTCTTTATTTGCTGATTCCAGCTCTGACAACTTTAGTGGAAACAACTTTTTAAACATCTTCAAAAGCACCGAATCTCTTCAAGAAATTGAGAGCATCAGTAGTCTTTTCATATGATTCAATCTTGTCTTCAACAACAAGTGGAATTTAAGGGACTTAACTGATTCTATGTCCTCTAGCCAAAACTAATGGAACAATTCCTGTGGCGGCAACAGCTGTAGCAGCTGCATGTCTCTTTTATTTGATATTGACTCTTCTATGCCATCTTCTCCATACTTTGATTGGTAAACTCATTCTTCCCTTTCTACATTAGTTACCAAAGGCAGCTTGACCTGATCTATGTGTTCCTGATCCAGATACTCTTGGAATACGAGCTACGGCTCTACCAGTACCCCAGGATTCAGCACTGTGTTACATACCAGCTTATGGGTTGACAGCATGAGCTATAATAGAAGATTATCATAATTCAAATACCTTGTCTTCTGTTCTTAGCAATGTTAGTATGAACAAATGAGACAATATCTGGTCTAATTGGTGTTTAGAACACAGCTGGGAGTGGGATGTGTTTGGCTGTGACCTTAGATGAGTCATCGGCTGAAAAAACTGATACTAAAGGAACGGATGTCATTTCTTTAAGATATTTTTTTAAATAAAAAATTTGGGTTTTTAAATTCTTGCCATTAATTAATATATGATAAAAGACTAATGTATATATATTTCATATAATCATTTACTCAAACATCCGTTAAAGTACCATAACAGAAACAACTAAGCAAATAAAGATTAGAATTTATGAGACTTTCCATTCCTATATTAATCAATGAAAAATGATTTATTCAAAATTTTTTAATTTCTTAAATTATAATTATCAATATACATAATAGAAGAATCATATTTAATTAAAAATATAGGACATGTATCTATTTAGATATATATTTTTTAATTTAAATCATTTTTTTATTTGTAAAATATAATTATTTCTCTAGATAAATCTAGTATAATATCCTTTTTTATTTATTTTTATTTATTAGAAATGAACATTATAATTAATCATTATATTGGCTACATGGCCCTATAGGAAGTTTAAAAAACTCTTTCTCCATCTTCTTCAAAATGATGCATTCTCAAATCCTTCTATAATTATGGATCCAACTTATTTGGAGGACCTTAACTGGTGCCATATTATGAATTGTGTGTATTATATGTGCCTATCTAACTTCCATAAACAAAATGCTATCTTCTTAAATCTTTGAGTTGATCTTCAGTCAAAGTATTAGGATGTGGTGTAATTTGACTAATTTTTTATGGGTATTCAATAGGATCAGTTCCCAATTAAAAATGATGTTATCTTAAATCTCTAATTTGATTTTTATCTAATTTGAATTAATCTACTTTTTCTGGTATTTAATAACTAAAATATTAATAGATTTAACTTTCTATTATTTTCAGTATTATAATCTACTTGTTCATCTCCAAATTTGACAGCTATAATTCTAGGATCTTTAGCTAGTTCAGGTTTCTAAGTATTTGGATTTGGATAGTTAGTATTATAACTTGTTTGATAATATCGATCATTTAAGAATCCATAAGTACCTATAGTCAATGAACAGGTTGGTAAATTTGGTTATGATACAGCAATGGCAGTTTTTTAAAACATTGATTATTTGGTTGTTTATGGCATATCAGATTTTTGATAAGCAAAATCAAAATGCGCTGTTCTTAAATCTAATAAAACTTCTTTATTAACTCTTATGACTTCTTTATTCTATTATCCTTAGAAAGCATCTTTATTTTATGAACTTTTGACAGTAGGATCTTCACCCAAAACAAGATGAGATTCTTTTAAAAATTTCTCTAGATTTCCTTTTCCATTAGTTTTTGGATTCTATTAACCATCATGATATCGAGTGTAATGTGTAGTGTAATCTATTTGATTCTAAAATGATTGATATATGATACATTTCCTATATTGATATTAGTCTTACGAATATCAGGAGCATGATATTCTTCTTTTTCAACTTTATATTCTTTATTTGTATCTTGATATGTAGTTGTAAAATATGTTTTTAAATCTCCAAAATCATGATGATGTTTACGAATATTTACTTATTGTTTTTAATGAATATCTAATGGTTAATTCTTATATTATGAATATTCAGTTTCACTTGGCACACTGTGAAATCCCAACTTAAAATGATGATTACGTAAATCTTTTTAAGTTTCTTCAGACAGTTGTGCTTTTTCTGATTATTTTGGATTAAATGATAATTTTGCAATAGATTAATAATTAACATTATCTTCTCCTAATTCAAAATGAGCTTTTCGAGGATTTGCTATGTATGCTTCAAAATGTTTAGCTTCATCAGTAGTTGGTAATTCTTTATCCGGTTTTTTGGCAGTGTAATCATCTAGATAATTTGTACTACCAGAAGCTAATGTCAAATGTAATTCATTATACATTTATCAAATCCAACTGAAAAATGAGCCATACGAAAATCATTCATTTGTTTCTTAATGTCATTACTCATTAATATTAAAGTTAGAAAATAATTATTATATATTAAATTTATATTTGTTGTTTAATCGGTCTCATTAAGTTTGTCCAACAAGAGCTTCAGCAGTTTAAGGCACATCATCTACAGAAGCTTATTATTCTTAATTTTATGTATCATTTTATTGAATTTAAGGAGTTTCAGATTATTATTATTATTCTTATTATTATTCTTATTATTATTATTATTCTTATTATTATTCTTATTATTATTCTTATTATTAAACTTCAGCTTCTACTTATTATTATTATTCTTAAACTTATTCTTATACTTATTCTGTTTATTAAACTTATTCTTATACTTATTCTTATTCTTATACTTATTCAACGTTAACTTATTAATCTTCTTCAATTTAAGGTGCATCAAATTATTCTTATGTTTCTTATATTAATTATGGTTATGGTCCAGTTATATCATCACCTTATTATTTAAAATAGATATTAATACTTGATGCATTATCAGATCCAGCCAATGATTATGATGGTTTTGCAATGAATACATCCTTTTATGTGTCAGCCATAACTAATGGTTCAGTTAAACATTTTTCACTTGTCAAGAAAGCTACTTATTCATTGTTAGTAGAATCTAATGTAGTGAATTATTATCTAAATAAAAATAGATAATGTTACCCAATTGGAACATAGATTGAAAAGACTGGGATTTAGAAATTCATAGCATCCTCTGCTTTGCATACTTTTCCTGATGTGCCTTTGAAATCGCATGCAGAGTAAAGTACAACACAATCTCCAGTAGCTGGTAAATCTTTTTCATATTAAGCAGCTAAAAAGACTTAAGATTAATCAGCATTATTTAAAGATGATTAATTTTCATCTTCATAATTGAATCCAGATGCATATTGTTTAGCAGGTTCTGAGTTTCTAGCCAATTCTTCCTCTGTAAACAATGATGATTATTAGGCAAAGGTTGTGAATTACATGTATGGTTTTTCATCATCCTCTAATAATACTGTGGGTTCGTCTAAAAATTTGACTGCTTTGATGGCAACAATGAGCAATAAAATATGAGATGCACGCATATTTATATATATATATAATATTAAAAACGAATTACATAATTTGCAATAAATCAATTTGATGCACTTACTTTTATTATTATTGGTACAATAATATACAAAAGTCCTGCCAATATTATTAATCCAATTATTATCTTTAATTTCATATTTCTCCAATACATAATAGAAGCCTAACTTTTATTTGAAAAATCTTACTAATTCAGCAGAATTCTTAGCGAAAGACTTAGCATTCTTATTTAGATCTTCTGCCTTAATTGAAAGTACATCTAATTATTGTCCATTATTAATCATTTGTTTAATATTGTCTTCCATCACGATTTTAGTTTGATCTACCTAATTATAGAATAAAATCATATGGAAACATTTTATTATGCTTAATAGATTTTGTCCAAAGAAACCAAATCGTTATACTTCAACCCCAATTCTCTGAGAGGTTTCTTAATATGTAATTTAAGACTGGCATCATCTTTTAATGAATCATTACCCAATCTGTTGAATTCATTTTAAATTTCCTGAATCAAAGTATAAGCATGTCTTTCAGGATAAGTAGAAACTAAAATAATGATCAATACACATACTTCCCAAAACTAAATAGAAAAGGCCTTTATCATCAATTTTACAAAACCAACTACCATTTGCAGAATCAATTTTTTATCTTTCATCTATTCTAAGTTAATTTCTCTTTAACTCAAAGCAAACTTTTGTAGACTCACTTTTTAATGGTTCCTCACTTCCAGCTTCAATTAAATATGAAGCAATCAATTTTTCAGTTTCATGACGATAAATAACTAAGTACTTTAATGAATTTGGCATAAAAAATTTATTATTTAAATTTAGAATTACAATAAAATATTTATTTATCATTTCTTCTACTATTCCAAACCCTATTTAATACGAGGTACCAATTCCTCTATTATTAAATAATGATAATTTCATACCTCTAACTTATCTTGCCTTCTCTCTTATTTATTACATATTCTTGCTTTTAGCATTTGCTCTAATCTTCTTAAACATAGGTGCATATTTAAACACATCCGGAATCACAACAAATCTAATCTAACTGCCTCTCAAATAAACTTATTCCAATGACATAGGTCTTCCATCTCTAGTAACCATTTACACTTCATCTAATCTGACATTCATTGTATCCTATTAATCATATTTAAAGTTACTTCTGCTTCTGCCATATATCCAGTAAACATCTCACCTGTTTTAAGTTCAACTGTTACTATATGATGAACTGCTTCATGCATAATTTTAAGAGGAACACCTAAAGACATTTTAAATTATATAATATTTAATATTAGTATAAATATATATATAAAATAAATAAAAAGATTTTAAAGAAATGGACTACAAGAAATCACTATACGAGAGATTTGGAGGTGATCAACAAGTGTCTGAATTAATTGATTAATTCTATTACAAAGTTTTGTTCGATAAATTGTTAAGGGATAAATTCTTGAAAGCTGATATGAGTCGTGTTAGATATCAATAGAAGAGATTCTTTTCTTAAATGATGGGTGATAAGAATACTTAATACACTGGCAAGTATTTATAATATTTCAAATCATTAGAGATCTAGTGGAAGTTCATAAAGGCTTGAATATAACAAATTAACAATTTGATAAATTTAAAGTTCATCTCAAAAATATTGCTCAGGATATGGAAGTAAGTGGAGCTGATTTAGAAGAATTACTTGATCATGTTGAAAAACATAGAGATTAAATAGTATTTAATAAAACAACATGATTTAAACATAACAAATATAAGTATAAATCAGCCAAATTCGTAATTCTACTTTAATATATATTCATTAATAATACTAGTGTCTATGTTTAGAAGGTTTTAACTAAATTGAATTAAATTTCTGCAGTCTATCTTTCAAATTATCTGCTGTGAACTCCTTATCCACCTTATCCTCAATAAATGTACTTGATGGAATCTAACATTAAATACTATATAATTAAAATCTTATTCTACCTATGAGTAATATCAACTGAATTCTCTATTATTGTTGACAGAGACTTCCCTTTTATAATATTTTTGTGGAACTTTGCCTATTGTTTAGTACCCATCTTAATAAACCAATGATGTTGAAGAGCTTATTAAGCAGATAATCTCTATTCTGGATCAGAAATCAAAAGAGCCTTCAATAAATTTATCCCTGAAGAAGACACCTTCCTACAAAGTTACTTCCTTTTTTAACTATAAGAAAATACTAAATTTGATAATCAATAACTGCAGCTTCATTCTTCTATAATATCTCTTCTTATGTAGATCCACTAAAAGGGATTTTACCAAAATAAAGCACATAAAATAAACAGCCTAAACTGAACATATCTGCTTTAGGAGTGTATAGTTTTGTTTTGAAAATTTCAGGGGCTATAAATCCTGGAGTTCCACACTTCTTATATGTGGTTTAAGGGATATAAGTTTCTGAATAACAGAAATTTGTCAATAATACAGAGGGTAATTAACTTTAAATTAGAATACTATCCAATTTGATATCTCTATGAAACACTCCTCTAGAATGCATATGAGATATTGCCGTTAGAAGATTAAACATGATTTAAGCTACTAATCTCTCTTCCAAATTTTGAGAATTCTCCTTTATCCAATTCCTCATATCCAAACCCTAATAATGATTGTATACAATATAAATATTTGAATCATCTTCATAAAGTTCATTAAAGAATATTATCAAAGGAGAACTAGGTTATTTAAATATTACTTCAATTTACGAAGACTACTAATCTCTTTACTTAAACATTATAATTAATAATTAGTTATATTTGCCTTATCAATTATTTTTACTAATTTATAATTATTGCTATGGATGCAATTATAATAACATTATCCAAATAAAGGATCTTCCATCTTAGATTTATTGAGAACTTTAAATTTTTATTTGAATTTATCCAAAACGCAATATCTTTTAAATAAAAGAAACCATTTTCTAAATTCATCTGGTGAGTCTATAAGGAAGGTCTCCTATTAATCTCTTTATTAGAGTGTTATGCCATATTTATGATGGGGTAATACTTAATCATAAAATGAAAATTTTTTCAACCTGCACTTATCCAATGTACAATATACAAGTTGATTTTATGGTAGTCTTTTATATAATCTCTCAGGACATATTTCTAAATAGACTGGGATATATTTGTCATATGATTTCATCAATACATTTCCTGGATAAAGCACAATTGAATTGTACCTTGTTATTATAAGGGAAGTGGAGGAGGTTAATTATCTGATTTCCACATGACTGTGTCTTCATTTTAATCAAAAATAGTTCTTCTAAATTATAACATATAATTATATAATATTTTTATATTTATATATTGATGATCAATATCAACCCTTCTTGTTTTCTAAATTCTCGAATTTTACCCATGAAGATCCAGATTCAATACTTTCTAACTATAATGCAGATATTTAGACATAGCTTACTTCATCTGCTATTTCTTCTTCTGTATGTCCACTACGTAATACTTATGTCCAAAAGTTTAACCACTCCTCTTCTGATATTGTACCACTATTATCAGTATCTACTGACTTAAATAATTCCTCTGTATTCAATTTTGCAAAATTACTCTTCCTTCATTACCATTGACATTTATATATATACCAATATTTTATTGTTTCTGACTTCTCAATCGACTTTGATCCATCTACATCGAATCTTGCAAATAACTTTAATACTCTCTCTCTCATTTATGGAGATAACTGAATCATTTATAATTCTATACCTCTTTGCCTTAAGTTGGACCCATTCCTTATATTTTTATAAATTTATTAATGAGTGACTAGGATTCTGGTTCAAACTTTCCATAGCCTCTTTAAATCAAAAATCAAACAGAAATTGTCGATCGAACCTATAGTGAAATCCTTATGGAGTAAATTGTAAATGATGATGACTTCTTGTATCAATCCATGATCGATGATGATCAATACTCTAGACCCAAGGTCATTCCTACAATAGCTAATCAAACCATTATATACAGAAATACAATAGAAATGAAGAGATAACAACCAAATATATTTTAAAGATGCTTTGGAGGTAAGAAATCCTCCAATAAGGTAACAATGGCTGAGATCATTGATCTTAGATAAAAAGAATTATTTAATGATTATGTATATGAGACTGAGAAGGATGGATTCTTAAAAGATGTCTAAAAGTACATTCATAAAGTTAAAGTTCTTGAACCAGACTCTTAATTTTACATATTTTGGTAGGTGTTAAATAGTATTTTAGTGATTCTATTTTTCTTTTAAATTCCTTTCATTTTTGCTTATTAACCCCTTATATAAAAAAATAAATCAATTGATTATTAGTTTTATGAAACATTTGCCCTTAATTTTGCAATTGCTATATTTGTTATTGACATAGCTCTAACTTTCAATATTGCTTATTATAAATAAGGATATTTAGTAAGTGGTAGAAAACAAATAGCTATAAATTATATCAAAACATATCTAATTTTAGATTTGATACCTTTATTTTGTTTAATAGAATTTCGAATATTTCTTCATTAAAAAAATCAGTAATTTGGAATTGAAATATTTTTATTTATTCTTAAGATTTATGAAGTCTTTAAAACTAGTAACATGATATAAGAATATTTACAATTAGAACCTTCAAAATTGGCAAAATATAGATTATTAACGGTTATGTTGACTATCACATGGTTATGTCATTTATTTGCATGTGTATTCTTTTTTGTTGGAAGAAGGGAACTTAATAAAGGAAAAAAAAGTGTATCTTGGTTAAATAAAAGTGATTTAATAACAATGCATGGTGGATATAAAAAATTATAAGAACACATATTTGAATTACATTTATATTCATTTTATTGGGCAGTTACTACTATGATATCAGTTGGATATGGAGATGTGACTCCAAAAAATGCTTGGGAAGTTGTTGTTACAGTAGTGACATAATTTATCTCTTGTATTGTTTTTGCTTATTCTGTTAATGCAATTTGGGAAATGATTAATTAATAGAATGAAAATAAACAGAAATTTCAGTATTTCTTAAAACATTATTTATTCTAGAAAATATGTTAATGCAATTGAAAGATTTATGAGAGAACACAATGTGGATAGAAAATTAAAAGCTAGAATAGAAGCCTACTTTTATCATCTATGGGAATCAGAAAAAGCAAGAGATCATGAATTAGAATAAGCCATGATATTAAAATTAGCTCCTGCTCTTAAAGAAGAATTAATTTATTAAACTTTAGGTAAGATGCTCAATCATAATCAATTCTTCAGTTATTTCTAGTAAGATCTATTAATTGAATTAGCATAAGATATTTAATAATAATACTATTCTTAAGAAGAAGTTATATTTTAAGAGAGAGAAGAAATAGATGATTTTCCTGTCTTCTTTTTAACAAAGGGTTCTGTAGAAATATATTTAGATAGTGAAAAGCGAATTAAATTACATATTATGAAATAAGGAATCTTTGGAATAGTAGCTTTTATTACTGGTTATAGGAGAACTGCTTCAGCTCGTTGTTTAACATATTCAGTTATATATAAATTATCTAGAATTCAATTTTTAAAAAGAATAGAGAAATATTCAATAGAAAAATAGAAATTCTTTGAAATCAGACATCAAGTTCTATTTAATAATAATTATGTTAAATATTAATTAAAATGCTATATTTGTGAAAGTAAGAAACATTTAGCTATTAATTGTAAAAAGACATTGTATATACCTGAAAAAATGCCAATTATTTTAGAGACTTACCATTTATAAAATTCAAGAGATTCAATCTATTAAAGAAGAGTAGTTAAATAATAGTTTAAAGCTCTGTCTCATATAAGGGAAGTTTAATTTAATGCTGTTGCTATTAAAAAGTACTTCTAAAATATTACATTTACTTAAAATTCAAGTGATGAAGATATAGAATATAGTTCAGATGTAGATGATTATGAAGAGGAAATGGAGGATATTAAAAAGATAGTTGAATAAGAGAAAGAAAAGGCATAATTAAGAAGAAGAGGATAATGGATTGCTGATGATGATTATGAAATGAAGATTGATGAAAGTAAGGATAATCATAGTATAGAATTATCAGATGGATTTAAAAAGTCTTAACATTTAATTAAACATTCTGATGAGGAAATTAAAAAAAAATCAAATGTAAATAAAAAAAAGAAATTTTAAAGTTTTTTAAAATTAGAAAAATTTAGAAATGTTAGAACATCATCTATGTCTAGTCTAACACCAATTTAAGAATAAGTAAAGAAGCCTTTTCCTGTTAAAAAAGATAAAGGTATGAGTGCTTTATTACCAAATAATTTATTAGCACAAAGGAAAAAGAGTAAATTATTATTATAAAATGAAATTCAAAATTTTGATAAGTCTTAATAAATTCATTAATAAAATGATAAATTGGACAAAGTATAATCACCTGATAGAAATATTTATACTGAATCAAAAAAGTCTGAACTCCTTAGAAAAATGAAATTTCTTTAAATAGCTTAGCCTAAAAATAAAGAAATATAATCTATAATAGATGAACTTAAGTAATCTATAAATTTATTATTATAGAAATTATATTTAAAATAGTTAGAATTTATAAGGTAGTAATTCTAAAGATATTGGTTCTTCATTAAAGGTTGAATAGATCAATAATAATAATAATTTTTAATAAATGGAAACTCATTCTGATGTTGATAGCTAATTTAGTATTGATCATATGGCTAATTTTGATGCTTACTTTTAAGAAGAAAATCCAGAAAAAGTGATAAAGAAATATAAAAAATAAACTAAAGATAAACTTAAATAAAGAAGAACTACAATGATGAGACAATTTGTTTGAAAATAAAAATACATATTTATTTTTAATTTATAAATATAACATTATTTTATTTATTAAAATAGAAATAGTCATTTAAATAATAAATTTTATTTTCAGAATTAATTTGATATTTTATTAATAAATTATAAATAAAATTTAACGTATATATATATGAGTTAATTAGAACCATTTGAACATCATTATAGTAATTAATACTTTGAAGTATTTGGATGTTCTCATAAGAATCGTCATATCTATTCAGAGAAAATGATTTGCACAGATTGTGGCATTTTCTTAAATAATGTAAAAATTCATCATTAGATTATAGCCCAACACCAAAGTCTATAAAACACTCAAAATGAAATATAATGCATTTTTTAATCCAATTAAAGTATTATAAGGGATGATGTTGGATAGTTAACCAAATGGACCTATTAAATAACGATAATAATTCATAGAATTCATTTTGTAAGTGTCAGAAAGACTTAATCTTTCAATCAATACATCTTTTCTCGCTATTAATTATATTGATGAATATTTCAATAAAGTTAATGTCAATGAAAATCAAACTTATCTATTTGTTTCTACAGCTCTTATGTTAGCTGCTAAAGCATAAGAACTTGATGAGAGAGTTCCATTTATAAGCAAGCTTAAAAGATATGCATCCATAACTAATCATCCTGAAATTAGTTAGTTTACCACTTAAGATTTCAAATCAGCAGAACGATAATTAATACAAAAATTAGAATGGAAATTATAAAGAAACACATTATTAGATAGAATAGAAGCTTTATTATCTTTTGGAGTTATTGATGATGATGATAGTTTAGGTTAATAATAATAATAAAAAGAAAATAAGGATTCTATACATCAATAACATATTAAATTGAGAGACTTATAAGAAAATTAGATTTTATATTTTGTTAAAGAAGTGGAAAGTAAATATATTGAAATAGCTTTGTAAGTTATTAGAGGTATTTAATTATAATATTAATTTTAGATGAATAACTCTATTTTTAAACTGATTAAACTATATTAGCATTATCATGTGTTGCTTATCTAAGAAAGAAGGCTGGTCTATTAAATATTTGGTCATAATAATTATAAAGTTTGACTGGATATGGTGCATAGAAAATATCATCCTCAGTTTCTTAAATTATGACTCTCATTGCCAAAAGTAAGAGCTTCAAAACTATAACAAAATTACAGATTAATCCTTCAGATCTTTATTATGAATAAATTAACACACCTACTAATACTCTTACAACTGTTAATTCGAATGTTATTGTGAATAGAATATTTTAATTTGATTCTAAAAGACCATCTTTAGGAGATACAATGATTCAAAAAGTTAAAGTTCCTATTTTTTAATCTTAATCAACTGCTCATTTAGGAGATCTTAATAAATAATTAATATAAAAAAATATGAATTTTACTACAAGTACAAATTATTCATGTCTGAATGATAATACTATAGGACAAAATACAATCATTTCTTCACGTAGTATTCATCAAAATCATAATGGAGATCTTGATAAAAAATATGAGTAAGTGCATAAAGTTGGAGTAAATATGTTTAAATAATTGCAGTGACTCTATTATTATTTACTAAAAAATATTTAAATTTCATTTTAATTTATTAATTACATTTACATAATCAGAAAATTAATTTATTAAAATTGCAACCTAAATTTATAAAATATTTTTATATATTAAATTTAATGATCTTTAATTTATTCAGATATTGTTATAAATATATGAAAACATTCCTCTACTCTTATATTCTTTCATCTCTATAATCATGAATAATTTTATTCTACTGAATATTTATTTAATTTAATAATAATATAAAATATCCTATTTAATAATTTAAGAAAATATCCTATTTGATGATAACATATATTTGATGTTAGAATTTATAGTATAAAAGTGAAATTTAAATTTATAAATTTAATTTTTATATTCAAATTTTTAAGGGGAGGTTTACAATTATATTAATTAAAGATATAAATTTAAAAAAAAGAATAACAGAATCTAGGAAATAAAAATGAAATTAAATTGTTATGTTAAAATATATTAAAAAATTATTTATAAATAAAAATATTACTTTCTAAAATATTTCTATTTTCTTAATTATTTTATTTGTGATGTTACGATTAAGTTTAACCTTGATGAGAAGAAATGTATTTCGATTTTCTATGCCATTTATGCCATTCTCAACCGATAAAGAACCTCCAAAAGGTATTTTTGCTTAATCAAAAATGTAGGATTTTAAAAATTTTAGAGGAAATCTAAAATTTAATAAGAACAAAAAAACCAGGATGAGAAGGAACAAAAACACGAATTAGAAGAGAAAAAAGAATAAAATGAAGAGGTGATTAAAGAAGAGGAAGAAATGATTAAGGAAAAGTAAGAGGACAAAGAATAATAATAAGAAAGTATTGAGTGAATTAAATTAATTTTAGTCGAAAAACCTTAAAAAAAGAAGTATCAGTTCACATATGATCCAAAAACATTTAATTTATAAGATGAGAACAAGAAGGAAGATAATTAAGAGAAATAAGAAAAATAAGAGTAATAGCAAGATAAATAAGATGTAAAGGAGGAAGAAATAAAAGAAGAGTAGCAATAAAAGTAGTAATCTTAGAAGAAATCTCCATTGTCTAATTTAAATTATTAAAAATTGCTTGAATATTTCAACAATCCTAAAAATCGAAAATATGTTTATATGTTCCTTGGAGTTGGTGGTTTAGCTGCTTTATATTTGTATTCAAATTAGGATGAGGAAATCACTTATACAGATTTCTTGAAAAACTATTTAGAGACTAGTCAAGTGAATTAGATAACTATATTTAAGAATGAAATTAGTAGAGTTAATTAGGCATCGATCAGCACATAAAGTGGAATATCAAAAAGATTGATGATAATGAATGTAGATAACTTTTTAGAAAATTTAGAAAGATTTTAGACTGAAAAAGGATTGAGTCCTGAATAATTCATACCTGTTACTTTTGAGGCATAATTAGATAAAGGTAAATTATTGGACAGAGTATTGAATATCTTATACTTTGGTGTCACAGTTACATTAGTAATAGTCTTATTTTAATCACTTAAAGGTAGTATGGGAAATATAAATAAAGGAAGTGGTGGAGCTGGAGGAAATGATGTATTTGGATTTGGTAAATCTAATGTAAAGTAATTTGGATTTGAATAAAATGTGAAAGTCAAATTTAAGGATGTTGCTGGATTAGATGAAGCTAAATTAGAAATAAAGGAATTTGTTGATTTTTTAAAGAAACCTCGTAAATATAAGGAAATGGGTGCAAAATTACCAAGAGGAGCATTATTAACAGGACCTCCTGGAACTGGTAAAACAATGGTGGCAAAGGCATGTGCTGGAGAAGCAGGAGTTCCATTTTTTTTTGTAAGTGGTTCAGATTTTGTTGAAATGTTTGTTGGAGTAGGAGCTAGTAGAGTTAGAGATTTATTTAAATAAGCAAAAGCTAAATCTCCAAGCATCATATTCATTGATGAAATTGATGCTGTTGGTAGAAAAAGAGATGCTAAATTTGGAGGTAATGATGAAAGAGATAATACATTAAATTAATTATTAGTAGAAATGGATGGATTTGGAACTGATACTAATGTTATTGTTTTAGCTGCTACTAATAGAAAAGAATTACTTGATCCAGCATTAACAAGACCTGGTAGATTTGATAGATCAGTAGATATATCATTACCAGATATTGAAGGTAGAAAATAGATATTTATGGTTCATTTGGCACCTTTAAAATTAGATCCAAGAAAAACTATGGAAGATTATGCAAGAAGATTAGCCACTTTGACTCCAGGATTTAGTGGAGCTGAAATTGCTAATCTTTGTAATGAAGCTGCTATCATGGCAGCTAGAGCTAATAAAATATATGTTGATTCTGATGATTTTGAAATGGCATCAGAAAGAGTGATGGCTGGTTTAGAAAAGAAAAGAACCATAAGTGAAGAAGAAAGAAAGATTGTTGCATATCATGAATCTGGACATGCTGTTGTCAGTTGGTTTTTATAAGGAGGACATCCTTTACTTAAACTTACAATAATTCCCAGAAGTAAAGGTACTTTGGGATATGCATAATATTTACCAAATGAATCAAATTTGGAATCAAAAGAAGAATTATTGGATAGAATCTGTTGTATTTTAGGAGGAAGAATTGCAGAGGAGATATTTTTTGGATAAATAACAACTGGTGCTTATGATGATTTAAAGAAAGCTTATGAAATCACTCATAATATTGTAACAAAATTTGGTATGAGTGAGAGTATTGGTTATATTGGATTTTAGGAAGGTGAGTTTCTAAAGTCTTATAGTGATAACACCAATAAAAAGATAGATGATGAAATAAAGTAGATTATAGAGGATTAAACTTAGAGAACTCGATTTTTGTTGAGAGAGAAGAAAGAATTTGTTGATAAGTAAATTTAATAAGTAATTATAGTTTGGCAACAAGATTATTAGAGAAGGAAACTTTAGATTTATAGAAAATCATAGAGATTTTAGGAGAACGACCTTTTCCTCCTCGATCTAATTATAAGGCATACTTAGAAATTAAAAAGGAAGACTCTAAATAGGCTTCTGAATGAATTATATATAATTTTATATATTTCTTAATAGAATTCATCAGTTTTTGAATTATGCACGGGTATGTTATAATTATATAAATATATAATTTTTGGGGATTTAAAACAGAAGTATCTTTTAAAAATCATCATTTAAGCAGAACATTTTTAAGGTTAGATAAATTTATTATATAAAATAACATCCAATAGTATATGATACGATCATTAAAATAGAAAAAATAATCTAAAAAGTCTAAGAATTCTGATGATATTACTGAGCCTCACACAAAACTATTACTGGAACGTTTCCCATATTCTATAAAAGATCTATAATTTAGAGAAGTTCCTACATTGCACGTTAGTTAAGACTTCTTTTTAAATCCTTTTAAGACAATAGATGATCTTTATAACAAAGGGTATGAAAAATTTGGAATAGTGAAATTGCTTTTGCCTTCTGAGTTAATAGTACCTGAAAAAAAGTTCTTTAGTGACTTGGAGAGTAAGTTGAAGGGTAAGAGAGTTGAAACAAGAGTATAAACATTAAATTCGCTATAGGCAGGGGAGGTATTTGCATTATTTTAATATAGATATTTGGATCAAATACTGTAGGATTCACTTTACAAGAGTATATGAGTTATGCCAACAAGTTTGAATGTAGTCACAAGTTATAGGGAGTAAGGGAAGTTTCAAATCAAATCAGATAGAATGAGATAGAATTTTGGTCAATAGTGGACTTCCCAGAGAGGTATAATGAAGTAGAAGTGGAGTATGCAGCTGATTTGTTGGCAACTAAATATGCCACGGGTTTTTAAGATGGTTAGTTAGGAAATCTGAGTACTATAAACAAGAATTGCAATTCTATCTTCTAAGTTCTCCAAGAGAAAAGTGAGATGAGTGGAATTTCAGTACCTTGGCTTTACTTAGGAATGAAGTATGCTAACTTCTGTTGGCATAAGGAAGACTTGAATTTAAATTCTTTAAACTACATGCATGCAGGTGCCCCAAAAACATGGTATGAATGTTTATTTCAATCTTAGGTATGCGATACCTCCATCTCATAGTGAAAAGTTTTTACAATATTTCAATAAGAAATATGAGAAAGAAAGAATACATAACCCTCGTCTTTTGTATGACATAGTATGTTAGATTTCACCTATTGAATTGGCTGAACAAGAAATTTCAATTATCAGGACAGAACAGCATCCAGGTGAACTTATTATCACTTTAGGTGCTACTTATCATGCAGGATTCTCACATGGTATTTTATTAAATATAAATAATAGGATTCAATTGTAGTGAAGCTGTCAATGTTGCTCCAACTTAATGGCTTGATGAATATGATCGTGCTTCAGCTGAATATCGTATGGATGGCAACCTCAAAAAGGTAATCTTTACTTTAAATTTATGTATAGGTTAGTTTCCCATTGGAGTGGCTGCTAACTAAAGTTGTTCTTATGGCTGATCAAGTTAAATTTACCAAATAATCATGGATTAAGGTATGTTTATTTGATGATTACTTTTTTAAGTTATTTGACAAATTTAAAATGATGATTCATTCTGAAATTGCCAGTCGAAACAGCATCCTAGTTCTTTATGAATAGGTTAAGATTGTAGAGTTTGCAAATAAATTAGAAAAGTATGATCGTAATGTCTGCAAAATCTGTTCTAATTATATGTTCTTTAGTTATATTTTCTGTGGAAAGTAAATCTTATTTTTGATTATCATAGATGTTTAAAAAAGGGATGCATTGCTCATCAGAGTGTTTGTGCCTGTTCGAATCCTAAAATTTCCCTCTATATTCGATATAATAGTGAGGAATTATAAACAATGCTAACAACTTTAGAATCAAAGGCCAACTAAACAACGGGGTAGTGATTAAAAAAATTACTAAAAATATTTTTCAAGAAATTAATTTATATAAAACTAATTATTTAATTTAAATTGATTTCATCATTCTGTCATTAGAATGCCAAAACTTGTAACATGAATTCTTAATATCCTAAATTTATTACTAAATTACTGTAATTAAGTTCTACAATTAAATTATAATCGAAAAAAAATAGATTTTAACAAAAACATTAAGAATACACTTATTCTTATTTTATGAACCTAATTTAACAAGTTTTTTAACTATTTCACTCTTATTATTGTATTCTTTACAAGAATATGATATATTATATAATTATTATATATAATATTGAAAATTTATAATTCATTATATATATATATGCTTCTCTATCACAAATAAGATATTAATTCTTACTGTTTTAGTTGTGAATTTTTTTTTATGTTTTATTCTTTATTATAATGAGAATATTGTAAATTAATATCATTTAATTGATTATCATGATGATAAAGTGAAAATTAGATTTATTATAATTTTACACCATATTTCTAAGAATTAAATAAATTAATATTACAGTATTAGAAAAAAGATCTAAATAAAATTGACAGTTGTGATGTCAACTATCTATAAAATTATTATAGATAAACTCATAAATTCTATAGTCAACTAACTATGTAAAGTATATTTATCATATTGAATAAATAAAAAGGAAACAAAAATAAATTGAACTTAAACTAAGTATTGTTTATTGAAAATAAAAGATTATTATCAACAACATAAATCTTCTTGTTTCTTTTTTTCCTATTATTATTACTATTATCTTGTTTATAATCTCATATTTGATGTTTTTCTAACTACAGCTTTTGAATTATGAATTTCCCGGTTCAAAATATTTTTGGTAATATGAGTAAATGCAGCTTCAATATTGATTGATGATTTGGCACTTGTTTCATAGAATGGAAATTAATATTGTCTTGCTAATTATGGAATATAAATTAGAATTACATAATTCTAAACCTTCTTCATATGAGACTTCTCTCCTTTCTGTAATATCAGCCTTATTTCCTACTAGCATTCTATTCACTGATTCTGACGCATATCTTATATTAATTATAAAGATTACTTATCAATTTCTGCAATCCAAGTTTTCACATTTTCAAAGGATTCCCTGTCAGTAATATCATAAACGATTATAATACCTTGGGCACCTCTATAATAACTACAGGTTATAGTTCTAAATCGATCTTAGCCTGCAGTGTCCCACTATTTTTATATTATTATATATATTACAATTTGCAATTTAACATTGTGTTCTCCTATAGCAACAGTTTTAGTTTTAAAATCCACTCCAATAGTATTATAGAAATTATTGGTGAATTGATTTTCCTTAAAAAAAATTAATGAACAAATAATACAGAATATCTCATAAGCATACATGACTTGCCGACACCAGAATTTCCTATAAGTAATACTTTGAAAAGGAAATGACTAAGGAATTAGAAAACATGATTACTAATCAGAGTTTGAGTTCATTTGTATTTCAAAAATTTATTTATTACTGTTAATAATTAAATAAATGAGAATTATAAAATATTTTAAGAGAATATTGGAAATTCCTCTAGATTTAAAAATGAATTTAAAATAAATAAGATAAAAATTAACAATACAAAATGTATAAATGAATCATAAATCATCTCTTTTATCATCACTTACAGTTTCCCATTATGCATCATCTGTATTCACTTTTTCCCATTTGGTTCCATCTTAATCAACTGTTGGTTCAGATGAAGTTTCAGGTTCTTCTTCAATTTCAACTTCAAATTCTTTAATTGGTGCATCTCTATCAATACCCAAGGCTGAATTAAATAATTTATAAAATCTACTAGCAAACTTTTCAGGATTTGGGATAGAATAACCTAGATTAATATAAATGATAAATATTACCTGAATTGACTAAAGCAGCTTCATAAAGAACTCTAGCCATTTCTTCAGTTTCTTAATCTGGATCATCTTTAACTCTTTATAATAATTCTTATATAGCTTAATGATTTGGATTGATTTCAACTATCTTCTTACCAAATTGTTGAGAATTGCTACCCTTGCTTGAATAAGCTTAAGCTTTAGATATTCTTTCCATATTAGCTGAATATCCAGATTCTGATGAAACAACAATGAGTGGGTCTTCAATCAATCTTTATGAAATAACTACTGAATCAACATTTTCTGATAATAACTTTCTCCACCAATCAGTCAAAGGTTAGAATACTTTCTTTAAAGCTTTTTATTTCTTTCTTTGTTCATCATTATCTTCAGGTTATTTGAAGTCACCTTTTCCTACATTAACAAGTTTCTTTTGTTTATATTCATTCAAATGTTAAAATGTGAATTCATCAACTGGATCTTCCAACAATAATACTTCATATCCTTTTTTAATTAATCCTTGAATGATTGGAGATGCCAATAATTATTCTTTGTTTTCACCAGCTAAATAATAAATTGAATCCTATCCAGGCTTGGATCTTTCAATATAATCATCAAATGAAGTTAATTCAGTTGAATTCTTACTTGAATACCATCTAAAATAAAATATTAGGTATAATATTTAATATATGGATAATATTAGATTAGAAATATATTGAATCAGACGACTGTTTATATAGATCATATAATAAATAGAAATGATTCCATTTATTATCTATATGAATTTTATCATCATACCCAACATATTTCATATAATAATTTAAATAATAATTATACCTTGTTAATTCAGCTAATTTCTATCTATTAGATGAATCTTCAATAACACCTAATTTGATATTCTTTCCATATTCTTTCCAAAATTCATTATATTCATCCATCTTCTTCTTTCTCTTCTCATCCTTTAATCTTTATTATTCTTCTGGAGTTGTTTCAGCCATATTATCATCTTCTTCTCCTTCTTCAGTTTCATCTTCATCTTCTTCATCATAAGAAGCAGCATCTTAAAATAATTCTAATATCTTCTTAACAATCTTTCTACTGATAACCTTCAACATTTTAAGTTATTATAGTGTTTCTCTATTAACATTTAATGGTAATTCATCAGAATCAATAACACCTTTAACAAAACTTAAATATCTTGGAAGAATATCTTCAAATTCTTCACTAATCAAAACTCTTCTTACATACAATTTCAAATTTGTAGTTTATTTTCCATAATAATTATCAAACATATCACTTGGTGCTCTTTTTGGAACATAAATAAGAGATGTAAATTCAACTTCACCTTCAGCCTTAAAATGAACCCAATTGAATGGATCTTCACCTGAATTCTTAGATAATACTTTATAGAATTTCTTATAATCATCATCTGATATCTCTTCTTTAGGTCTCAACCATATGGCTTTATTTTCATTTACTTACATCCATTCAGATACCTTCTCTTTAATAGTTTTAGTAGCCTTCTTCTTTGTATCAGCATCATCATCATCATCTTTAACTTTGACTTCATCATCATCAGTTTAATCTTATTAATCTTATTATTCTGGTTCTTCATCTACTTATTTTGTAACTTCTCTTGTTACCTTTAAGTAAATTGGGAAATTGATAAATTCAGAATACTTTTTTATCAATTCTCTAATTGTACTCTCTTCAGCAAATTCTACTGCATCCTATTTCAAATGAATAGTGACTTAAGTACCACGACCTAAAGCATTACCTCTTGGATCTTTAGATACAGCAAATGAATGAGCTGCTTAAGATTCCCAAATGTATTAATCATCATCTGTACTTTTTGATGCAACAGTAACCTTCTATCCTGCCAAAAAGCATGAATAGAAACCAACACCAAATTGACCAATCAAATTTACATTTCCTCCTTTAATTGCCTCAATAAATTGAGTTGTTCCTGATTTTGCAATAGTACCCAAATTAGAGATTAAATCATTCTTTGTCATACCAATACCACTATCTGTTACTGTTACTGACTTTTCTTCTGTATTTATTTCAATTCTAATTGCTAATTCTGTCTTATCTCCCAAAATCTCTGGATTCTTAACACTCAAGAAACGAATTTTATCAAGTGCATCGGCAGCATTGGAGATTAATTCTCTAAGAAAGATTTCTTTTTAAGTATAGAGAGAATTGATAAGAATATCCATCAATCTACCTGTTTCAGCTTAGAATTCATGGGTTTCTTAGGATTGTTCTAATAACTTTCTTTGTTCATCAGTCAAATCCTATGTCATCACTTATACTCCTGAGAGCATAAAGAGCAAAAGTAAGGCAAAGGCCTTCTATTTACTATTCATTAAAAATATTTATGATTTGTATTCACCATAGCTTAAATAATATATATCCAAAAACACGTGTTATCATATATTCTAGAAATTAATTAAAAAAAACCCCATTATTATATACATTTTCAAATCCATATGAATATTCATGTTCATTCTCATTGAATTAAACATAATTATTTCATTTTTTATCACAATTAGTCTATTTCTTCATTTTTTATATTCTTAATTAAATGGTATTATCTTAAATAAAATAAATTAATTTTCAATATATATATATAAAGTTTTAATCCTTAATTATTAAATCCACAGGATAGTATATTAACCAAATTCACTAAAAACTATTTTGAAAATATTATTATTTTTATACATATATTTTTTTGTTTTAAATTCCATAATCAAAAGAATGAATCTAAAAAAAATATTATCAACTAGTTACAATAACTATAATAAGAAAAATCAATATATATTTTATTTAATTTAATATAATTTTCAATCAGACAATTTGATTGCAAGCACAATAATATTAGCAGCAAATAAGAGGATTGCAATTAGATAGAGAATTAGTTTCATATAGAATTCCCTTCTAATAATCTAGTTAGTTTGTTTATCAACTCTTCTAGTCTCCCTTTATATGTCTTTGTTCTAATTTTTAAGTTATTTTATACTGTAGTTGCTATAGTCTATATTTTTTCTCCTTAATCATTAAGTTTCTCTTAAACAACTGCAGCAACTTGGTTTGTTTAAGCTAAAGTAGATACGATGTTTCCTATTTATTAATTTTAATTGTAAAGCATATTGTTGTTATCTAACAAGAGTTCTTTCGATTTGTTTGCCATTTTACAAAGAATAATATTGAATTAAATTATTATTTTTTTTTTAATATATATATAAGTCTTAATATATAAATTCTCCAAGAATATTGAGTCTTAATCAAATCAATATATTTTCATAATCTTTAATATTCAAATAAAAATTCATAATAATTTACTTCTTTCGACAAATATTTTTTATATCAGATCAACATAAAAAAAGAGTAAAGACATAATAAATTTATATATATTCACTTTAAAAAATAAGTTTGATACATCATTATTCTCTTTTTTTATTAATGTACATTAATTAATATTTTTAAATCTTCCTAAATTTTTAATTATACTAATTTATTATTCATATAAATTACATATAAAAATAAAATTAGGAATAGATTATTTACCTTCTATTTCTTTAAGCAATTAGATCAATTATATTTATATTATAATAATAATTATAATTGATCTAATAAAAATATGATTTAAATTTCATAAATAAACTACTAATAATATTTTATATAATTTAAATTACAAATAATAATTATGTAAAATTAAGAAATCTATTCATAAAATTTTATACATTATCTGCCTAGCAATATATTGAGCAAATCTATTTTTATGACCTCTTATTTTATCCAAGACTCTAGAATATATATTATAATTATTAATCAACTTAATCACTTTTGTAATATTATAATGAGGATAATAATAATCGTATTCCTCCACTTTATCAATATTTGCTTCTCCATTAACCATTTAAGTTTAATTATCCTCTTAATTTTCTTACAAATTATTACAAGAAGTTGTAGGTACAAGTAAACATCTATGACTTACTTACCTTGCAATTCTATTTTTAAATACGAATCTTTGTTCTGACTGATTTTATAAAGGTTATTAAGAATGTTATACTACAGTCTAATCAGGATATGATTCTTCATCTTCATCATTTCTTTGTAAACCTAATCTAATTAGAAATTTGTTATCAACAACACCAATTGATTTATTCTACTCTAGAATTTATTCTAAAGCTCTCTCTTTAATCATTAAAGAATTAAATCTTCTTTTCTTTCTCTGTCTAATATACATTTACCTTTCATGATCAATACTACTATTGTAAATGGAAATCACTTTATTCATATTTTTTCTAAAGAATACAAGTGGACAATGTTTAAATTAATGATGACTAGAACATGCCTCACAAATTATTTGATTATTATTGTCTCCATATTAAGTTCCATCCAAAATAAGTCTATATTTTTCATACTATCTTGTGTCTTTTTACAGAATATTCAAAAAATCAGTTTAATTGATATAAGCTACTTATACAAATGTTTAGGCTACTATGTCAAATTACATTTAATCTTAAAAGAAAAACTCTCTTTCACAAACTAGTTTACCACTTATATATCTCTTAATTGTCCTATCTAATAATACTGATTTGATTCTTCCTGATAATACAATATAAAGTTTATCAGGATGATCATCTTTTTTAATAATAAATTCTTCAGGAGCATAAGTTTTTTCATGAACACAAAAACACAATTTCTTTAGTATTTCTTCTGAAAGATTTGAACCTAATAATTTCGAATTCTTAAAATAACTATAATACATTGCTATTTAAACTTCTTATTTTAATTTTGGATTTAATTAACCCATCAATTCATCCAAATCTAATTCTTCTTCTTATTTAAATTATAAATAATATTCAATATATTTTCTAACTCTAAATTATAATTATGTATTTAATCCTCTCTATTTTATATGATTACTTACTAATCTAAGTTTAGCATTATTAAGATTTTATTATTCAGCTAATTTATAGAAAATACTTTGAATCATTCCTAAGGCATATCCAAATGTACCAACTACTAAAAATGTTAAAAAAGTGACTAAGATTTTTTCAGGAGTAGTAACAGGTACAATATCTCCATATCCCACAGTCATTGAAGTTATTGTTACCCAATATAATGAAGTAAAGTATTTTACATATGCATCTGCTTCATATATTCCTTATTAATGAAGCCAAGTATGTGAATATCCATTGTCTACTTCAAGAATGGCAAAGTAATGAAATAAACAAGCACAAAAATGAGATATAAGTAAAAGAGAATAAATCAAACAAAATAAGGAATATATTACTGCTGTTTTTTCTTTAAAATTAGATATCTCCTCTATGACTATCATAGTTCTTCTTACCTTTGTCATACGTATCAACATTAAATAATTGGAAAATGAATATCCGAACCATGATAGTATGAATGGCAATACAACAGTGAGATCAATTAGAAACTCACCTTTCACATAATGCCAAAAAATGTCACGTTTAGATGTATGTAATATTCCTCTTACATAATAACCTTTAAAAAAGTTCAAGATTAATTCGATTAAAAATATGCAACTTGGAATAGTACTAAACAAGAGGTAAGCATTTCCGATTTCTTCTTTATTCAAATCGAATGACAACTATAAGGGAACATACAAAATATTCACAATAGTCACAAACATTAAGATGACATCCCATACAAATAAAAATTTGTCAGCAGGTAATAAAACAGTTTGATTACTTTTAAGAAATGACCATATTCTCCACCAGATAGCATTCGTTAATTTGCCTTCATACTTCATTTAACCAAACTATATCTTATAAAAATGAATACCCTTGTAGGCTGATTTTCTAACAGACGACTATATAAGTAATATTAAAATGAACTAGTTCGATCCCTTATTAGATAAAATATATTCTTATTCAAAATCTTAAATCTATAAATAGGCGAAAAGTGTTTCATTTTTGTGATAAAAATAGCTATTTTTTGAATAATCTTGAGAGGCTTCATTTTCCATACACTACTTATGATATAAATTTACTCACTGTTCTCGAACTTATGTATTTCTTTTTCTACATTATTCATGGCTTCTAACTCAATCTTCTTATCCTCTTAATGTTTAGCTTCTTTTATAGAAAACTATAACAAGTATTTTGTCTTTTTCATGTTATGATTTAGATGTAAAATTTGTTTATAAAATTAAACCATAGCTGTATTGGAATATATTCTAGAAATCTGATATTGACTTACTTAAAAAAATAAACATTATGATATTAACTGAACAAATATAAGACTTAAATATAATTCAATTTTAAGCTTTGTTATTTGTTCAATAAGATAAGTTATAATACAAAATATAAGTGAATAGATTATTGATGTATTTCAATTAAATAAATAATTTAAGAAATAAAAATAGATTGTTTATATAATAACAAATTCATGAAATACATATTTAATATCATAAAAATTTTTGAAGTATAGAATAATTGATATTTATTTTTAACATCAGAGATACTTGATTAAGTTTTAGTAGTAATAGGTATAGAAAACAATCTCGCTCATTACAACAAAATTTTTAATTAATTCATTTATTTTATGGAGGAAGAATAATAAATCTTGAAATATGGAGATAATATTATTCTTAGATGCATAATAGATAATAAGATATATTATTTACTCGCTAGAAATGAATAGTACCTTATGGAAACAAAGCTTTAATTAGGTAATTCTTGCACATTTAATATGTATAATTTCCCTTAACATATGGTATTTACTGTATTCCCAAAACTTTTATATGAAGCACAAAAAAAATATAATTCAGATAAGTCAATTGGAGCTTCTTTTGATGTTTAAAAGTAACTTCTATACACAAGAATGGAAACAGAGAAAAAATATAATCAAAATCTGTTGAAATAAACAAGAGGACAAAAAATAATGTATGGTGATACTATTATGCTCTATTAACCATTGAGTTAAGTGTTTTTACTAAGAGCAGAGAATAATAATTCAAATTCAAATATCGGAACAATTTTGAGTTCTTCAATGTATTTTACAGTTCAACCTGATCCTTTGGCATTAGATATAAAATAAGGATGTCCAGTACACTCTTTTGATTAATTTCTATTAGTTTAAAGTGATACAATTTTAAAATTTGATACCTTATAAGAAATTTACCGTCTACCTGAAGTATTGAAATCAAATAATCTTGATCATAATAACGAATTCTTAACTATACCAGCAATGATTGAAAATCAATTCTAATTTAAATTTTATAAGGCTCAATATAAACAATTCACTACAGATTCAAAAGAATCTATTAGTCATAATACTCTTTAAGCAATTGTATTGAAATAAGATAAAGATAAAAATCATTTGTTCTATGGTTAATATGTAAGGATAGTGCATATGTAATAGAAGATAAAAAAAGAAAGATAAGAATCAAGAAGAAGATCTATAAAGGTTGAAGAAGCATAGGAAAATTAAATTAATAAAGGTTATTTAACATCATCAATTAATGCAGTTGGATGTTATCCATCTGTTTATCTTTAGATTAATGACATTTAGAATTCTGATTTGATTGAAAAAGCAGCATCTATTTTTTAGATATTACCAGAAAATGATTAAAAGTATAGTGATGAAATCTAATTAAATGTTGGTAATAAGCCAAATTTGGTTGGGTATACTACTTTCTTACTTAGACACATGTTAACAGGAGAATTTTTAAGAGTCAATCCTTTTGATCATAAATTATAATTATCTAAAGAAGTTATTCATAAATATAGATCAATTAATACTACATCATCTAAAAAATTAGATGCTAATAAATAAACTGAATAAAAGTCTACCATTACAAAAAACTTACCTGGTATAAAATTATATAGAAATCTAATGACTTAAACAAATATCAATAATTAAAATAATAATATTTAATCTTTATAAGATGAGCGTATTGCAACACAGTATTAATAGACATAAGGAAATTAAGAAGAACCTGAATAAGATTCATGTTTATCTGATCATCAATTACTTTTTGTTACTAAATTGGGCAATAATCCTATTTTCTATAAAGATTAATTACCTTTTACTAATGATACAACTTTTAATATTGTTACTAAAGATGGTAAATGTCCAATTGAAGTAGACAATTAAGAAGAGGGTGGATATTAGGTTAAATTAATTACAAAATTAGGAATGTTTAATTAATATGGTGAAGATAATTTAGAGTAAACATTATATAGATAATTACATGATGAATGGGTAACTTTGTTTCCTGATTTAGATTCATTCACAAAAAAAAATAAATATTAATTAACATAATAAGAAAAAGAAGTTCTTGAATTTATAGAAAATGAAAAGAAAAGATAAGCAAAAAATAAAGTTGATATGAGACATTATAAATCTGATGATGAAACATTTAAACCTACATTTATTAATTTGAATCCTTTAAATACTAAATATTTAGATGTATTAGGAAATGAAGAATTTTAAGGTTCAAATTTTAAATTTGAAGTTGTAGATTAAAGTGAAATTGAAGAATTAAGTGAAGTCTTAGATTTAATATTCCCTCTTACAGTTTTAGCTAAAAACTCTATTTAATTATCAACTTTAAAATTCAAATTTAGTAATCATAAATTTAATGATTCCAAAGAATCAAAAGATCTTGCATCATAATTTCTAAGATGTTAAGCATAAACCATTTAAAATGTAAATCAAGCAGTTAAATCACTTTTCAAAATTATGTTATGGTTAACTGCCTCTCAAGAAGCATTAGCTTAAGAAAATTTAATCTCTGAACCTTTGGCTAGAAGATAATGTATAGCCAGAGAAATTGGTTGCATTGACTATGTAAATAAAATAATCTATGAATTAAATATCAATGGATTATTATATGAAGATAAAGATTCTATTAAATAAGATGAGGAAATGTTTCAATAGGATATTAATCAATTAATTGATTTACTTTCCTCATTTTTATAGTTAGTATGCAAGAATTCTAATGATAATTCTTTATATGTTGTATAATGGTATTGTCTTTATAAACATATATTACTTAGAGGATAAGTAAACGATTTGATGAGACTAGATATCTTAATTACATAATTATTCTAATAATCTGATGTTATGGTATCATTTGAATTTGAAGTCACTCAATTATCTAAGGAAACCAAATCTACAAATTATAACAAACATGCTTTTAATTTATTAATTGCATTTTGTCTCTTTACTGAGTTTAGAAAAAAAGAAGGTATTGAAGGTATAATAGATCATATTTTTAAATTAAATAAGGATTCCATTTTTAGTTAACTTATATTTGATGGTAATATCCAATTGATTTTAAGAGAAAAGTTATAGGATTTTTAAAAGACCATAAAATAATCTATAGATTCAAGTAATCCTATATCAAGTCCAATAATGATAGATGGTTTAAATTTTGCAAATAGATAAGCATTACATGATTATATTATATCTTGTGTTAGATTGGCTTCAGAAATATCTAAATCATCCCCTGCTTTAACATTAAAGGAAATTAAAAATTTATTCCCTTTTTATACAGTTGCCAAGATAATTTAAGATAATAGTATATCATCTTTAACAAAATCATACTTTTTAGAATTATTCCAGAATTCATATATGGCTAAACATTTAAATCCTTTACCAAGAGCATAATTCCCTTAATATTTAAAAATGGTGGTTAAATAAAACAAAGGAAAAGGATTCTTATCACTTTTTAAAAAAGAAGAGTATGATATCATTCTGTATATGTTTGCATAAAAAAAGATTGCTGATGTTTATTAAAAGGTAGCTAAAAAATATTTAATGGAAAGTGATACAACAGTTGATTTTTGGTTATTTTTATCTGAATTCATTTCAAATTTTTGGACAAACAAATCTATTTATGAAATAAAAGGTACTGATCACATTTATATTAAATAATTGATTTTAACATTTACAGAATTCTTAAAAAAAGGATTATTTATTGAATATCTTAGTAATGCTCATAATTTTTATAATATGTATCATTAATTCATTGAATTTCTTAAGAATTCTGTTGTATCAGCTACATTAGAGGAGAAATACATAAAACATTAATTGTAAGATAATAATAAATCAAAAGAATAGAAACCTTAAGAAGTGAAGGATTATTTATTTGAAAGCTCAGTAGCATAAAGGGCAGTATCTAGAACAACTTATGCTAAGAGTATGATTTGGTTAGATGAATTAATAGAAATTCTAATTTTATTAGAATAATTTTAGTAATCTAGAATGGCAGATTAATTTATTATAACAGATGATAATTAAACAATGTTTGATGATCTATAATATTTGTAGAAATTTGCAAAAGATAAAAAGTATGCAGATGTAGTTTAGAGATTGAGATAAGCAAAAAGAGCAAGTTATCATACTAGAGTATAACAATCCTAAAGTTAACTAAATTAAAAGGATATATTTACAACATAAGAATTAACAACAATATTAAGAGAATGTTCTTATGCACGTAAAACAGTAATTTTAGAATATTTGGGAGGTATAAAATAAACAGATATATCATTGGTGTATTTTTTAATTGAATTACTTACATTAAATTAAATAAGATTATCAGCTAAAGTTACTGAATTATTATGGCTTATTTATTCATCAAGAAGTAATTTTCTATAAACATTAAATTAAACTATTTTAATTGAAGCATTTGATTAAGGGGAATTAGAATTATAAGTAAATTAAAATATATTTACAGATTTTTCTAATATTTATTGGAAATTACATTTTGCAATAATAGATTTAAAAGAATCATTAGAAAAAGATTCTAGTAAACATTATGAATCAATAAATGATGCTTTATCAGATATGTTAGTAATATTTTTTCCTGATTATGCAGCTAAATCTGATATGTAAATGTTTATGGAAATAAATTAATTGGAAAATGAAGAAAAACATTATTAAGCATAAGAAGAAAAGATGGTTAAGAGCAAAGTAAGATAAGAAGTTGCTGTTTTAGAATAATTTGTATCAAGAGCAGAACTTGATTTAATTGATGTTTCAGCATAAAGTCCAATGAGAGACAAATAAGAAGAATAATTATAATCATTGAAATCTGCAACTATGGATTAATAATAAAAATATGTATGGAAAATCAATAATTCATTATCAATTGATGTATTGACAATA